GTTTATTTATCAATGAAATATGATCACTGTCTCCCACAAATACACATAGTAATTACAGCCGGATCCAACATATACTTATCATTAGGATATAATTTAACGTAATTTTTAATTAATATATTTAAAAAAATTAAATAACTAAATAGTAAATCACTCATTCAATTACGAATATTTACTAAAGATTTTATGCAAATTGTATATAGATGCGCTTATATATTTGTTGGGTGATGTTAGGATCATTATTTTAATATTTAAATTTTTTTTTTATTTAACAATATCCTTAATATCCCAACTAATGAAGGGCCGTGGAAATGAAATAGAAGTGGATATAAAGCATTTTGCAACTTGTATTTAGAAGACAATAGAGCAATATGTATTTTTCAACAGAGAAATGATGTGATATGTATGTAAGTGGTACCCTATATGGTTCCACAATCCCACATGGTTAACACATGCTTGGTCTATGGTTCTATGGTCATTATCCATCCAATGCCAATGCACTTCCTTTCTTAATAAGATTTGCATCTAATCCAAAATACGTGTCAAACTCAATAAGCAAAAACAACAATAGCTATATATTTTTAAATTTAAATAATATATATATATTTTTAAATTTTAAAATAATATAATTATAATTATATATTATATATATATAATATATATATATATATATATATAATATAATATATATAAGGGATGATCTTAGAATTTATATAGCTAGCTAAGCTTATGCAAATTTGTACACCGATTGTGTAATTCCATGGCTAAAATTGAGTCCATGTGCATGACACTTGTAGTTGGGAACATTTGGGGTCAATGCATGACATGTATGTTCATCTTTCATCAAGCATATACCTAATTTAATTAATTGATTAGCTTTTTATTTGTTATGCATAGATAATGACTATATATGTTCATCTTAATTATTATTGAAATCCTAGATATTAGCTATTATCTGCTTTTGCATTAATACATCAAAACGAATAAACACAAAATTCATATTTCATGTAATAATTCAATCTTGAATTAATTAATGTCTTTACTTATAATAATATGTGAGATTAGAGAATAATTAATTTAACTAACCACAATTAATTAATATCTCTCATCCTTTAAAAATTTTTTATGCTTCATATATATATATAGAGAGAGAGAGAGAGAGAGAGTGATTTTGTTCACCCCCAACATTTTTATATCTTTCATGCAAATAGTAATGCATCACCTAACAAATGTTGTTCATACTTACTGCGCACAACTATATTGTTCAGCCAAAAGCCCCAATATATATATATATATGATTTGAATTAATTAACCCACTTCATCTAGTTTACCCGCTCCACCTTGATAAAGACTTGTACACCTAATCAATAAGGACGTGTCGGAGATCTAAATTCAAAGATTAGAACTTTGGTTCTACATATGAGAATTAGAACATACTTCTTAGCAAATAGCGAAAATAAATATTGGAATTCACTTACAGAAAGGGAATATAGTTTGAGATTTATGAATTTTTAGTGTACAAATTCTATTTTTCTCCTTTGATAGGAGAAGAAAATTTTCATTTCAAGGCTTCTAATTAAATGAGATGTCTGAAATTCAAAGGCATAGAAAAACTAATGTTTTGTATTTGTTCTTTTTGTAAAATGAGATAAATCTCTAACAAAAAAAAAAAAAAAAAAAAAAAAAATTCCTCACGATATTTATTTAATTTGATTCCCACTATCTCTCATTTATGTGCAGAAATTTCTCCTTTAATTTAGAAACTTACACAAATTTGTTGTTTTTCTGCATTAAAGCTTTATTCTTTTTTTTTTTTTTTTTCATGCAAAGATAAATAAGATTTCTTTCATTTTTTCCTTTTCAATAATTTGATTATTATTTGTGAACTCATAAACCATTTTCTTTTACCATCCCTTTCTATTATTTTCTTGATACTATTATTTTTTTGACTGTTTCCTCCTTCTCGGACAGACTTTTAGTAATTGCAGTATTAGCTAATTGGAAAAAACAAATGACAAATATATTATGTAAGTATTCTTTTATATTTGTACACCCTTTTACGTCCATCGTAGGGAAATTACCTTCTTCAGCAAATCCTCACATGAAACTTCCCGAAAAAAAACAACCTCCCACATTTTCCCTTCAGCCAAACAACTTGTAATAAATAACTATATATTACTGCTCGAACTCAAGCATGAACCTTGTTGGCATATATATTGAAATTTTAACTTTGGACCCGAAGTAATTTGGTTTATCTTGGAAATTGGCTAAAAATATAAATAAAAATAATTGTCTACGTACATCCTAATTTATTTTTTTTATTAAGGATTTATATTTTAATTAATAAATTAGAAACAATAATGAGATAATCGATCGTCTTCTTGACCTAGTTGAGACCCGGAATTCATGGTCAATCAAAATGCCTTAGCATAGATTTGAAGCCTGGTCAAGACTGCCTGCCCTGCTTCTTGGCTGCAGCTAACTTTAGCCAAAGATGCTATAAAAAAAAAAAAAAAACACCAAAGTTGCAGAAATTGAGTATAATAGATTGAACTTAAAAAACCCGCCATGGTTTCTGCTTACCAAAACCAAAAACAAATCTAAACCTTTTCTTTTTCATTTTGTAAAGATGCAATTGAGTAAAAGTGCTTAAGGAATTTTCCTGTCTCTCGCGTGTATATCAAGGTAAGATCATCGGCTTCGTGTTTGATGGGTTTTGTGGGCCTTTATTTTCACTCTCTATATTGTATAATAATCTTACCTCCACAATCAAACAAATCAACTCAAGACAAACAGCAGTTATTACAACAGTATATACCAAATTTGGTGGCTATATTTATAACATCTCCGCCGGAGGAGGAGCTAACTTAGACATATTAATTTATGTTAGGAATTTTACATGGGCTAAACATAAAATGAGAGTGATATATATTGAGAATTGAGAAGCTTTAAATTAGTAAAAGGCTTTTGCATAGTGATGAATTGTCATTCTAAACTGGAAGCACACTCCTCTCAGTACTCCATTCCTCTGTCTCTGAACTAATTCAAATGATTTAAATGGTAAGTTTTTTTTTTTTTTTATAGAAGTAACTCTTTAAGGATTATGTTATCAAATGTAACAGTCATTTACAATATATGATATTTGAAATTGAAATAGTACATTATCAAAAATTACCTATTTAGGATAATAGCAGAGGTGTTTTCGACATTTCACAAAGAATAAAAACAGAGGTTACTAACATTACATGACTGATGGTTCCATGCAATGATGGAATATTAGTTACAGAGTTAATGATTCGAATTAACTTGAAGAACTCAAAAGTCAAAACCGTTAACTAACCCTTTATAATCCATGGTAGATTGGTCCACATGATCAATGGTCCTAATTCCGTTTAAGTGCATCATAATTCATAATGTTGTGTTCGCCTTTTTGCACACGATGATAGAGGGTAAAACTGTAATAAAAAGAAATTTCCAACAAAGCGTGAGAAAATTGCCATGATGTGAGCCACTTGCTGATTGCATGACAATATAATCTTGGCTCCGAAAAGGTAACTGTGAGGAGCACGAAATATTGAAATTATAATTTATATTAATAATAATAACAATACTAATAATAATACATTAATTCACTTTTATCTCCTTGGATTTAGCAATACTAGACAGAGTGTATTCAGATAAAACTGTCCGTTTAGATTTTTTTTTTAGGATCAACAATTTCAGGTTTCAAATATTAATCTAACATACAAGATTTGCGTAAAAATACTATATTTTCATACTTTGATCAATATATATATAGTGACATAACATTGTAATTATACTTGTTTATATTCGGTGTATACATTCACATATATACTAAATCAATTACAAATAATATTTTAGTTTAAACGATGAAATTTCAAACTATATACCAAGAAAAAAAAAAATAACATTTAATATATATAATATATATTATATATATTATGATTGGCTTTATATATTGATTGGCTTGATATAGGACTACCTATCATATACCACATGTAGGCAAAAAATTTTCTATAATTATATAAAACTCTTCTAAATTTAGTGACTTCAGATTTCAAATCCCCGACCTAACATATAAAATTCCAAAAACACATTTTCCATTTATACTTATCCATAATTTTATTGATATAGATTTTCTTCGGTGATACAAAATTATATATATTATATATACATTTTTTTTTTCTTTAATGATTTTATGTACTTTTTCAAACTAAGGACAAGTATTTATTTCATATATACGGAAAAATTCACATGTTATATCCAAGTATAGCTTCACATGTGCCGTATCCAAATTCATATTCACAGATTTCCAATTTTATCAACATTTTGACTAATCTCCTTGCTTCTCTTTGACTTTAAATCCAGGACAATGGTTTTCAATTTTTCATCAAAAGAGTAATTTTATTTTTCCTCGCTGATATAGATTATTGTTATCTGAAATAATAATTGAAATTATTCATGGTAAAAACATCAAAATTCAAAACCAGTCTGGAAGGTCAAAGGCCTTTAATGCCGTGATTGGCGCCTGGGAAAATAAAATAACCAAGGAGAAAAGCCAAGGAAAAAAAAAAAAAAAAGGCATTTTCTCGGAATTTATTTGTACGTGCAAATTACCTTTATCCGTTTTACCACAGAACCGGCAGGAAATCGTGACATCTGCTCTCTCTTGTAAGGAATTATTGACGTGGCACACCTACCGTTAAATCGTTAAGGTTAGTTATGGTAAATTGGTAACTGAATAATTACAGTGAGGGAGTGAGGAGCGAAAGGTTACCGGTGAAGAGGACGGGGAGTCGGGGTTGAGTGTTGACGAATGTTGGGTTAGGTTAATTTAAACCTAACCACTAACCTCTGACCAAAAACAGGAAAAAGAGAAAAAAAAAAAAAAAAGCAAAAAAGCTTAATTAACGGCGTTAAAATACGTTGGCTGCTGTTTTGTACTCTTGTTTGGCTCTATAAAAAGGTCGGTTTGTTCCAGCTCTCTTCTCCGACTCCATACCTGTTCCTTCTGTCCTCTCTGCATTTTCCCTTTTCTTTCTCTGCAATATCCAAAACAAGACAACAGAGCAAAAGAAAAATAGAGAGAGGAAATGACAATGGCGGTGACTTACAAGTGGCGTATTTGTGTATGTGCGGCGGTGCTTGTGGTGATGTTTACCGGAGTCGCAGCAACTGTTCGGAACGACGGGATCTCTGGTCGTATAAGGTAATATTTTGCATTTCCAGAAATATATACCTTTTTCTTTGTAGAATTTCGAATAATGACTGCGATTTGTTTCTTGACTGCGTTTTTTTTTTCTTTTTTTTGTCTGTGTATATCGGCTTTCGTGTGAAGAGAAACTGAGCTTCCTCTGTTTTCGGTTTTACTTCTTAATATTTTCCTAGGAGGACTTTATTCTTTTAACATTTGATATTGCAGATAAAATTTTTTAACTAAATTATTTGCTTTGAATGAACTTCTTACTCAAATATTTGGCTGCATAATGCGGCTTTCATAAGCTTTCTAGCCTTGCTTTTGTGTTAGTTGTTAGTTACTTTGTTTTCTCTCATTGATATAGTTCATGTTTTGCGTAGAAAATTGCTACATTCTTTGATATTTAGGTGAACTTTAGCGAAAATAATATTCAAATAGAAAGAATTATGGGTTTCTGCATCTTCTTTACTGTTTGTTCCTTCTCGTCGGCTCCATTAATAGCCTTTTCTCGTGGAGCTTTCAAGAGTGGCTGTTCTTCATTTATTAACGAGAGCTCACATGGCTTTTAATAAGTTGTCAGAGTCTCAGAGACATACCACAGAGAGAATGGTTTTACTGAATATTTGTTCTGCTCAACAATTACATTTTCTAATTTCTTAATCTTCTGGTTAATTGTATTTTTTTTTTCAGGAATGTAGAAACAGAGTGGAAGCAGAGCTCAAAAAACTCATCAATGGCGGCGAGGTAATAAAAGGACAAACTACTCGCAACGTTTAACTTCACTGAATGCCTTTTCCACTAATTATTATCCAAAACAATCTCGACCGTTGGTTTTATCTAGTATCTTTAGTTTAACCGTTGGATATTCAGTAGAGTATCTCTTTTTTATCAAAATAACCGTCTTTAAGAATCTCGACCGTTGAGATCTCTGCATCTTTAGATCTGGATCGTTAGTTCCGTTATTGTCAGTTCTTTGGATTCTTCTGTTAATTTCAATATCTACCCTCACATAAAATGCACTTATTCCATGTATTCCCCACTGAAAAAGTGCAAAGAGCAAAAACACGTGGGGTTAGTTTAGTCATTCAATATTTTCCTCGCCGACGGGGCGCCTCGATGTAGTTGATTTTTCTCTCTCCTCAAAAAATTGGCCGTTAAACAGTTTTTACTGGATGGCGATTGGCCTTGAGCACTGCACACACAATACCCGGCATTGTACTTTTGTCTCTCTCTCCCCTGACCTCTACTAGCCGCATGGGTCCCGGCACGTGACCCTTTTAATTTTGTTCATTTAATAATATGAATGAATAATTTTTTCTTGATTTTTCCATTTTCAGTTCCGGTGAAGACACTGAGATCTGGAAAAATGAGCATGCAGTTGATGATCCGGAAGAGGTGGTTGCCATGGTAGAGATGTATGTGTATCTTTTTCTTACTGGTACCTGAAAAATATCACTGGTTTAGCTAACAGTATCAGGGGAGGATTTGGTGGTTAGGGGTAGTTGTTTTTAGGGAGGTGGCATTAATTTTGTCACTGCCTATCTGGTATAAGAGCTGCCAAACTGACCCCTTTTTATTAAAATCAACTTACTAATTCTGTTGTTGTCGTTGCTGGAATATTATTGAAGGATCTGCATTGGGTTTTCAAATTCCCTTTCTTGTCCTTCTCTTTTTGTGAAATTTGCTTTTTTTTTTTTTTTTTTTTTTATCACAACCTTTAAAATTTCCACGAGTAAGATGTAAGATGAGATTCAGTACCATAGGAATCAGACAGATGTTAAATGATTTGTAGTCTATTTTGTAATCTTTATAACTGAGGTAAGAACGCAATATTTCAAAACTATAGATCTAAAAAATCACAACTGGCTATACTCATTTGACAATAATTGAATTAGTGGTGTCTTTAACGCGCCTAATATCAGTAATATAATCAAGAGGAGGATAATAGAATTGGATAGTAGAGAACTAGTGGTTGAATAAGGTTCTGAATGTTCTTGTAATATATGAGGCGAAGAGAAATGACCACATGGAGAATTTTTATTAAGAGATTGAGTCACTTGTCGCGTTATCTCTGGATAATGTAGTCGTGAGAAAGGAAACAACACTTCCAATTCTGTAAATCCAAGTCAAAGAGCAATATGCCGAAAAATCTTAGACAGCTTTCCGCCCCTATTTATAATATTTTGATTCATACTTTAAAAGATATCAACTTTACTAAATACTGAGGTTCATATTGTGTTGACTAACTTTAGTCGTTGCTGGAAAACTTATTTGAAGGATCTCAGACATTGGCGTCATTTTTTCAGAAAGGATCTATTCTCCTCTTCCTCTATAGAGCTCCTCTTAATAGTCTCCCTATTATTGACTAGAAGCAATTCTCTCTATTGAGCTTCTTCTAAATATTGTCTTTATATGTTTTAATTTATAAATCTCTCCTCTCTTGTTCTTCTCTACTCTTCCAACCCTTGTATTCTCAATTCCTGGTATTTGGATAGAGTGAGATGCAACCGTTCGTGAGCTGAGTGTGGTTTCACGTAATACAATCTTCTTTTGGTATACAATTAGCAGTAAACGTCTATCCGCGTTTTAAATATAGAGGTGTTTGGTAATCAAATTAGTACACAATTGTTCTTTGTGTAAGCTCTATAAATGTTATGACTGATTTAGAGAACCCCTAGCCAATTTATTTTTAGTATTTGAGTGGTTAAATAGGGTTTTGTTTAAAATATTCCTTTCCGCTAATCAAGTTCAGGCTGGGTATATTTTCGTCAAGTGAAAGGTCAGGATAGATAGTGTGAAAATTCTTGTTTAGTGATTATTTTGCATTTTTTTGGATGTGGCAGCTTCGACCGTGTGTGGCCAAAGTAACAGAAAAAGACAGAACCCATGATTTTTTTTTTTTTTTTTTTTTTTTTTTTTGTTCTTTACCCTCTTTACTAATTCTGGTACATTGGTAGTGAGATCCGTGCTGTGTGGACGTAATTCTTTCTTTATCAAGCAGTAAACGCACGCGTAATGGGCAATTAGTACACAATTGTTTCTTTGTGTAAGCTCTATAAATGTTATGACTGATTTAGAGAACCCCTAGCATTTATTTTAGTATTTGAGTGGTTAAATAGGGTTGTTAAAATATTCCTTTCCCTAATCAAGTCAGGCTGGGTATATTTTCGTCAGTTGAAGGTAGGATAGATAGTGTGAAATCTTGTTTAGTGATTTTGCATTTTTTTGGATGTGGCAGCTTCGACCGTGTGTGGCCAAGTAACAGAAAAAAGACAGAACCATGATTTTTTTGCTTTCTATACTAAAAAGTAGAAACCAATTCAAGTGGATTTCTATCCGTTAAAACTCTGGTTCTCGCTAAATGACAAAATGTCAGCTTCCATTAGCATCCTTTGTTAGAATCTAAAGAAGTGACTAGTTAACCCACCGTCACCGACATATCATATGGCTAGGATTATTACTCTTGCCTGTAGGTATTAATTGATCCAAATGGTGAAATTTTAAGACCTTGATTAACTAATTCCAGCAATTTTTCACATTGGCAGGAGCATCCGCAACAGCACTGAAAGAAGACAGCTGGGGTATTTCTCATGTGGAACAGGCAATCCAATTGATGATTGCTGGCGTTGTGACCCCAACTGGCAGAAAAACCGCAAGCGCCTTGCTGAGTGTGGCATTGGTTTTGGAAGAAATGCAATCGGAGGCCGTGATGGTCGTTTTTACGTTGTTACTGATGCTGGTGATGATGACCCTGTTAACCCAAAGCCTGGAACTTTGCGCCATGCTGTTATCCAGGATGAACCTTTATGGATTGTGTTCAAAAGGGACATGGTGATTCAATTGAAGCAGGAACTTATCATGAACAGCTTCAAGACTATTGATGGCCGTGGGGTCAATGTCCACATTGCTAATGGAGCTTGCATCACCATCCAATTTGTTACCAATGTGATAATTCATGGTCTCCACATTCATGACTGTAAGCCCACTGGTAATGCTATGGTTAGGAGTTCGCCGAGTCACTTTGGTTGGAGGACAATGGCTGACGGTGATGCTATTTCTATTTTTGGATCAAGCCACATTTGGGTTGACCACAATTCGCTTTCACATTGCGCTGATGGCCTAGTTGATGCTGTCATGGGTTCAACTGCCATTACTATTTCCAACAACCACTTCACCCACCATAATGAGGTGTGTATCCTTCCTTTTTTTTACGCGTCTTTAACAATTTTGCTTCCTCATTTACTAGTAAAAGCTAATAAGTCTGTCGATTGCAATTAATTAAATACAGGTTATGCTCTTGGGCCACAGTGATTCCTACACAAGAGATAAGCAAATGCAAGTGACAATCGCCTACAACCATTTTGGAGAGGGACTCATTCAGAGAATGCCACGGTAACAATCAAATTAACGTTTCGTATTAGTGTAATCACTTGAAAAAAATGCAATCCTTTAGTATTACAATCTAGTTGAAGCTAAACTTAAAAGATTTTGAATAATGAAAAATGCAGTTGCAGACATGGTTACTTCCATGTGGTAAACAATGACTATACTCACTGGGAGATGTATGCAATTGGTGGAAGTGCAAATCCTACCATTAACAGTCAAGGCAACAGATATAATGCACCATTTAACCCTTTTGCTAAAGAGGTATATATTACATATGACTCTAGTTTATCGCTCTTCATGCCCACAGCAAAAGTTTGCTGACAAATTGCTTTAAACAGGTGACAAAGCGAGTGGACACAGCTACAAGCCAATGGAAGGGCTGGAATTGGAGGTCAGAGGGTGACCTTCTGCTGAATGGTGCTTATTTCACACCATCAGGAGCTGGAGCTTCAGCTAGCTATGCTCGTGCTTCAAGTTTGGGTGCCAAGTCTTCTGCGATGGTTGGAACGATGACTGCTAATGCTGGTGCTCTGCCCTGCCGCAGAGGTCGCGAATGCTAATATACTTTGATCAATTAAATTGGTCAAAATAGGCCAACTAATATCTGCATTTTTATTTCTCATCCAATTGTTTCTTTCCAGTCTTTTCTGCATTACCAAATATATTGGCAAGTGTACATTTTTTACACATGTCATCATCATATTGTCACACCCATATTTTCATGTCACCAATCTGGCTTGTCTGTCTGTTGTTTCTCAACCTCGGCCTGCTTCGTTTCAAAACCAAAAATCCCAAAACCATTATTTCTAGGAGCAAGGTGCAGAAGCGTTGTTCTTCTTTTTGAAGTTTTTTCTTTTGCCCCTTTCAGTTGCCCCACGTCTCTCTCTTCTAAGTTCTAACTACCTTTCATATGCCTTTTCCGAGTCTAATGTTTCAGTTTGTCCAGTCTTTTGAGTCTATAGGATTTGAATGAATATGTGTTTTTTTTTTTTTTTTTTAATTTTTTGTCTAGTGATGATACAGAGCAATAGCATGGATTTCAATTTCAATTTATGGAAAAAAAAAAGAACTTTGTTATAGATGATGCATTGATATAGCAGTTGTGCTCTTTTATCTTTTTCACCTTTTTTGCTATTTTTTTCCCTTGTGTTAATGGAAGCAACATTCCTTACTTTAATTTCTTCTGTGGCTACATCAACATGTGTTCTTTTCGCTCTTTGTACTTTTATCCTGTCATGTGCGTAACTGCAGCATCCACATGATCTAAAGTAACTAACCAACTAACTACTTTTATTAATAATCACACTTTATATTCATCTGTCATTGATATTGTTATGAGCTTATCACAACCAAATGAGATAACAAGATACGTAATATAGTAATTAATTATATTCAATAAACAAAATTAAGGTTTACTATCATTACTTAATGTAAAAGATGACGATGATGATGATGAAAAGGCTTGGAATTTGCATGTGAGTTTGGGGCCATATGGCATGTGAGAAGTTCTTTGCCTGGTCCAATTTTAATTCTTCAGCCATCAAGCACATGCATTAGACATATTGTACATATGAACATTACCACAGCTGTCACTTTCTTAGCATCCTCAACTTTAAGCATTAATGTTATCCTGAGATGCTTATCTGAATGGCCTTCTGTTTTCACATCAAGGATCGTATTAGAAATCAAATTTTAAGATTTTTAAACATTATTGTGCAAGTTGCTGGTTATAAACGCAACAATTTATGGTTTGGATAAAATGGATGTATAAACAAGTCTTGAAATATGCAAAAAATTGCAAGGTATGTTCTACATGAAACTCTACATCTCATTCCGACTCCACAGATTCCAGTAAGAAGAATGCTTTATCCAGAAGTTAAAAACCGAAGTCACTGCCCCGCAAAAGAATCAACACGAGTAAAAGCAGCAGCAAACTAATTCACTCTGCCTGGTTCTCTGTATTTGGATCCCACAAGTGTTTGCTAAATTCTGGCATTCACCGCAACCAACAGTAACTGCTTTAAAGCCCAAATTACAAGTAGCAAAAGCCCATTTCAGCATTATGGTTGCACAACTAATAACAAATTTACCAGCTTAATTAATATGACAGTTGCACCATACGCTAAGCAGTTGACAAGAGCAGGACAGACTTCATCAGCTATTGACAACTGATTACACATTATAAAAACTACAGCGAAAATAAACCAACCCTTAGTGATACTGATGCAGAGAGTAGATAATATGAGAAAGTATGATACAGGTGGTTTAAAACCGTAGTCCACAATAGGAGAAAAAACCAATAACAACTTTCGAGCCCATGCCATAGAAACGTAATTGGTCTACATTATTGGGCCTGTAGATAAAATTTTACACCATATCCAAACAGGCATAAACTTGGATATTAAAGACAAAAACAGTAAAGAAAAAGCATCAACAAACAAGAAAACGTCAGCTAATTACTTAATTCCAAAGGTTCATATCGACTACATATAATAATAATTCTACTATCCGTTCTCAATCATAAGAAAGAGTGAATCCCAAAAACTGACTACATAGACACACAGTGTCTTCTTTCTCAAGTAAAAAGTACACATTTTTGCCAATACTATCAGTAGTTTCTATTCTTAAAACATCTACTTATCATCACCCTTGAGCTTCTTCTTCCTTGCTGCATCCTCTTCAGCCTCCCCACCATCTTCCATTTTCCCTGATAAATGAGATTTACAGATTGTTAGCAACCAGCAACTACAATCATTCAACTAAAAGATCAACAATCTTGAAAGATATGAATCACAAACAAAGCCAGACTTACTTTTGACAGGTGTAGAGTTGTCATTCTCATTCTTGTCAGCTGCATCTTCCTTGGACTTATCAGATGCATTTTGTTCATTCCCATTAGGTTCATCAGTCTCAAAGACATATCCAGCTTCAGCAAAATGATCTTTCACCAATGCAAGAGCCCTAAAGCGGTGAGAAATCTTGTTCTTTTCCTCCTTTGGCATCTCAGCAAATCTGTAAACTCAAAAAACGTAAAATTTTGATGAGATATGTACTAACAAACAGAAAAGCAAAAGCAAATAGCTTACGTTAGTTCATAGCCATCAGGCTGAAAGACCGGATCCCATCCAAAATCTGTTGGACCCCTTGCAGGAACAATCTTACCCTAAAAAGCAAATACTATGTCAGTGCTACTGAAAAACACTACCAATTTTACATGGGAAAACACATAAAAAAAAAACAATGAACAGAAGGAATAAAATATAAAATTGAGAAAACTACAGTTATCGTTGCTAACCTTAAAACAAAATTATAGACAAAAACCTATCCACGTTAAGGTCGAATTGAATAGGAAAAACAAAGGAACAACAAACTAAGCATAAAAACGTACCATAGTTTTCCCCTCAAAGGTGATTGGTTCAGAATCAGGCCCGAGTGCAAATGAAAACACACACAACGCATAAGCAGATTTATCATCATATGCATCCAACAAGTTGTTCAGACCTAAATAAAGCAGAACATGTTAACAGATGCAGGGAAAAAAAAAGCATCAAGTACAACATTTTACAGAATACAACCTTTAAGACCAGTCTTCTCCAGAAACCACTTGCTGCACAATTTAACAACCCATTAAGATGGGTCAATCAAATCAAAACAATAAAATTAGACATAGGACGTTCACAAAAAAGAGAATAAAATTGCATGATTACATACCTATAAATAAAGCTGATAAAAATGGTCTTCTTTTGCATATCAAATCATATGATAACAGCAAAACGCTTCTATATTATTCATGCTAGGCGAATGTACCGATTTTGAGACAATATAAGAAAATTTTTAAAATAAATTCAAAGACATATAACAGAAATACTACTTAAGCATGTTTACATTTAGCATATGTTTGATAAGCTTTAATGGAAGACAATGCAATGTGATCAAAGGCATTTCTAGTTAAACATCACACCAGAAATGCCTTCTATCACATTACATTATGTTCCATTTCAGCAGATCAAATATAGCCTCATACGTCTATCGAAATGCTATGATTTTTGAATAGCAGATTGATAAGATAATTTGATTATAACAAGCAGAAATCAAACATAAACTTTTCAGTAACAAAGAACTTCTTTATCAGTTTAAGCCGCATAAAATAAATCTATTTCAATTATTCAATCAATTTCACAATCAACCTTCTATGCAAAACATTAGAATCAAAAAGGGACCTGAACACAACTTAAGAAAGACAGAATTTACCTCGCGAATGGAATAAAAAAGAGAATACAAACTTACATGTAAGGCCCTGCAAGCAAACCATTAACAATCAGGCAAAATAATAATCATAACAAAGTATAGTTAATACTATCAAAAAAAAAAGAAAAAAACAAAGTATAGTTAAAGAATTAAGCACTAAAAAGAAAGAAGATAAAGAAATTTTCTAAAAACATTTGATTAAAGTAGCAAAATAATTAGTACCTGGAAGTCCCTTTAGAGCATTGTAGCAGAGACACGTGTCTTCCACCAATACAGGCCCTTTCACCTTCCAATTTAAATAAACACGAACAATTCAAGCATCACTGACTCGCAGATAAAAGAAACTCAACCACGCGCGTAAGATGTGCATATACACTAAATATACGCAGAAATACACATATACGTACAATTATAATTATATATATATACACAGACCTCTTTAGCAGCCAAACGAGCTTTTTCTTTGCAAATCGCTTCTGGTTCGCCTTGCAGTTCAGGGACTGTAAAACCAAAACAAGAAAAATCAGAAACAAGTCAATTTCCAAGAAGGTTTTAGACAGAGAAAGACTACGAGAGAGTGAGAGAGAGAAAAAAGAGCATTTACGATCAATTTTCTTAGATCGCAGAGGAATAGACTGTCCGATGATGGCGCGGACCTCTTCCAGCTTCTTAGCGTTTCCAGTGACGAAGGTGACCGGACGAGAAACCACCACTTTCGTTGCCGCTGCCATATTCTGAGTCCTTTCTTTTCTTTTTCTGTGTTCTTTTCCCTTCTTTTGAGAGAAGATAGACAGATGTATATATAGAGTGCTTTTGATTTGAGAGGAAATTGAACAATCGCTGTGACTTTGTGCTTCGCACTAAAGCGAGTGTGTACTATGTTGGACTTGTTTGGTTCCCGGGGTAAATAAAAACCTAGAACGGAATAAGTAGTGTGTGGATAAATTACCTAAAATGACCCTAGTAAACTGCCTCTGTAAAAATGATTCATGGACCAGTAGTAATTGAACTCGTAGATTCCCTTTTTCTTTGGGAACAGAAAAGGCATGAGAAGAATTAATAGCCAAAGATAATTCTTCTTTTTGTTGGAAATTGTTGATGGCATTAATTATCATCCCTCTTTTACAGTTTTCAGTACGGTGAGAATGTAGGGAGATATATGTAATTGAACACGTCAACTTCGGTTCAACGAAGAAAGACTTAAAAGAAAGGAAGCAGAAAGGACAAAAACAGAAGGATCCCAACTGCTTTTATCAGGAGGGAAACTTAGCTAGGAAGTTGAGCTCCCTCTCCATGTGAGAATTACTATTTGGTACCTAAAATTTAATCGTAATTACTGTGATACTGTTTTGGTAAAATTACGATTAGGCTTCCATGATAGTCTCCCGCCTTTTAAGCTTTGATTGTGCTGTTTCCATGTGAAGACGCACTCTTGAGTCACAAGAGTGGAGACTACTTAATTTCTTGTGTGCTTGAATCTCTAATGCATAGCTCTGAAATTGAAGTGACAGTTGCTAACTTGCTATCACAAAATTGCTGCAGCTTCTTACATAACAAACGCTTTCCATGCATTACCTTTTAGTTTTTTTTTTTTTTTTTTTTTTTGATTGTGGCTGTTTTCCATGTGAAGACGCACCTCTTTGAAGTCACAAAGAAGTGGAGACTACTTAATTTCTTTGGTGTGGCTTGAATCTCTAAATGCAATAGCTTCTGAAATTGAAGTGACAAGTTTGCTAACTTGGCTAAATCACAAAAATTGCTGCAGCTTCTTACATAACAAACGCTTTCCATGCATTACCCTTTTAGTTTTTTTTTTTTTTTTTTTTTGGTTATCTCCGGCCCCACAAATGGTAACCCCTTGTCTTGCCTCTGTTGGCAGCATCATCCTGGGCCCTTAAACTCCGATTAAAATTTTTTTTTTTTTTTTTTTTTTGGTTATCTCGGCCCCACAAATTGGTAACCCCATTTGTCTTTGCCTCTGTTGCAGCAATCTGGGCCTTACTCCGATTAAAATGCACCCAATTAATGTCAAAAATTGGATTTTATTTCTTTTTTCTTTTTGAGAATGCAAAAATTCAATTAGTTTCAGAAACGAAACCAAAATCCAACTATTTACAACAAAGATTCAGATTAATAAATCGAGGTAATTTAATTTGTTTATTCCATTTTGAGTTTTTCTTTACTAGCCTTTTTTACATTAAAATTAAAAAAATTAAGTTATTTAAATTTCATATGTAATGAAAGATAATAAAATGGAAAAATCACACTATTAAGTTTCATTATTAATAATAATAAATGAAGTAATATTTCTTTTTCTTTCAAAATGGTGAGATGGAAACCATGATAAAATTTATTAATTCTATAAATTGTGATCTATATTTTCTCAAACAATAATAGTGGGCCTTAGAACAAAATAGGTTGCTTTCAAACTTGAGTATAAGCCCATTTAGCATTTGCAGTTGGCAATTAGCCACTTCTAGGGTATTAAGAGATCCATTCACATTTTTGTCAAAAAAAAAAAAAAGGGTCACTCGCACTTAGAGTTGTGGACTTGTTGTTGTTAAATTTTTCCAACCTAAACCTTAAAGGTCCAATTCTATCCTTGATAAAAGGCCCAATTGGAAGGCTATAGTGGGCCTTAGTACAAAATAAGACTAATATGTCGGATGATTTGCAATTTTTTATAACTCGTAGGGTTGTTGAATGAATTTGATTTTATAAAATTATCTTTCGAGAAGATCAATGATTATTAATTATTTTTTCAATTATCTTTACTTCTCTTTGTCTCACTTTTAATTTTAACGGAAGATCCATAGAGAGAGAATTATTGAAATTAAAGTAATTAAGTAAAATAAATTATGATTTAATTAAATTAAGGGATATTTTATTTATAATTTAGATTATTTAATTACTTTTCCCATCAACAACAAATTAGATTGGATGGAAGGAGTAATATAACACATGACACTTCATTTAATTGTGTTGTATTCAACTTACTTTGGAACACTTTTACAAATACTGCTTCCAATATTTTCTATCTCAATTATTCCTCAATCTTGACCATTGATCAGGAAAATAATCAAAGATCCAACGGCTGTGACTTGGCCCTCAGAAGTAAAAAATTTAAACCTGTCCTATACAATTTTTGTTTCAAATTTTAAAAGCTAAAGGTGGTGTATGAGTAAGCTAAGCTTCTTTGGTTGGGATTGATTGTATTCTGCTTGTGACAGAAACAAAAACGTGTATAGATTCCATTGGGGAAATTCCCAATGCCACGACCCTTAAAATAGGGGGCTATAACATAAGCAGCGCCGTTTAACTTTAATTTTTTTTGGTCCTTTATGGTCCTAAAGTTCTATTTAATTAAGTCCTACATGGGACATTATAATAATAATTATTATTATTATTGTTTATTTAAAGCATTATAATAGTAATTGTTTAAAGACTTTTTGGTTGCAAAATCTGGATTCCAATCCTCACGTGATATGGCCTCAAAATCAGGGATGTGCTCTTTTATTTAATTATTATTATTATTATTATTGTTATTATTTCTCTACTCAATCCACTTAGTGCCCAAAAGTCCTTATTCTAATTATAATTTCACACTATAGGTTATAAATTGAGACAATGTATATGCCTTGTTTTGTTTATCTTTTTCCCTTTCTTTTTATGATTATGGGAATGTAAGATTGACCCATTTTGTACTTTGGCCCCACTTTTGGGAGTTCCCTGGCCACAGGATTGCTACACTTTACTTCATCATCATAGTCAACAAAACTTCTACAGTTCTACTTGCCTCTTACCTCTATTATTATAGGTCTTGCCCTTGTAGATAAGGTCTCTTACAGGAATTTTAGCTATACATACCAACCAAACCAACTCCTCTATGTAATAGAATTTTTTGACTACGATCAAAAACTAAAGTGTAGCAATCATGTGGCTAGGGAACCCTCGTAACTGGGACCATACCAGAGTTTGATTTTCTATCTCTTATATTCTTTAACAAGGTGTAATAATGTCACCAAAATAATATTTATTGGAATCGTTATTCTATCCATTGTAGAAGTACTGTTTTATTTTTAATCAAAGTTGATATATGAAATATTTGTAAATATCTATTATCAAATATGTTTAATATAATACGTAAAAGAATTTTTTTTTCAACAAACGTATCTAAATACTTAAATTTATATGTGTTATGAATAATAATTTTATTATTATTATTATATAGTTTAGATTCATTAATTTATACATCAACCCATAATAAACAAGTCAAAGCAAATCAAATATCCAAAAATACCTAATATGCTTCAATACCTATGCATGAGGCACTAAAACATGGAATGAAACATATTCTAATAGGAACTACATTTATAAAGATGGGGTATGGGTATATCTGGCATTAACTTTTGACTATCCAATAAAAAATGACTAACTTAAATCATAGCATGGACCGTCATTAAATTGAATAGTTTGTTGATGACTGGATTGTTCTCGTAAATTGTTTGAGTATTTAAAGAAAAAAAAAATCAGTACACACCTTACCTTCATACACTTTAAAATGCAGCGATTCTTTATTATTATTATTATTATTATTATTATTATTATTAGAAGATTAATGAACCGAAATAACACAATATTAATATAAAATACAAATTTTTTTTTCAGATATTAACGTAATTAAACATGTAAACCCTGTTAGAAATTTTGGAGCTTCTTTTGTAATTTATTGAATAACTATTAAACACAGAAAAAATAACATTGGATCTAACGGTGATCTACACCCAATTAATCTCTTCAATCGATGGATACCCTCTACCATATGTCATACATGTTTTGTCAGCTCAAAATATTTAATAAAAATTCTAACCCTATTGTTTTAATACACCGTGTGAATGGATAAATTAGAATACATAAAATATATTTTTTTTATTTAACAAAAATTTTTAAGAAGGAAAATAAAAGGTATTTAATATTTAATTATAAATTTAAAAGTATATAAATAAATTAAAATTTTCTCTCTTTTTTTCCCTAGAAAATGTATATTAAACATTATAAGGTTTAATATCCAAAAAAAAAAAAAACATTATTAAGCATGCCAAGGTAATGGTAGCTTGAGGAGGAAGTGATGTATAGTGTGAGGTGGCATCATCTTGAGCATTGCTTAGTTACTTTGGGTTTAAGTTAGAACTTAGAAGGATGATAAGGTTAGCATGTACAAACAGTCAGGAAATGTCACAAGACTTCCTATCAAACTCCTGGTGCTTGAAAATAACTGCACGCTATGTGGTTTTTAAATTATAGTTAATTTAATTAATTGCAATTAGTTACAAATTTACAATCATAAGCCACGTGAAATTTTTTTTTTTTTTTTTTTTGTGGTTTTTAAAAATTATAGTTAAATTTAAATTAATTGCAAATTAGTTACAATTTACAATCATAAGCCACGACCGTGAAATTTTTTTTTTTTTTTTTTTGGAAATTTAAAGCCACAATGAAATTTAAATATTATATCATATATTTAACTTAGAGATAAGTCCTAGAATATTATATAAATATCAATATATTTTCTTTTTTAAACCAAAAAAAAAAAAGGAATGCTAAAAAAACCAATTTCTTTCAAAATAAATTAAGCAAATTGTTAAATAACGGAAGGCAGGCCAGGGCATAATTTGTGGACACTGTGTTGCTTAACTTTTTTGCCTCACTATTTCAAATCAATTAATGAATTTAGTATGATATATGTATATATAAAGTATATTTATAGAAGAATATTGACACACAAAGGAAATAATTTGGGTTTTTTTTTTTTTTTTTTTTTGGAATTAAGCCACATGAAATTTAAATATTATATCATATAATTTAACTTAGAGATAGTCTAATATTATATAAATATACATATATTTTCTTTTTAACCAAAAAAAAAAGGAACTAAAAAACCAATTTCTTCAAAATAAATTAAGCAAATTGTTCAAAATAAGGAAGGCAGGCAGGGCATATTGTGACACTGTGTGCTTAACTTTTTGCCTCACTATTTCAAATCATATGAATTTAGTATGATATATGTATATATAAAGTATATTTATAGAAGAATATTGACACACAAAAGGAAATAATTGGGTGGTCCAAGATGTTTTAAATAGAAAAAGATCTTGTAATTTGCTTGTAATAGGAAAAAATAACAAAAGCCTCTGGGGAAAACGGTCGGGAACTTTTTGAAAATTATTATTTTTAATTTAATTTTCCTTTTGAGCATAGTTTCCAATTGAATCGTTATTTTTTTTATTTATATATATGTAACTGGTTGCATTATTTTTATTTTTCAGATACAAAATTAGTTTCGATTTGGATTCTTGACTATTTCTTTCTATCCATGGTTTTTGTATACATTTGATTTTATAGAAATGGTTTGTTCAATTCAAATCTGTCTTAATTTTTAAACTATTCAGGGTATTTAATTTATATAAACAGAATAATTAAATTTTTTAGATTTTTTATTTTAGAAATTTTAAATTTGATGTATAATATCAAATGTTATGCTTGACTAAACAAGGCAATTAAGTAATGTAATTTTGATTTTGTGGAAATGCTTAATAAGGCAATTTTAAATTCCAATTCAAAGCAAAAGTTTCAATTGTTGCTAATATAATTGTCAAGAACAGCTAAACTCCAGCTCTCCATTGTCCTAAATTCTGCTTATTTTAGACATGGAAGTTGTGACCCCTGCTGACAAAATCCAGCAATTAAAGCACTTTCTTTATATACCATTCCACCTTTCTTTCTGTGCAATCAGAATTGGTAGAACCAAAAAAATGAACAGAATAAATAAACAAAAGACACAACTCTTTCCAATTATAAATGTCCAATTTTTTTATTTTTTTATTTTTTAAATCTTGCTTAGTGCATTTTGGCCATCTCTCAAGTTCAATCGAGAGACATTATCCACGCTAAAATTAAAGAATTCATAGAAAAGAAAAATATTAAAGATTTATAATTTTAGTCAATAAGAAGCTAATCGATATATATATATATATATAGCAATTAATTTAAGTTTATCGCCATACATATGGTATATACAGGATCTACCAACATGCTAAATTTCGACCCTTTTTTTTAAACAATACTTAATTATTGATTTGATATAGAAACGGAGTCATATACTATCGAGGGAGGGTGGATAAGTATATATTGATTAATTAAGTTGGCACTTGAAAAGAGGGCAAGAGGAACAGTAACTGAACCCAGTAAAAACCAAGAACCTTAAATGAGCAACAGGGTAAGCCCATTGTCTGTTTCTTCGTATAAAAAAATACTAGAGACAGCTATAATGGAGAGAGCAAGACACTGAATTGGAGATAGTGCTACTGCTACCTGCTCTCACTCACACTCCCTTTTCTTTAGTACCATATAAATATTATATAATAGAGTCAAAAATTAGAATTAAATATGTAAGACCAACCTGATTTTCTGCTGAGGCATCAAATTAAACAATTATCTATAGTTATAAAGAAAAAAGAAAAAGAATATATATGTACAAAAATAACTCATTTATATACATGTGGTGGTGCTTCTCAGTTCTCTCTCTAATGGTAGTGTGTGAACCCACCATCCATTATTTTATATATCAAGAAAAACAGACAGAGGAGGATCCTAGGTGAAGGTGTGGGATGGTGGTGGTGGTGGTGGTGGTGGAGGTGGTGCAGTTTTGTTGATCTCTATGCATTGTTTTTTTTTTTTTTTGAAAGATTAATTAATTTATTATCTATAATATTTCTTTTGGTTTTGTTTGCGCTTTTCTTTGTATTTCTAGGTAAGGTACTAAACACTATACTACTTGTTTGAGTTTTGTGTTCAAAGCAAGCAAGAGAGAGAAAGAGAGAGAAGCAAAAACCAATTATGCAAATCCGAGAAGAAAGTTTTGGAAATTGATGCAAATGTCGATTATGCCTTGTTCAAGGCAAATCCTCTTCTCTTCTTCTTCTTCTTCTTCTTATTCTTTGTTATCATTTTCTATCTTAATTAATCTTCTTTTTCTATCACCTCCTTCTCTGGCTGCACCAAACCATGAAGCATCTATTCTTTTTTCTTGGTTACATTCTTCTAATAACAATTCACTGCCGCCACCTTCTTTCTCTAGCTGGAACAATCTTGATTCTTCCCCATGTAATTGGACCTTCATAAAGTGTTCTCCTCAAGGTTTTGTTTCTGAAATAGATATTCAGTCTATTCCTCTCCAGCTTCCTTTACCATCAAATCTTTCTTCTTTTCTTTTTCTTAATAAACTTGTCATTTCTGATGCTAATATCACTGGAACTATGCCTCTTGATATTGGAGACTGTGTTTCGCTTACTGTAATCGACCTCAGCTCTAATAGTCTTGTCGGAAATATTCCAAGAAGCATTGGCCAGCTTAAAAATCTTCAAGACTTGATTTTGAATTCTAATCAGTTAACTGGAAAAATCCCAGTTGAGTTAACTAATTGCATTGGCCTCAAAAATCTGCTTCTTTATGATAATCGGTTGAGTGGGTACATTCCAACAGAGCTAGGCAAGTTGTTAAGTCTTGAAGTTCTTAGAGCTGGAGGAAATAAAGACATTATTGGCAAAATTCCTGATGAGCTTGGAAATTGCAGGAACTTGACAGTTTTGGGATTAGCTGATACAAGAGTTTCAGGTTCTTTGCCTGTTTCATTGGGTAAACTAAGTAAGCTGCAAACACTGTCCATCTATACTACAATGCTTTCTGGTGAGGTTCCTCCTGATATTGGTAATTGTTCTGAACTTGTAGATTTGTTTCTTTATGAAAATAGTCTCTCTGGTTCGATTCCGCCGGAGATTGGTAAGCTTGGAAAGCTTGAACAGTTGTTGTTATGGCAAAATAGTCTTGTTGGAGTCATTCCAGAAGAGATTGGAAATTGTAGTAAATTGAAAATGATTGATTTGTCTTTGAATTCTTTATCTGGGACTATACCTTCTTCTATAGGTGGTCTTTTGGAGCTTGAAGAGTTTATGATTAGTGATAATAATGTGTCTGGTTCAATTCCCTCCAATCTTTCTAATGCTACAAACCTTTTGCAATTGCAACTTGACACAAATCAGATCTCAGGTTTAATCCCACCTGAGCTTGGGAAGTTGTCAAAGCTTAATGTGTTTTTTGCTTGGGCAAACCAACTTGAAGGAAGCATTCCCTCTAGTTTGTCTAAATGCAGTAACCTTCAAGCACTAGACTTGTCTCATAATTCACTTACTGGAATTATCCCTCCTGGCCTGTTTCAGCTTCGAAACCTCACTAAACTTCTTTTAATATCTAATGACATTTCTGGTTCTGTACCACCAGAGATTGGTAATTGCAGCTCTCTTATCAGGCTAAGGCTTGGTAACAACAGGATTGCTGGTGGCATTCCTAAAGAGATTGGGGATCTTAAGAACTTGAATTTTCTTGATTTATCCACCAATCGCCTTTCTGGTCTGGTTCCTGATGAAATAGGAAGCTGCACGGAATTGCAAATGATAGACCTTAGCAATAACACTATACAGGGTCCCCTGCCAAATGCATTGTCATCTCTGAATGGCCTTCAAGTCTTAGATGTTTCAGCTAATCAATTTGAAGGTGAAATACCAGCAAGCTTGGGCCGCCTTGTTTCACTCAACAAGCTCATTCTAAGCAGGAATTTGTTCTCTGGATCAATACCTTCGTCTCTTGGCCTTTTTTCAAGTCTTCAATTGCTTGACCTAAGCGACAATGAACTCACTGGCAGCATTCCGATGGAATTGGGTCATCTAGAAGCCCTTGATATTGCTCTCAATCTCAGTTATAATGGACTTACAGGGCCAATTCCACCTGAGATGTCTGCACTCACTAAGCTTTCTATATTGGACATCTCACATAACAAGCTTGAAGGAAATTTAAGTCCTCTTGCAGGCCTTGGCAATCTTGTTTCTCTCAATGTATCTTTCAATAACCTCACTGGCTATCTTCCTGATAATAAGCTGTTTAGACAGCTACCGCCAGAAGATTTATCAGGAAACCCAGGTCTATGTTCTTCCATCAAGGACTCATGTTTCTTGAGTGATGCAGGCAGCACAGGACTGTCAAGAAATGGAGATGACATAAGGCAGTCACGAAAGCTTAAGCTAGCAATTGCTTTGCTTATCACATTGACAGTGGCTATGGTGATTATGGGGACAATTGCAATTATTCGTGCAAGAAGAACCATTAGAGATGATGATGAGTCCGAATTGGGAGATTCATGGCCTTGGCAATTCACTCCATTTCAAAAGTTGAATTTCTCTGTTGATCAAGTTCTGAGAAGCTTGGTGGATTCCAATGTAATTGGAAAAGGGTGTTCTGGTATTGTTTATCGTGCTGATATGGAAAATGGTGAAGTCATTGCTGTGAAGAAGCTTTGGCCTAATACAATGGCAGCCGATAATGGATGCAATGATGAAAAAAGTGGCATTCGCGATTCTTTCTCAGCAGAAGTGAAAACACTCGGTACTATTAGGCACAAGAACATTGTTAGGTTCTTGGGCTGTTGTTGGAATAGAAGTACAAGATTGTTAATGTACGATTATATGCCGAACGGAAGCTTAGGTAGTCTCCTACATGAAAGAACAGGAAATGCATTGGAATGGGAACTCAGGTATCAAATTCTGTTGGGAGCAGCACAAGGCCTTTCTTATTTGCACCATGATTGTGTTCCTCCAATTGTTCATAGAGATATCAAAGCCAACAACATCCTTATTGGCCTTGAATTTGAGCCTTATATTGCAGATTTTGGCCTTGCTAAGCTTGTCGATGATGGTGATTTCGCTCGGTCATCCAATACAGTTGCAGGCTCTTATGGATATATTGCTCCTGGTAAATGCATACTATCCATCTACACCAAACTATTCAAATTCCCTTCTAGTTTATTTTACTTTATACTAATCCAAGTTCAATTCTTGTAATTCAGTTGCAGTATTTTTTTTAAGACATGTGAACTGACATTGCTGTTCTATTCAGAATATGGTTACATGATGAAGATTACAGAGAAAAGCGATGTTTATAGCTACGGAGTGGTGGTATTGGAAGTTTTAACAGGCAAGCAGCCAATTGATCCAACAATACCAGAAGGACTACATGTAGTGGATTGGGTTAGAGAAAAGAAGGGAGGCGTTGAAGTGCTAGACCCTTGCCTATTATCTAGACCAGAGGCTGAAATTGAAGAAATGATGCAAGCATTAGGCATAGCCTTATTATGTGTTAATTCCTCTCCTGATGAAAGACCAACCATGAAAGATGTTGCTGCAATGCTTAAAGAGATCAAACATGAAAGGGAGGAGTATGCAAAAGTTGATATGTTACTTAAAGGTTCATCACCAGCAGCAAACACAGAAATCAAGAACTCAATTAGTATTAATGGAGTTGCTGCAACTTCATCATCAAAGACAGAAGCAATTCAAAGTTGGTACCCAAAAAGCAATAATTCAAGCTTCTCTGCTTCCTCTTTACTTTACTCATCTTCGTCTAATGCCAAAGGGGGCTTCAAGTGATGAAAATATATAAATATATATAAAATTACAGATTGCACAGTCTTGATGTAGAGTGGAATTAAGCTTGTTCTTTTTTTTTTCTTTTATGCTTTCTTCCTCAATTTGTTCTTTTCCAATGTAAAGAAAATGCTGATATATTTGTTATAACTACTAAATTCAACAACTACAAAAAGAGCCAATAAAGAAACTTTAATTCCTCTGGTAAGTCTAATTTTTACCTTCATTCAATTAGCTAATCATCTAGTGCAATAATTATCATACAAAGAGCAAAATATTCAAATTGAAGATACAAAGAAAGAATCTAGTGAAAAAGTTGATTCTGAGATAACCAGACTCGAAGATCAAGTTATTGAATTTTGACTTTCAAATTCCACTAGGGTAAGTGGGGCCCATGATGAAGTGGGTCTTTGATTCCACTTCATGAAAGTATGGCAGCTCTCTCTTCTTCTTCTTCTTCTTCTTCCTCCTCCTCTCTGGCCTTTGGTTGCTAGGGTTTCACTTTTTTTCTCATTTCCCTAGTTGGTTAATCAGAAAGAAAGAATTGATTCCTGATTTGCATCTAAGTGTACCTTTTTCCAAAGTATCTTAGACTGCTGTGCTACTTTAGAAAGGGCACAGCTTTCTGCTGGAAAAGGACTGTTTGATCAGAAAGAAAAGGTTACACCATGTGAATTGTACTAAAAAAATATTTATATCTGAGTTGTGAGATGATTAATGCATGTCCTAATAATAATTGATTCTCACTTTCTATGGGTATTGGATAATTTGAACTTTTGATTTACTGTTGGTCGTATAGGAATAGTAACCATGAAAGTAAGTTCTTAAACAATAAGACAAAATGCTCCATTAGTTCAAATAGTCTTCGCATTGATAAATGGACCCCAATGCCATTACCATCCAAGGAAGCATATAGTTTCTAAAGAAGCAAATACTAAATCTGCCTTTTCTTTGGATCGTTCTTTTTTGTGAAACTTCAACTTCATCTTTTCTTGATGTTGGGCTGCTAGTACTGCATCACTATTACCTGAGAAACATTTAAAATCTATTGCTAACAAGAGAAAAAAAAGTACATAATGTGCAAAATGTTCCCTTTCCTCAATTTACCAGTTCCATTGTCCAATTAGTAATTTATGTGCAAATGCTCTCTTTTCTCAAAATTTGCTAGTTCCATCCTACAATTTATAATTTATGTTTGTTTGTATTTCATCCGGTTTGTAATACTCTGTCAAGAGTTATCAATATGTATTATTTTAAAAAGTTATGACATAAAAATTTAGATAGTCCACAACCATTATATAGAAATTTTGATTTTATTCTCAATGGCGAATTGCTCTTAACAATTAAGTAAGAGCAAGAGAGACAAGTTATTAAATTCATTTATTAATTTAAAGAGGGCAGGCAGCAGATCCATAGCCACAAGCTCGAAACTCAATTATTCGCAGCAACAATATTGAAAAAGTGGAGGATAACATTTGCCTCCTGCATAACCGATACGTTTGCAAAACGCACCACAATCGGGGAAGTTTTCACATTTTCCTCTGCACACAGGTGCAGCCTCTCCTGCAAAATAAAGGAAGGTCACCAATTCAATATTAGCCTCCTACAAAATTATAATATATATGTATATAAAGAGAGCTAAGGCTTCCCTTTTAATTTACCTAGCAAGAAGAAGAGATTGAGAACTATGATTGTGATGATCAATATCCTAGTTATCAAAGAGAGATACATTTTCTTCTTCTTCTTCTGTAAGTTTTTTTTATCGATGAGGAAGGATATTTTGATAGTAAAGTGATTTCATAGTAATAGGCTTTATATACATGATAAGAGTTCGTATATCCTCCTTTTGGCTATAGATAAAAATAGGGTTGTTCATCCTTATTTGCATAAATCTTTTATTTATGTAAATATAATAATTACGATGAACATTTAATTTTTTAATTACTTTAGATTTTATGATTGATTTCATACTATAATAGTTTGTCTAATTTTTAATACTTTCCATGTCTAATCTTATTTAGAATTAGAATCATAACGTGGATAGTATATGTTTATTTTATTCGGAGAAAAAAAAAATCGTAATAAAGTTTATTTATTTTGTCAAAAAAATTTTATTTATTTAGCTATGAAGAAATTTATTTGAATTTCGCTACAAAGGATATTAGGTACCGTCACAAGTTTTATCTAAATAATAATAAATTATATTTATTTTTGTAGAACAAGTTACTTTAGGAAATAATTGTAACCAATCAACTTAAAGATATATTAAAAATCATTATTAAAATATTATATTTTTATCATATTTAATATATATCTTATATGGTATAATATAACCAAATAAAATTAAATATTACCTTTATTTTTTCAACCAATTAAAATAATTTCTTATAGAAATTATATATTTTTACCATATTTAATATATACGTACCTTATTTAGTATCCATTAAATAGTACTACCATATTATATTATATTACTATATAATATGTATATATATTACCATATTAAACATACATATATGCTATATTATTTAATATTATATTATATGATTTCGGTTTCAAAACTGTCAGTTCTCAGTGGAACCGAATAATATTTTCATATTTTATATACACTTTATATAATATATAATTTAGTTTAAATAGAAAACAAACGTGACCAATCAAAATTATCTTTATTTTTTCAATTGATCAAATTAAAATTTTTAATGCTATTTATATCAACCTATAAACTTAGTAGAGGTATTTTTGACCATCTCAATATTTTTTTCATCCATTTTCACTTTTATATATATTAATTAATTATAGATAAATTATAGAATATTGGACACTTGTAGAACATTGGATTTGTGAAATTTAATGATTATATTATTAAAATTTTGTATAGAATTTGATTTTTTTTATAAAAAAAAATCTATATTGAGTATGTACAAGATATGAATTGGATATAAGATTTTGAATCATCTTTTTCCATTCAAAAATTATTTTAAGTTAGAATTTTTCTAATATTTAGTGACTTACTATAGAAATAATATTGACCTTACTGACTCAATTAGAAAATTTAAGAATTAGTATTTTATAATTAACACATTAAAGTTATTAAAACACGAGTTTAATTATAATTTTAATATTACAATAATTATAATATTAAAATTTAAACTCAATTATAATAATGATGATTAATATTTGTATTTAATATTAAAAAAATCAAATTGTAATATAAAAATTAATAAAAAAGAAAAATATTACTATAAATTAAGATTTTAAATTCAAAATAGGAATTCTTATATTGAAATTTAAATTTATTATGAAAAAATATTAAATCCGAGAGCCAACAACATGTATAAATAACGTAGTAAAAAGCAGGGCTTCTTGGGCTCACCTTGCAACTGCCTCCTAACAAAAATGTTGAACTTTGCACTTGGGCTTTCTTTTTCAAGATTTGATATGACATGGCAAAGGGCAGGTGGGCACTAGTAATGACTGAAAAATGCTTTAAAAATAAATAACTCTGCTCTTTATATATTTTTCAATAATAAGAATCTCACACTCTTTTTTAAATTGAAATTTATTCTCAAATATTTTGATGGCTATTACGGTCGTGATTATTTTATTATAAAAATATAATACAAAGGGGATTTGATTTGTCTTTTTTAAAATATCCGCAAAATTTTACTATAAATTAATTTTGCACATATTAAATATTTTTTGGTAATTTGCACTTGTGCTTTATTTTCACAAGCAACTACGAAATATGAAAAACTAAATTAATTTAATTTAAGAAAATAATATATTATTTGATTTTTTATTTTGCTTGCTAGTTCGCCATTAAATACCATATATTTCAAAAAAATTTTAATTAATTTAGTGTATAGATAATTCCATACACCTGGGACAGCAAGTTTTATCCTAGTTTCTAAGTTCTTGAATCCTTTCGGACATGTTGTAGGAATTTGTGCAAGTACAAAAGTCACGACAAAAATAAATAAATAAAGGCAATTGATAACATATCATAGTTGAAATGAATGATAGTTGACATGTATGTTTCCTTAAATTTCACTTCTTTTGATTCACCTAACTCTCTGATTCCAAATTCAAAAATTTCCCTTCTCGAGATTATGAGAGCAAAGTTTCATTGTCAATTACTATCACCCCTTTATTACCTTCAACTGTTACCAACCCCCTCATTCCCTTATATAACCCAACTGTACCATACCAGAAGTACTGGTAGCTAGACTCGCAACAGATATAGAGAGAGAGAGAGAAATGGGTAGGTGTTGTTTGGTTTTTTTGCTTGTTCTAGCATTCGTGCATGCAAATGCACGTAATGTACCTTCTTCTGATCATGCAGGTCTGATCAGTGACCAAAAGAATTTTATTCATCCTTGTCCACCAAAGGAAACTACTGTTGACGATAACCTACCAAATCAGCAAGTATTTGTGCATGCGAGTGCTACTGCACCAGTAATGGCCGAGTCACCCGCAAGCACTGGCCTTAAAGACAAAAAGAATTTCATCTATGGTGGTGTAGGTGGCTTTGCCGGAATGGGTGGTTATGCCGGCGTTGTTGGTGGATTTCCGGTTCTTGGTGGAGTCGGTGGAATTGGGAAGTATGGTGGAATTGGAGGAATTGGTGGCATAGGTGGCTATGGTGGTCTTGGTGGTACAGGAGGAGGTCTTGGTGGTATGGGTGGTTTAGGTGGTGGTGCTGCTGGTGGTGCTGCTGCAGGTGGAGGTACTGGTGGTGCAGGCGGTACTGGTGGTGGGATTTTCCCATGCCCTTAAATGATAAGACTATCGATCGAGCTGATGTTTGGATGTTTTAGGGTTCTGTCTTGATTAGTTAGTGTTGATATTATGTAATGTTTGTGTTTAGTCGTGGTACTATGTGTTTTAATCTGCTTTGTTGAGCAGTAGTCTCTTTCGAAACAGTCGGTTAATTTGTATCTTTATCGCTGTGTTTTGCTTATTTCTCGTCTCAAATGCTAAATTGTTGTTTCCTACTTTTCTTTCCATTATTGCAAACTCTTTCTTGTCTCCATTGGCTTAATTTATGAATAGTTCTAGCATACAGAAAAAAATAATTAGGAGAAAATTGATAATTTTTCCATTTTAAACCCCAAAAAGAATAAAGACATGCAAGTGTAACCACTTACACGTATGTATAAGTGAAGTGTAAAACCTAGAATTTTCTTTTCTTTTTTCTTTTTGGCGGGAGACAAGTAATTGAAGAGTAAGGTCATGTTTTAGGATTTAAGATCAGTGATCAGTGTGTCTGTGTCAGATAAATCTGAACTTCCATTTTGCATGCAGACCACCTGTATGCTACTCAGTGTATCATGCAGTTGAAGGAAAAGAAATATTATATATATATAGATTTAAGATCAAGTGATCAGGTGTCTGTGTCAGATAAATCTGAACTTTCCATTTTGCATGGCAGACCACCTGTATGCTACTCCAGTGTATCCATGCAGTTGAAGAGAAATTATTATATATATATATATATATATAATGATCCATTAATTCTTGCCAAAAAAGTTAAACAAAATCCAATAAGTATAGAAATATTATATATATATATATATATATATGATCCATTAATTCTTGCCTGTATATATATACTTCACACTGTCATTTTTGTAAATTAAATCAAAAAAAGGTTTTATAATAGCATATTTATTTAGGTTGATATGCATGAAGTATTTCTTTTTATTTATAAAGGTTCAAATTTGCTCTTGAAAAAGAAAGAATTAAAAAACGAATTTGGGAAGGTTTCGGCATAAAAGGGGCTGATCACTAATAATTCATAGCAATGAATTTGTTGCTTTCACGTCTTTGAAATGCAAATTTTATTGTGCAAACGAAATTGCATCATTAATTAGTTTCACAGGTTCGAACGAACTGAAAGTAATATTGTAAAAAATCAATAAATGCAACCTGCAGGATTCTGTTTAATTTTTGTTGGTTTGCTGTTTTCTAGTTTGTATAGCAGGCAGGAAAGCAGAGGTCATATAGCTGAATAAGGATTTTAAAACTTAAAAAGATTAATATTTCTCAAGTCCCTGATAGAAAAAAAAACTGTTAATTTCTCGTAAGTTTGAAATATATAGAACCACAATACTCCAGGTTCCAGGCTGATTTACATTGAGGAAGCTAATGGCTAATACAGTATCCGCATAAGAAAAGTTTTCCTTGCTTATAAATCCCACATCAGTTAAATGAAAATGTTGAATATGAACTTTGACTATAAAGTGCGCAACAAAACGCGAAACAAAGCATACCTTTCTCGGCCTTTTGGCTAAGATCAAGTGTAGTATCTGTTCTTATCAGTTTAATATCTGATACGTGGGCCATTGGCTCACATGATATTAAATTAATTTTTTATTGGGGAGGGCCCACTGCAGTAGCTTGCTACTGGGGTCTTCAAGGGTCGCCCATTCGTTGCACTACTGTTTGGGCCTGGCGCACCCCCTACTAAATAGTTTCAAGATATTTTTGGCCTTGATAATTGGGCCTCTGAGTAAGTACTGAGTTACCATTTGATTGTATCGCCATTTGCTTGTATTAATTCGATGATTAATGACAAAGCTTAAACCTTCTTTGTTTAAAGTAATTTTTATTTCCAGAATTTGGGTAATGTAATAAGATGTGCGTAAAATGCTAGTTTATTCATGCGTGTGAACTCATGGTCTGCAAAATACAATATTGTCCTCGAATTATTAGAGATTACAATGAATAAAATGAAAACAATGTTAATACCATAAAGTAGCTATCATATCCCATTTAAGTTCGGCTAGCCTCTTATGGGATCACCATTATAATACAAGAACTATAATGTGCTCATAAATCCCACATTGGTTAGTGTTAATTCGATTTTACACTTCTTCATTCTCTGAAGACCAAGCTTGGCCAGCTGAGCTCAGTAACGCGAGCTTGTAACTCTTGTGAGGGCTTTGAAGCGGTGGAACGTTGGTTTAAACTATTGGGTCGGGTCTATGTTGGCAATCTGCTGGCCTGCCCATGTCAAGCCGAGAGCTGAGTCTTGTGATCTTGGCGAAGGCTTGGGTCACTCTACTCCTGCAGAGGAGGGCACTGCGTGAGGCTGGTCTAACAGAGCAGCGAGTACCTCCCGCTCTCGACAGTGGTGGATAACAGGCTGGTGCCTATTGGGCCCATCATGGCTCCATGGTTTGACCTCAATTGAACCATCACTTTTTTGCCCAATAAAAGCTTAGAAACACCGAAAGTCCAATTTCTGGACTCTCTCCTACCCCCGCTCTGTCCTTCGGTGGAGGCGGGAAAGGGAACCATTAAAACAGCGCGTAAATCTAGTCACACAGAGAAGTTACAACCAGCGAAAATGGAAAGAGAGAGCTCCAACAACGACTTGCAGACTCTAATAGAAGCCATCAAATCATCAGATGTAAGTTTCTCCATTAATCTTTGCTAATTTGAAATCTCCATTTCATTTATGCCACTGCAAAACGCTCATTAATTACTAAACCTCTCCATTTTTTTGAATTAGAAATCATGGTTGCCTATTGCTCTTAATTCTGGAATATTTCGAATTTAGTTGTTTTGTTTTGTGTCTTGTTCACGAGTCTTTCTACTTGTTATTCTATGTTACAGGTTGTCGAGAGCCGCATTCAGCTGCTTGCAAAACTCAGGGAGTTGGATATACCTGAGAAAACTGACTTGGCGTCTCTTGTTGAATGCCTTACAGTATCCATTTACTGTACTATATTTTCATTTTATTTTTTAAGTAAGAAATATTTGTGCATTTTGAACTAAATCTCGTTTTAATGCTAAGACTGGAAGGTTTTCTATTATGTGTTATCAGTCTAAGAATTGAGTTCTTTTGCATAATAATGCATTTGAGATTAATATTTCATGGTTTTTGCTTTCAACTAACATCATTTACTGACCAGATTTTATGGTCATTAAACAACAAATCTCCTTGTTGGTGATAATGCACTAAATTTCATTTGCTGCTTGTTGCGTCATCCAGTGAATGGGTATTTAAGATTCCTATTTTATACCACTTGATGCTCTTGATGGGTGCCATGTTTCTTGCCTTAACAACAAGCTAGACGTTTTGGGAAGACTTCACTTGCTTGGATGTATCTCAATGCATGTTAAACAAAGCTATCTTGCAGGTGGTTGCAAAATATGTTGATTCAGATTTATCTGAATGCTTAGTGCAATTTCTTGCTCTTGAGACACTGGTATATTTTTCTACAACGAAATAATTTTCTTTTTGCTATTCATGTGCACTTCTGTTGATGACACATATCAATTCCCAACCTGAATGAGATTCTATTTGTTAGGCAAGTACGTGGTGTGGAAAACATCTGAAGATGACCCTTATGTCAGCTGCTGATTCTCAAGAAGATGAGCATTGTGTCATATTCTTTCAGGTATATGACAATTGGCAGAATTTCGGTTATCTCTGTAGAAATGAGATTGTTCCATGCTGATAAAATAGGTTTGTAATATCCTTACACTTAATTACAACTCCAAGACCGATCTTTATCCAGAATATTTGAAACTAAAATGCCCTTTATCAATAAATTTATACTGCATATCGGGCCAGTTCCATGTGCATACTTTTTTCTATGAGCTGCATATCATTCGACATGCCTTTGATGAGCTTTGTTCATCTGTTTACTAGTTCCTTATTATCACAAACTTAAATGCACTGAACTTGTCTTGTCGTTACTTGATTAAATGAGAGTTCTGTGATAGATGCTAAACTTGTAGTCCACTGGATCAGTTTTAAGTAACCTCTGTTTAGTTATGCAAGAAGTCTATCCCTCCACCTAGCAGCCTTCTTTTTCATTCGAATTCTTAATCACATCATATTATTACTACATGGAATGAACGTACCACATAATATAATGTCCATATTCTTGGGTTTTCATGCAAAGAATACTGTTGTTTATATGTGTATGTCCATGTAGGATGTTCACTCGGCTGTTACCTTTATTGCTACGAGGACTACTATTTACCTTGCATCAACTGAAATTCTTGGTGACAACCAGCTAGAAAAGGGATACGAGTAATTAGAGTCTAGTCTTACCTGCTTCAGGAATACAAATATGCATCAATCATACATGTTGTTTTGAGATATCTAATACTTGTTCCTTGAGTTAATCTCTCTTACAATAATTGATTCTATTTAGAAGATCTACCATGATGAGTAGTTTTTGTTCCTAATGAAAAACTTTGTCCCTTTGATCTATGAGTTGATGTATAGTTTTTCCTTTCCATAAAATGTCCTCCTTTCTACTCCTGATTCGGAGCTTGCAATGTTATCAAGGTTTTACATGATTATGATAATCAGTTGATCCGATTAATGCTTACACTTTCTTATAGATACTTTTTTTGATATTTTAAATTAAATTTTGCAGCTTCTTTTGGATTTCTTGGGCTTGTCTGCTGCTAGCATGATGGCTTTGACAAGATACCCTGTTTTGACTGATGATAATTCCACAATTATTGTTGAAAGGTTCATTTTGGAACAGCTAAATTTGACAAAGGATGTAGTATCAGATAGTAAGGTACCCATGCTTTGCTTCTTGTTTGAATGGTCTTTATACTAGGATACTTTTGCAGTTGGTGAAGGTAAAGCTGGTTGGGTTGCCTTCTTTGAGTTAATGAGGAATAAGCATCTTACACAAATTTGCTATTCTCTAGATTAACTTCATTAACATGCAGCGAGAATACAGGTAGTGAAAAACCAATGATAGGTTAATATATCTGTATGATCGTATACAAATGTGCTATTCTTTTTCTTCACTAGACTTCTGTTTTTGCACCAATAAATTTACTGATTGACCTCTTTTCATTAAGGCAACGATTTTGATATTGATATGATCTTTGAGGAAAAAATTGAAAAACTTTGAACTTTTCAGCTGAAAAGTTGTTGAGAACTTGTAGTTGCCTGAACTCTTCATTACAATATGCTTCAAGGATCTTAGGCTGTATCTGAAATATATCCTTTAGGTGTTTTTGCACAACATCATGTAGTTTTCTGATTTTAAATCGACACTTCTAGATCAAGGGGAAAAATTTTCTGTTCTGTTAGCACTAATCATTATTTTTCACTTCAAAATTTGTTGTTATCTGTTGATAAGGGCGTTCCCTTGCTCTATTAAAACAGAGAATTGATTCAAATGGCTCAGAAATACTGAAGGTTGCCCAGATGGTGATTGATGGTGTGGTGAGACTATGCAAGGAGTATTCCCTATCTGTGAATTGGGATTCCCATGATGCAGGACCTGAGAAGGCTTGCAGCAGCATAGACCATAGAGAGGCCAATATAAGGAATCATGTTATAAACACAACAAAATGTACTATAGAGAAACTGTGTGAGCTCGGCATCCTTGCTGCGAGTGATGGTGGAAATCTGGTAACCATTCTCAATGTGTCATGGAAAGGTGTGGTCACCTTGCTTCAGCTATGCAAGGGAACACTAGCAGAGAGGGTAAGCGTGCAAGATATTATTGTAACCCTAATTTCCTTTGTCACTGGACCTCTTAAATTTGCAGCCACGGCTTGGTCTTCTTCATTAGAGGATACAGTTTCTGTAACTGAAGCCAGAAGGACATTTCTTCCCGTCAAATTTTACCTTATTAATGCCGTGAAAATATCTTCCTTATATCCATGCCAAGCATATATTGTATACAAGGAGATAGTACACTGCGCAATAATGATCTCAGCCTTCAGGATTTTCTTGAGCTATGAAAATCTTCTTAAGACTGCCAGTGAAGTGTTCTCAGAACTTTTAGAGAAGACATCCATGGATTTGCTTACTTCTGTAATAAATTCGCCTGAAGTGAAATTGGAGCATAAGTTTGAACTTCTAGACTGGTTGTTCGTTGAGGAATGCTACTCAAATTCATTCCCCAGAGATTCAAGTAGATATCTACATATGTCATCAATGGTTGAAATATTTTCTGTAAGTTCGGAGTCTTTGCTCCAAGACAAGCGATTGCTGCTTGCTCGTGTTGCACTGTTTCAGACATTGCTCAGATATTCTGTTGACCTTGAAGCAGGTACACGGAACCTGATAACAAGAAAGCTTGGGTGGTTTTTGGATATATTAGTTGATGAGGAGGTATACCCTTCCATTCTTGGTTTGCAAATTCCTGTACCATATGGTTCTGGGAAAAAAATTGAATTGGTTTGGCAGCCTATTTTTTCTGCTCTCTTGGATGCAATAAAAACCTTCATGATTGTGGTGTCAACTAATGGTTGGTTGGAATTGGAGGTTTTTCTGCTTGAGAATCTTTTCCATCCACATTTTCTGTGCTGGGAGATTATAGTGGAACTTTGGTGCTTTTTGCTGCGTCATGCTGAAAATGACATAGCAAATGGCATTATTGATAAGTTTTATTCATTAATGAAATTACTGGCATCTCCAGAATCAGTTCTTATTCCTCCTTCTCCTCTAAGGAAAATAGCAAGGACAATATGCTTGCTGCTTACTAATGGGATTCCATCTATGGTAGACCGTGTTTATAGTTCAGTCATTAATGATAACGAACCTCAAGTTGCATCAGTTATGTACGTAGCCTTGCTCTTGGAAGGCTTTCCTCTGAATTCACTGTCAGCTAATATCAGAAGTACTGCTAAACAGAAAATTGTTACTGATTACTTTGGCTTTATTGGGAGTTACAATGACCAACTGTTGACTGCTTGCAGTTCTGGTTTATTTGGGACTCCAGTTTTTGCACTTTCAGCCTCCCTGCAGTCACAGTGAGTAACCTGTGCCTTTTTCAAAATGATTTAAAGTGTTTAGTGGAAGTTGTAAATATTTTCTAATCTTTTTATCTATCCTGACTAGAGTATCAGGCTTGTTACAAGATTTATGTAGCATTGGCAAGTATTCTACCATTTGCATTAGTAGATAAAATCATAAGATCAAGTGTTCCCATGTTCTTCTTTAATCATTTAAATGGACACACATGCAGATGTAGATTATAATAGAATGCATCTAGGTGTAAGCATAGTTTCTTTGATGATCCTTGAGCTTGAGCTTCAGGTCATATCCTTGTTAGATTATTATTGGTAGCAATGCTGAACAGAACTTTTATGTCTGGTAGACAGGTTAGCATATCTGATGTTGACATGAAGAGCCTCAACTTCTTGGCCAATATTATTCGCAACTTCAGAAATCCTGTGGACAAACTATCGAAGGAACATTACCAAAAGCTTTTATGTGAAACATTGGGGATCGTCTCAAATATGAAGCATCTATATAAATCTGATGAGATAGGAGAAGTCATCTTGGAGCTTCAAAACTTGTTTATCACAGGGCCTGCGGCCTCAAATCCTATATTGCACCAGTCCAAACCATATCTGGCACTTTTCATGGGAGGACTTGGGGACATGGAAATGTCAGAAAGTGATGATTGTGCAAAGAGTTTGGCTGTATGGGAGTTGTATCACATGCTATTCAGGGAGCGGCACTGGGCACTTGCTCATCTTGCAATTGCAGCTTTTGGATATTTTGCTGCTCGTACTTCTTGCAATCAACTATGGCGATTTGTGCCACAAAATGCAGCTCTTTCGTATGATATAGTGTCAGGAAATGAAGCAAATGAGGAGAGATTTATGTTCGAGTTAAAAGCATTTCTCGAGAAGGAAATGGCTCTTCTTACCATTACACCTAGCTTTGAGCAGCTTGAGGTTCTTGTGAAGGAAGGTATGGTTCTAAAAGAAATGGTTCAAAAGATTTCAGATCTAAATATAGAGGCTATGGAACATGAGGAGATTAATGTTGACATCCAATTGAATAAGAGAAGGAAACTCCCTGATGGAATTAGAAGGGGAGTAGAATTAATCCAGAGTGGTATGAAGGTTATCGGTGATGGCCTTTCTCAGTGGCAGCAAAATCACATTGAATCCTTCGAACAGCATGACAAGTTTTTGAGTCACTTTTCTCAACTGGAAGATGTCATTGCCCATATAATTGGCTTGTCTGGTAATTGATAAATTGCAATTTTAGCTAAAACAATCAAATAAATGCGAATGAGTGCTAGTAGAATGTTCTATGGAGGCCTGAGAAAGAGAACAACAGACAAATTGTAAAGGTGCAGCGCGAACACGCGAATGATTGAGTGGCGAGCAGGTATGGGTGTTTGCCTATTCTTCTTGCATAGAGTACAGAAGTATTTTTTTGCTGTGAAAATGGATCTTCTTAATCTTCCACAGTGTTGCATATCATTTGGGAGAGTTCATTTATAAAATGGAGCCGAAAACACAACTTATTAATAATATTATAAAATTTACAGATTGAAGAAAAGACTAGGAAAAGTTTTGTGAAGATGAAAAAGTTTTCCTGTGGTCAAGTTTCCCTTAGCATATTAAAAATAAAGGAAAAGAATCATGTTGTTTTCTTAGTGGTCTTTTCGTAATTTCAATAACCAATTGCTTATGCAAGATGTTAATTGATAAAAATGTAATAATAGAAGATGTTAAAAAAATGCATTCTGTAAATGGAGAACAATGTTTTTCCCTGTATGATCGAACGAACACTAGGACAAAGTGCGCTTGGTTCTTTTATTTGATAGATTGTTGGCTCTTCAATCGTTGTATTGAACAGCCAGCTAGCTATGTTTATTCGACACTGGTGTCTAGTGTGGCTAGCTAAATTTAAAATATTGGATTGAAATATCCCTTGTTTGGTTAGCATCCTATATTCATTTCCCCCTAATTTTTATGTTTGAAGAACTTACATTGAGAGTAGCAATATAGTGGAATGAATCTTTCGGGGGAAAAAAAAAAAATCAAAAGACTTGTAGCCAACGGGCCAAGAGTCAAAATGTAGTGGAATGAATTTTTCGTCAAAAAAAAAAAAAAAAAAAATCCTATATTCATTTCCCCCTAATTTTTATGTTTGAAGAACTTACATTGAGAGAAGCAATATAGTGGAATGAATCCTTTGCGGGGAAAAAAAAAAAAAATCAAAAGACCTGTAGCCAGAACGGGCCAAAGAGTCAAAGTAGTGGGAATGAAAAATTTATTCGGTCAAAAAAAAAAAAAAAAAAAAAATATTAAAAAAGCGTCCTGTGAATAGAGTTAAATAAAAAAGCATCGGCCGTATGCCGGGGGATCGAACCCGGGTCACACCGCGTGACAGGCGGGATACTCACCACTATACTACAACGACAACTTGCTGGTAACTGGCGGCTTCATAATTTTTGTTAAAGATAAGAAAAGCATGTGTGACTGATTCAGCAGGTTCCCAGTGAACTAAAAGAAAAAAAAAAAAAAAAAAAAAACGAACAGCAAAAACATAGAAAAACGAACCACGTAACAGAAAGAAGAAAAAAAGAAAAAAAAAAAAAAAAAAAAAAAAAAAACGACAGCAAAAACATAGAAAAACGACCAACGTAACAGAAAGAAGAAAAAAAGAAGTAAAAAACCAACTAATCATTCTGCACTAGAATTTCTTGTTACAAAACTGCTATAATTCTTATCAAGTTTCTTCTTCCAGCATTGATGCTTTGAACACTGGCACAGATTCTTCTCTGTCTTGTTCCAACTAAGAATCCTTTCCTCATCATCTTCTTCATCCTTGTCCGCTTCATCGCTCTCACTTTTCTTATTGATTTTTCTAAACAACTCTTTTATTCTCTCTCTAACCTCACAACATTTATCTTCATGTAACCCTACACAAAACCCACATTTCACAATCTTTTGCTTCAAACTCGTAATATTCTTCACTTGCTCAAAACTAAATGCCAATCTTAACGCCTCATTTAACGAACTTGGTTTTTGTGGAATTATCCAATCTCTAAAATCCTTGATCAACCCATGTATAAATATCCCTGTAAGTATATTTTCACTAAATCCATGATTTGGCCACCTTTTCAAAATCCACTGCAGTCTTAGAAAATAAGACCGAACACATTCTTCATTTCCTTGGGTTAAGTTCATAAGATCTGACCGTAATTGATCAGCAATATCAACTCTATTATAGGCATCTAAAAAAGAAATCTTTATTTCATCCCAAGAAAGCCATGGATAAGGTTCGATGTTAAGATCATACCAAAGAGCAGCCTCGTTTTGAAGGGTGACAGGGAAGATTCTAATCATCATATCAGTGGAGGAAGCATTGTTTGCTCTGCAGACTTTGACAAAACGGCTTACATGTGAAATAGGGCATTCGTTAGGGTTGCCATGGAATATTGGTAGTGGCGCTATATTTACGTAGGAGTTAATTATAGGGTGAGTATTTGAAATGGAAGAATTGGAGAATTGGTTACTAATGGGTGGATTGGTGGCAGATTGGGAAATCCTGTCATCATTTTCTTCTTCATTTGACTCATATGGAGATTGAGAAGTCGTGTCGCTGCCATTTTTGCAGTCATGGTTGGAGGCGGAGAATTGAGGAAAGTGATGTGAGTTCTTGGGTTTGCGAGTCATTTTGAGAAAGGACATGAATATTGTCAGTTATTATGTAATCTATACGAGATGGGTCTTAGAGGAGATGGCGGTTCAAGTTAGTTACCTAATTACAATCCTTAGGCAATGGTAACCATTGAGTGATAAATAACATTATATTAATGGATTAAAAACGGAATTTTCTATGATATTGAAAATTTTTTTATTTTTAAAAGTATATATAATTAGAAATACTCTCGTGTAAATTAAAACATTATTTATAATTGATTTGATATATAAACCGCTGATAAATTGTGTATAAGTAATCTTTTCTCTCATACCAATTGAGTGAAAAATAACACTATATTAATGAATTAAAAATAAATTTTTCTATGATATTGAATATTTTTCTTGTGCACCATTTTGAAACTCGGTAACGTAGATTTAGTCTTTTTAATTATCAAGAAGCGTTAGTTTGAATTGATGAGAGTCAAAATTTTTAAATCGGTCTTTGTATAGGGCATTAAATCTATCTTTGTTTGAAACAAAAGTAATTTGTTTGTTTTTATCTTTTTTTTTTTTCCAAATCAAATGGCAGTGATAAAATTCATAAGACATTTGATTCAAATGATTTCAAGATGTGTCTCTATTCTATTCCGGTATTATTAATGTTTGGATTTTTGTTTTTTTTTGTGAATTTTGACCCACTATTATTTTTATAAGCAGCTTGTTATTGTGTCCTTCAATCTCCTTTTGGGGAAATAAAATGATCTTAAACATTAGGTGACAGTCATGATCATATACAGTTTGTATACAAGTGGATATCTATGTAGGTTTATGATTCATCCAATTTATCAACAATTTTTTTTTTTAATGTAAACTGCCGGTATTTGGATTCTATTACCAAAAACCATCTAATTCGGCTAGAAATTTAATCATAATTAAAGTTGTTCACCACTTCCTCAACTATTTAGTGTAGTTTAATAGGTCAATTTTACTGTTTTTTTTGGGTAAAATTGGTCCATTTTTCAGACCACATCATTGGCCTCCAACTTGCCTAGTTGCTAAGGCTTGAAATAAAAATATCAACTTCTGTTTTCAGAATAATTTAACGATAAACTACCAAATTTTTTGATGTACTGGTGGGTTTATATTACCATCCATAATGTTAAAAAAAAAAAAAAAGTACTTATGCACATTAATTAACACTATATGCTAATATAAAGATTACGACAACCAAATAGAGTTTTTGTTAGGTTGAAAAATAAAAAATTGAGAAGGCAATGTATATATTTTATATTTTCATGAAAAATATCCATATAGTTAAAATTTAAAGTTTAACATAAAATTTTAATTAGTTGGCACATATAAAAATACCCAATATTGAATTATAAAATTAACTGATTTAATATTTTTTTTTTCTCAATAACATACAGATAAAATACATTTACGATGTGACTAATTAATGACAAAATAATAATCATAAAAAAAGGTTTATCCACAAGAAAAAAAATAATAAAAAAAAGTCTCCTAAAGTTTTCTTATATATATATGCAAGTTGCAATTTGGAAAAAAAAAAAAAAAATCCAAATCACCTGTAAAGTTATTATGCGCTTAAAAAAACACCAAGATTAGCACTAAAATAACACTTTATGTCTGTATTTTATAGGTAAGATATTTCTAGAAGACAACAGAACTAAAAAGAGAAAAGAGCAATCATCTCTCATATCATAACCTCTGAACACAAAAAAAAAAACACACACACACATTCTCTCACTGCAACATGAAGATTAGCACTAAAAATAAAGCTCTGTTCATATGTTTCATAGCCATGGGCATCATTTTCTTATCAGTATATCAGCCTGAGCCATTTTCAGGGCTTGAATACGATGTACGTGTCATCAATGGGTTTACAAACAACTCATCTCTGCCTTTAGTTATATGGTGCTCGTCGGACGTGGAAGAACTGGGTGGCCGGGCTCTCCAAGAAGGCGATGACTTCAGTTGGAGCCTTAAGACTAACAGTTGGGGCACTACTCATTATTTATGCACTATAAAATGGGACGAAAAGAGAAGACAGTTTGATGCTTTTAAGATTCCAAGGGACATTTATCGGTGTAGCCTTCTCAAGAAATGCTCTTGGTTAGTTAGAGAAGATGGGTTTTATTTTAGTAATGATGAAGTCAATTGGAAGAAAGATTTTTCTTGGTTTTAATCATAGTTTTCAGCTAAGATTTTTCTTGGTCTTAATCATAGTTTTCTGAGCTAGTTATGAGTAGTTTTGTTAGATATATATATATATGTTTGATTATATAAAGAATTTTATAGTTTTTCTGAACTAATCTTTGATTCTTTTATATTCTATTTTCATAGAAATTGTTCATACTAGATTGATGGTTAGTTTTGATTTTTTTTTTTTTTTTTTTTTTTTAACTAATCTTTGATTCGTTTTATATTATATTTTCATAGAAATTGTTCATACTAGATTGATGGGTTTAGTTTTTTGATTTTTTTTTTTTTTTTTTTTTAAGTATGTTTTTACACTCAAAAGATTTTTTTTTTTTTTTTTTTTTTTTAGTATGTTTTTACACTCAAGAACCAGAAGTGGTGCTCAAATAAACCCTCTCAATAGTATGTCTGCCAAATATCGGACATTTAACATATCTTGTAAATAAAGTTCGTTTGAAAATGAAGTTCATGTATTATACCTAATATTGGTTTTGATGTTATTTTTTGGGTTGCATTAATTATGTACCAGAATGTGATGAATTTTAACCATTTTTGTTAATAATGGCTTCATGATAAATAGTATTGAATTCGATAATTTAGCATAAAATTTGATCTGTAACATAACATAAAATTGTTTCATCCAAACAAAGAAGACTATTGATTAATTATTTAGGCGAAGAGTGAAGGTTTGGTTCCTGTTCTAAAAATCCTCAGGAACACTAGATATTGGCGTACTAGATTCAAGAATATTCAGTCTGTACTAGTGAAATTTTCTTTCCTCACCTTCCATTTATGCTTCTTATTATGAAAAACTATATTTAGTCAAATCTGAGAGCAAAGTCAACTTTCAAATCAAAAGTTTGTCACCTCACAGTATACAAGGGAAGAAAATAATATAAAAAATTGCATGTGTTTTGTTATTGAAAATATTAATTTAAAAAAAATTGAGTAATGTCAAATCTTTTTACCATTTTAAAAATTAAGAAACTAATTTCTTTCAAAAAAAAAATATTTAAAACCTTTTCAAAATATTAATTTCATAACTCAATCACAACAAGATCATCAGTCTGTTAACCACTGGATCACAAAATTTGATGTAATATATATAGCTGATGTAATTCGGTTTGCTTGTGATATATATATATATATGGGCAGACAGGCCTCACAAAAATAGTGGTGGCCAGTTGATAAATTGTGTACACTTCAGTGACTCTTGACAGTGATAGCCATCAACCAGGTGTCAAGTTACCTTCTTGGGAAGTTGCTTACCCATGTTACATATATTTTCTGCCATTGAAGCTTTGGCCTACCAGACAAGGCAGAGGCTATGAGAATTTTTTTGATCTTAAACTTAAATTGAAGCACCTCATTTTTGCATCAAAGCAAAAAGCACCCTCACTAAATTCCCACTCTGAAATGTACCCTTCAAAGATGGGGACAAATCATTCCCTAGCACAACTTATCTCGACAGTCTTTTTTCTCTTAACAGAAACTAACAAATTTGAAAATGAAGTTCCTCTGTAAAGGAGTTGAATCCTTGAACTGTTCCATTGCTTATTGTTTCCCATGTGGCTAACATTCCTCTGATGCTTATAATTTTTTATGTGATAATGGAAATAAGATGATGAAAGTAGTAATAATGCAATTCGATCTTCTTTCTGATATTTCTTGTGTTGTCGTGCTCACCTTCGGTATTGCACTGTTCATGCATGCCCACGAATCTTTATTTGATTTTTTAGCCCTAATGCATAATGATAATTTGACCCTATGTTTTTTATTATTATTTTTGTGACTCCTTAAATTTTGACGGGTTTAATCATGTTCCCTACAAAGTTTAAGATCCGATTTATTATTAGGCTTTTATTTTTTACATTTTATATGAACAGAAATGTAATCTCGTTGAATAGTAGAACCTTGCAGAGTGTAGAAGATTGTTAGGGAATTAAATTTGTATTCTCACCGTTACGAAAATTGAAATCACTTATTTTCCCAATAAATACATTCTTGACGATGTACGGATCTTTATTGTTGTGTTACAATTTTTTTTTCAAGCACAAAAATAACTACCCATTCAAAGGTTGTGAAATTATTTGTGGAAGAGGTCAAAGATTGAATTTTTGTGAATTAATAATAATAATATTCCCTCCGACTCATAATCGGTCTAATTTAACTTTCATATAAATTAAGAAAAACTAATTAATATAGTTGAATTATATTTTTTAATTAATTTTTTTTCCAAAATATCCCTTTATAATTAATTTTTATTTAATTCTTTTATCTTGTACCTTCACATTTGAAAATAAGTTTTGATGGTATGATGTACATGCACCTAGCATGGTTCATAAAACAGGTCCATGGTTCTTTAATAAGTATACGAATACGCATGATATATGTTATGTATGGAACTCAAATTAGGACATCTAATTAATCAATTTATATTTTAATTCTATATATTTATGAAATTAACTGATTGATCTAAAACTTCTCAAGTACTTTGGATGTCTACAATAGCTATCATGTTCAAACCTATTTCAAAGTAAGATTTTTTGGTATCTAAATGATCCATTAAGGGAATAAAACACTAATTAAGAAATTAAACTATTTATACCTAATATCTTTTTTCAAAAAAAAAAAAAAAAAAAAAAAAAAAAAATCCATTAAGGGAAATAAAACACTAATTAAGAAATAAACTATTTATAACTAATATCTTTTTTCAAAAAAAAAAAAAAAAAAAAAAAAAAAAAAAAAAACCCTAAACTAGAAGAAAAAAAAAAAAAAAAAAAAAAAAAAAAAAACCCTAACTAGAAAGTTAATAGTTCAATAGCACATGCATGCAAAACAAAATCTACTATTGGGCTACATTCAGAGACATGCTTGCTTTACCCTTAGCATTATCTCTTGATTTTTTATTTGCTCCTCTTTTCTGCTTTTCCATCTTACTGGGTGGACAATGAAATCTTCTTGAAAGAGCTTTTGGTGCACCTGTTTTTGAATCCCATGCTCTTACACAAATAAAACCTGCAAGAATGTAATGTTAGCAATTCAATATTCTATTCTTCATGTTAAATAACATGCTTTAAGAAACAAAATCTTTTTATTAGCTAGAATTTCAATACCTTTCCAAAAATTTTCTTGAATGTCCCTTATTGAGCAATTCCCTGTAGAAGAAAGAATTCTCTGTCACTTATGCAATTGGTAAAAATTATTTTAACTTTATTATTATCATTATTATTTAGAATAATAATTTTACTTCTAAATATTGAAGTTGCTGATGTCCCAAAATATACAGTTCGCCTCTTTAGATTCCCTATTGAATCTCTGTTAACAATGAGTGGCGTTTTACTAGTTTCATCATCAGCAAAAACCTGCAAGGAAGGAGATAGATAAATCTCAATTTATCAAAATGTATTATTTTGTACATGCATAAATGGGATACTTACTTCGTTAACCTGAAAATATGTGCCATTAAGTGGAAATTTTGCTTTCAATGCTGTTCTAATAGGTACCTGTCAGTGCATTACTTTATGGTTAGTATTAGGACCTATATGCAATTTAAATACATGTAATTGATAAGATTTGTTAATATTAGCTTAATCATTCCTGAGTTCGTAAATGAAATAGTTTAGGTAGCTTGCATGAAAAAAATGACAAAGCTAAAGACTATTGGTTGATAATAAATTCTATCAATCTCTCTCTAAATTTTCGTTTTTCTGTCCACTATCTTTTCTCTCTCGATTGTTCCCTTTCCTTACCCTTTCCAATTTTCAGTAGCCAAACACCATTGTTAGGGATCCATGATCACATAACCTAATAGTAAGTTTGTAAATACATATGGTTCAAACTAAATGACTATGACTACATCAATGAAGGATATGCACAAAAGATATGATTTCTCTCACCAAAATTGTTCCTCGAACTATATTTGCATTTGCTTCCAAGAAACTTTGACAGGGTAAGCATGTCGGTTTACCACAAGGTTCTGAATCTGGTACTTGAGAATTGCATTCTTGCTCAGGCATTTTCCAAGAATCTGCAGTTTCACCTGAAAAATAAAGCATTGCCCATTTGTTTGGTTAGTTAATTTAACATTTTGCGTTCATATGTCAACATATATTTTCTCTATGTTTCACCTGGCGTCCATATAGCAAGAAGGTAAGGGAATAAATCATCACGATCTCGTCTGGGTAACTATATGATTAACAACATATTTAAATTAAGATTAAATTAATTACTTGAATATGTGTGCATTTTATTGATGAATAAACTAAGGAGGAGCTTTCTTACCTTTATCACAAGTTCATGATCATCAGGAAGTTCATAGCTGTATAGGAGGAAAACAATTAACAATTACATGGAAGGTGTCTAAGACATTTTTATAACACCGATTTGCTTTTCGTAACACAAGATTTTTATTACATGGTGAATGTGAATGTGAATGTGAATGTGATTATAAGTTATACTTACACAAGATGTTCTGTTCGAAGGTGAGTGGTCTGCTTCAATTTTCGCGGGGGAACTGAATCAACATGAATGGATCTAGGAACTAAAGCTCTTGAAGAACTACCTACTTGGCTGCAGTACTTATCCATGAAATATTGTACATTTCCCTTGAATGCTTCATTGCTGAGTTTGATAGTAGGAATTCCTTCTTCATCATAAGGAAAATCTTCAATATCTCCAATAATTCCACAATTTTCATTTTCTTGTACAGGCTGTGGTGATTTTGGCTCTTCTATTATAGGCTTGCAAATTGAGGTGGGGTGTCCATTTTCCATTGTGGTATTAGACTCTAAAAAGCGTATTGGTATTGGATTGGCAACTGTGGCAGCATTATTTACAACCAAACCAGAATTTCCAACAGGTATGCAAGGAACAATGGATCTCTCTTCATCTTTCTTTGATGAACTTGGTAACGAAAGATTTTTGCTGCATTCAAATTTTCAGATAAAATTTTATTGAAAGGTTTTTTTCCTATTAAATGAGCAAATGAAAATGCAATTATTAGTCAACAATTTTTGAAATTATGAAAATTGAGTGACAAACCTTGCAATTTCACTAGCAAGATGTCTGCATTCCGCTCTCATCGGACAAGACCTACAATTGGGATTTACCTTTGTGCAAAACACCTACACAAAATCGTAAGCAATTGATCATTCCTTTTCAATCAGAATTAAAAATACAATAACAAGGTACCTTTCCAAAAGTTATCATATGGTAGTGTAATTCATACCTGCATTTTAAAAAGACATAGACTAATAAATATTATCTCTTTTCAACTATAATACTTGTAAATGTTAACGGAAAATATACAAAAATATAATTAGTTGAAACGGCTAATTGAGAATTACAGTTCTCGATGGTCAAGTGTGCACAGTCGAGGCCAAAGATATTGTTGTATCTTATCCATAAGTGGGTATCTGTAAAAGTCAAGTATTAGATTTCCCCTTTAACATTGAAAATTTGTTATATGGTATCACAAATACTTACTCCTCTAAAAGGTGAAACTGAACTCCAGGGAGTGGTTGCAAGGGGATCCATCCTAATCGCACTGATATACGAGCGACATTTGTATCAACCTATTTAGAGGAAATAAACTACTGGTGAGTTAATACGCAATAGCAATAATGATTTTGAAACTAGCATCCAATTGGAAGATGATATATCAATTTTGAAACTTACAGGGAAAGCCTTGTGATGAAGTGTCAAAAGTCTTAAACACTCCACACTTTTCAAGCCTATTCCTGCTATCTCCAACAGGTACTCCCTAAACAAGACAAGTAGAATACTTAATTTGTGATTATGGTCATATTGAGAAATAAACAAATCATATCAGATTGGACTTACTTGGCATCATCAGGTGGTGCATAACGTAACCATTCAAGGTCAATTGTTCCAGTTTGTTCAACTTCTCGATTGAGAAAGTCCTGCAGAAATCAAAAGTGTTATGATTGCCTCGTTCAAAGGGTTATCATTGCTTCATTCGTGTTCAAAAGTTGACAAACCAAAATTTCATACTTGGATTTTTTTTGCAAGAACACGGTGTTGGCCACGTCCTTCAATTACATTAGCAAGGTCATCTACAGGTGCTGTCCTAACTGCCTCCCAGTCTACAGAATCTGTTTGATCACTATTTCTCGTTCTAGAATATTTTCTCCTTAAAATATTCCAATCCGTCCTTTTTTTTGCCTTTCCTTTAGGAGGCTTTGATGCAGCAGGTGCCAGCCCAATCCATTTATTCATGACAGTAGCCTCAGCAGCTACAGTCAATCCTAACTCATTTTCTGAGTTACTCTCATTTCTATAATTTTCCTCCACCTCAGTAACAAAATATTGGCTCTCATTGTTGTGACATGTCGGCTGAATAGGAAACTTGGAAGCGAGATCCATATAAGTAGAACTGTCGATAAACATTAATAAGTTAAACATTAATTAATAAGTTAACATGATTGTGACAACATTAAAATTAAAAAAAAGCTTTATTACCTTGAAAGAAAATCCGTAACATTTTGGGTTAAAAAAACTCCTACAACTGAATCTACCACTGATCCTTTCCATGGTCTGAACCTTCTATCCCCTGTGAAAATAGTAAAAGTAAATCCATTTGTTAATTATTCAAATAAGACATATGATATAAGATATAAGATTTAGTAACAAAGTACCTAGTATCATATGCATTTTAGAGGTAAACGAGTCTATTCGTCCACGAAAAATTTTTCTTGTTTCTTCCCACTTTTTCTCTTCTTCCTCATTTATTTTTTCTTCAGCCCTACCATCACTTAATTTCAACAACATATTCCACATTCTTGATGTATCGAAGTCCAGAACAACCTCTCCTCTTACTTTTCGTACTTTTTGTCTTTGAACTATTGGAACTATCTCGGTGCATTTGTTGTTAATAGTTAGTGTACTAAATTTCCTAATTAAGATCCGAACTGAAGTATACTTAGGTCTCTGGTTAACATTGACCTTTTTGTGATAGACTTTCTTTGGATCTGCAAAAGCATTTGTACCATAAGCATTTCAATAGTCAGCAAATAATTTCAAATGGTAATATTTCCATTCGAAAGAGAACTAAAATGATTAGAAAATAGTTTGAAATTATAATATTTTTTTATAACTATTTGTACCTTTTCTATTGGTTGATGCTAGTTGAAGAGAAAGTCTAATCTTAGTGTCGCTATCCTTTGAATTCCTACTCCAGTGTTCCTCTTCACGAACTGTATTAATGACTTCTTGTTTTTCAATGGGATTTGACTTTAAGTCCTTTTCCGCCCCTTCAGTTCCACCAATGATTTCATTTAAATCTGGCATTTTATTACACATTGGAAGTTTGGCAAAGGAAGCCAAATTCCGCCTTGCAAAAAGCCTTGGAAAAAGCCCCTTCGATCTTTTCTTTCTTACAAAGTTGCATTGCAAATGGAGAAAACCTAGAATAATGGACAAAATTGATTTTCTTTGTCTCTTGATCCTCCTTCTCTTGCATATTCCAGGGAAAGCAAGTTTGATTCTGTCCACCTCAAGCTGATGACTGCCGGATGAGGACACGGAATGGCTACCAATGAGACTTAAAGAGGGTATGCAACGGCAACCAACTTGGTATAAATGGCAGCAGAATTTTTTACGTGGACAATCCCTTGGAGACCTTCTTCTAAGAGTCATCCATTTGAGTGTATCAGTGTCCAATTCGAGGTCACCCAACAAAATTTTGCTTACAATATTCTTCCGGATGTTATTTTGCTGCATTGTATTATGGTCTATAACAGGACCTTTTACCATAGGCTTCAATGTGTCCATTGGGTCATCTTCAATTGTCTTTGAAGCAAAACTATTGGCACTCAATTTTTTCCTCTTATTCTTCTTCTCAAATTGACTTTTTTTAACATATTTCCTCTTCAAATTTTTCTCAACTGGATTCTTAACAGTTCTTTTGGGAATAACCTCAAGGGCTATTTTGGGCCTGTATCTACGTTTCTTGACTTTAGATTTCTTTGATGGCTTCCGTTGAGGTCTTTTGTTGACACCGGGCTTCAAGGATGGAGTAGTTGGCTCAAAGACCTCGACAGAATGCAGCTTTTTATTCTCTGAGGAAATGAAACCGGATTGCAGAACATTGTCCCCATAGCCTGCATTCAATTCAACTCAATTTCAACATTCCAATAATTGAGAAATTAGTAAAAGTTCATCATATTTTTTCTTTTAAACAATTAAATTAAAGTGTAATAATCTAAAAGACAGACAGTTTGCATGACTTACAAGGTTTGGCATGAGATTCTGTGTTTTTGACATTCTCTAACTTTGGAGGAGCCAGGAACGAAGTTGTGGATTCCTGAGAACAAGACCAATTGACTTTGGTGTCAGTTATTGCTGTAGTAGAATCTTGGAAGGATGGATTCAAGTCATCGAAGTGATATTCATTTGATTCCTGACTGCTGAAGAAATCTAAATGCCTAGCCACATCATTGGAGCAAGCATTTATATCAACAAGTCTGTCAAATGTCTCTTCTCCTTCACCTGAAGGTCCTGCTGCTACTTCTTTGGCAACCAATTCAGCTCCAGGAAGACCATTTTCGGATTCTCCAGAATCCTAGAACAAGTAAATTTAGCAATAATTATAGTTTTTTTCAAGGGAAGCAATATTTATAGTTAAATATGCTAAATTTGAAAAAAAAAAAAAAAGAAAAGATTTCTAGTCCTTACTCACCTCCAAGTTTTTGTCTGTGGAAGACAGAGAAGTCTGGTGGTGAGACTCTTGTTCAGAAATCCTGGGCAGAAAACTCTGTCTTGAATAGACTTTCAGGTCCCTTCTGGAGTAAACGTATCGCAGCTTGGATGCCGTCGTCTTTGCAGGAGTTTCTGGAATCCAATTATTATTTAACTCAGCCTCTGGCGGCCTTTTTCCCTCTTCGATATTACTGTCAGATTCCATCCTGTCAATGTAACATGTATGAGAAAATGCAAAACAAAAAACCCGCAATTGAAAAGAAGCGAAACACTAAAAAGAAAAAGAAACGACAATAGGAGAAGAAAACAAAAACACTTGGTTGGTCGAGAAACGACAAGGAGAAAACAGAAAATCCTAATTGCAAATCTGAGGCGATCACATGATTTTTAAGCGAAAAAAGATAAACAAAGCAAGCAATTCTCTAGGCGATGACTTTGATGCGGCTGAGCTGAATTTGACTAGTTTGTAAATTTATATAGTTTTGCATCCACGTAAAAAAAACTCTATTTTATATACATTTAAAAAAAATAATAATAACAACAAAGAATATTTTTTAAAAAAAAATTAAAATTCAATCATTTTATATTTTTAATCATTCGACAAGTAATATTTTTATTTTTATTTTAAAAAAATATAACTGTTCAACAATTATCAGCTATCTAATGTAAAAAAACTCCTCAGCAGATGTCAGTTATGAAGTGGTAAAAAAAAATAGAAAGCAAATGTGAACAAATAACAGCTATCACGAAAGCTCAAAAAAAAAAAAAAAAAAAAAAAATATGTGAAGTGCACTTTATACTCAATCGTAAAAAAATAAGACCCTTGCCAAATGTAGGGCAAGATGTCAGTTATGAAGGCCTAGGTCAAAGCAAACATAGAAAAAAAGCAAATGGTGAACAGAAATAACAGCTATCACGAAACGGCTCAAGAAAAAAAAAAAAAAAAAACAACCAGAACTGCCGCTTTTTTTTTTTTTTTTTTTCTGAATAAAGAAATAAAATAATCAATCTGCAGCAGCACAGCATTAGACAGAAAAATTTAGCGAATATTACAATATCAACGAGAAAGATAAATAAATATTAATAAATATAAATTAGGCAAATTAAAAAAATGGGAAAAGCCATGGAAAGTATTAAAAAGAAATTACTTTGAGTAAGGAATGATGCCGAAATCGCGTTAGCGTGGCAAAATTAATCAATAAGCCTGTAAGATCGTAATTGTAATATATAGAAATAATAAGAAAAAGAAATGGATCTTCTATGGCCTTCTAGACTACTCAGGAACTACAGCCAGGTATTTTGAATTTTTCCAGCCGAATCGAAAAATGTAATATCGAAACATCATAAATCAGCTGGGTATCGGATCGGTAGCCTGTCTTCTGTGAGGTAGGAGCAAGGATGAGATAAAATACTGGTATTCAGCCTAAAACAGGAAAAGACGAGGTAAAGGGAGGAGGCGCGAAAAAAAGAAATATGTTTAAGAGGCGAGAAAAAGTAGGGAGAAGTAGTGAAGATTTATGTAAGAGAATTGAGGGGTGTTGTCTTTCGTATGCAATATTCTTTTTGGGTATGCAGGCCAATTACCAAGTGTGCACGTTCCACCTACATAAAAGTCAAAACACCCGAGTCTCTTTTGGAAACGCGGTTACATAATTATTTGAGTTAAAATAACCGTTTTCAATCTCTAAAGGTTTGAAAAGAATTTGGTATTTTTCTAGAGGTGTTTGGTTATAATTATATTACGAAGGAAAAAATTTTACTAGGTATTAATTACATTAATTAAATAAATAAAATAAATACAAAGGAAACGTGTTTAACCTGTTATGTGGGGGAGGTTTGCTCATTAAGGTTGACAACCGGTAGCTCTATTCCTGGCTCGCTAAGGTTTTTTTTTTTTTTTTTTTGGGAATGTAAGCTCACAGAAAGCTGGAGGGGCTAGTCTAGTAACGAAAAGGATTGGGTTTTCCAAAAAATTTTTCTGCAAAAGTTGGGTGAAAAATTTTTTAATTTTTACCCACTATTTTTTTTTTTTTTTTTGGGATGAAGCTCACAAAGCTGAGGGCTAGTTAGTACAAATTGGGTTTCAAAATTTTTCTGCAAAATTGTGAAAATTTTTAATTTTACCCACTAGAACAGTAAATTTTCCTTTTATTTTTGCCTCTAACTTCTAAAAAGAATAAAATTTTAGTTTCTTAGCTTTTATTTCCTACTTGGCTGTGACTGAAGACTTGTTTACTTGCCAAGCTAATTTTTATTTGCCATACATTGATAAGGTGCGGAACCAGACTTGATTCTGAACTTCCAGTGATAGGATTGGCCATCTTGCAGTACATGGGTTCCTAAATCATCGTCTCTTGATTTACGATGCACAGTCACATTTTGACCTTCGCCCATGTTGTTATAAATATAAACTACTGTATCGAATGGCAAAAAAATACAAATTTTCATGGTACAATGTCGTTAGTTGCAGTAGCTGATGAGGTCTTGCAAAACTTGTTGATGACTCTAATATAAAAGTGAATGATAAGATGAGCAAGAACCAGGAAAATTTGTTTAAGAGATTCAGAATCTTGTTGCTATGTATGGATTTGCTTAATTAAGTGCGTATCTATATTTATAGGAATGCAATAATATAATACGAATGTATAGTTTTTGAATGCATTAAGCCAAACTGAGAAAATTATTATTGTTGTTTCAATTTGATATAAGAATCCTGATGATTGACACGTGGATTTATATCATCAGGATTTAAAGTTACTAAGAGTGTCTTTCCGTATTCAAACTCTCTTTTATTAATGAAAATCTGAAATGGGGTTGGTGAACCAACTTATATCTTCCCTTTATTGAGCTTAATTTGGCAAAATTAACCATTTTAGCAGCTGTAGTTATCTTAATAACTGTCAACTATTTAAAATTAGTAGTTTTAGTAGCTGTAGTTATCTTAATAACTGTTATTAAAGAGACTAATGTCATCATCCATTCTCTTAAACTCTAGATACTGATATAAATATTATGACACCAAACACATGAAAAGTTGTCTCCCAACATGGACCGATTCTTGAACTAAAAATAAGAGATACCATACCATATGTGAATTATTTTTTCAATTAACTATTACAGTCTTAGATTCGGAATTTAATTATTTGTAATCTGTAGATACGGTGGTGATACATATGTGAATTTATGTCCATAAAGTGGGATCAAGAAAACAAGATGGGAGTACATACCGATTGAAATGAATTAAAATTTTTATTTTTTTTATGTCCATAAAAAAATATATGATTCACATCCCAGTTAAACCCATGCACACTTCTAAAGTGCTATTAAAATTTTACACGTGTGTTGCCAACTATTATTTGACAGTATTATCAATATTTTTGTTGTATTAAAGCACACACATGCCTTATATTCTTTTGCTCATTTTGGCTGTTCGAACTAACATACTTAATTCATTGAGATAAAATGCTGCCGTTTTAATATATATACATGTAATTTTTAATAAGAAACACATAGGTGATGATACGATATCTATATATATATTACAAAAGTAATCTCATTAGGATTTAAAACGGAAATCTTTAAAAATGTAAAGTCCTTTAATGAAAAATAATCAAATTGGGTTGGATTCTCCTCCTCCTTTAAATTTAAGTGTTCTAGAAGAATTTCTTTACATGCCATATATAGACAATCACCATTAATGAGCTTGGCAAATTCAAACATCTATATATATAAACATCAAATCCATAAATTTCTACACTTATAACCCAAACTTTCAATCTCTCTTCCAAAAGAAAAAGAAGAAGAAAAAATGAATCATCTGTTCATCACCAGCACTCTTCTGCTGCAACTGATAATTGTTTTATCGATGATGAGCATGAATATTGAAGCAGGATTCCCACTAAAACCTGCAGATGTAATAATAACCAATGATTTAAATCAAGGGTTGGATCTGAAAATTCACTGCAAATCCAAGAATGACGACTTGGGGGAGCATGATCTGCCGTATCACAACAACTTTGAGTTCAAATTCCGACCCAATTTTTGGGGTATAACGTTATATTTTTGTAGCATGCAGTGGCAAAATCAGTTTCACTGGTTTGATATTTATGTGCAGAATAGGGATTACTCCGTGTGCTCCGTTTGTAAGTGGGTTGTCAGACAAAATGGTCCTTGCATGTTTGATTATAAAACTAACCAATATAGCATTTGCTATAAGTGGAACAAGTAATAATATTGCAAGCAACAGTGGTTAGTGGATGTCGGATTTATAATAAATTCAGGTTTGAATTATCCTTTTTCATAATAAAAAATAATATCAATATTAATATATTGTTGTTGTTGTTATTTAAGGAATAAAAGACTTAATAAAATCATTAAATTTCCTTTGATATTTTTGTGTTTTTTTAGCAATCAAACTCTAACTAATCAAAAACACTTAAAAACAATCGAACCATCTCTCTAGTTTTTAACTTTTTATACCTAAAGCACCCTTAATCGGGCGGTTAAAATTACTTACTCTATTTTAAATTTTTTTTTTTTTAAATAAGGTGTCTTTTTTTTCTAAAACTTAAAAGCTCTTTTTTTTTTTTTTTTTTTTTAAACCAATTATAGCATTTGCTATAAGAAGTGTGAACCAGCTAAAATATAATAGTTGCAGTAGCACAAAAGTGGGTTTAGTGGTATGTCGGATCTCTTATTATAACTAAATCTGCAGGTTGAATTATCCTCTTTCTCATAAAAAGGCAATAATATCATATTTGATATATTGTATGGTTAAGTTGTTATAATGTAGCAGGAATAAAAGATAATAGACAATCATATAACATTTCACTTATTGTTATATTGAGTGTTTTTTTAAAGAGCGAATCAAAACTCACTAAACTAATCCAGAAAACAGCCTTAAAAACCAATCGAGACAATCTCTGTACATTTTTAAAACTATTTTATACCCTCACAAGCACCCTTAATCCGGGCGGTTAAAAGTTACTGCTTACTCCTATTTTTAAATTTTTTTATTTTTGTTTAAAATAAGGTGTCTTTTTTATTCGCCTAGAACGTTAATAAGTCTCTTTTTTTTTTTTTTTTTTTTTATCCGCGGGGTTGTCTAATATGCTAGTCATGAGTTATCAGTTATTATTATCATATATGGTTAAGTGAGAGTTTATTTTCGTGAGGATATCGGTTTTATGTGGACAATAGCTCTAGGAGATAAAGAAAAATATCTCATTTAAAATATACTCAATGTCGACGTTATTGTTCCAGAAACACTTCATAGACTTAAAGTGATATGACATCACCGCTAGGATAAAATACCTTCAAATTAAATTAGATTATTTTTTTTTTTCCATTTTATTATATAAAGAGACCGTATATAATTACTAATTTCCACCTATAAAAATATAGAAAGAGAATAATAATTAATCCATATTTCAATAATTATTTATAATAAAACTAACTTTTCTCAAATTTTAAGATTATTATTTATTTTCCATTTTTTAATAATAAGCACAAGAGGTTTTGTAGTTAACTAAAATTACCATATAAAAAATATAGAAAAAATATTATCGCCATTATGTAATACATCATTATTCTAATAATTTTCCTCTTGTAATGAACATTCTTGAAGCCCATCATGTGAATAACATTAAGCTGGTTAGTAAGTAAAGCTATTATTGTAATTTGAAATAATAAAATCTTTTTTTTTTTTCTTTTTTTTATTGCAATTACTGTAGAAAGGAAAGGAAAGCTACGCATTTGGCTGTTCAAACTTTACATAAACCAAGGCGCATATCTGCGTTGAAATTCCATTGACAATGCTATGTGAATTAGAAAATGTGCCCACCTTCTTTTTGGTGAAAACCTTAAGATGAATTAAATGTATAGTAGCGACCCATGTGAGGGCAGTCTAGTTACGTTCCATATTGATGAAAGGATTCCTTTAATAAAAATAATTTTTTTTTTTTTTTTTTTTTTCGCGGGGTTGTCAAATCTAGTCATGAGTTATCAGTTATTATTATCATGTTATGGTTATTTTCTGAGGATATTTTATTGGACAGAATAAAGAAAAATATTTGAAAATAATCAAGTCGGACTTATTGTTCAGACTTATAGATTAAGTGATTGATACGGGATCAAATACTTCAAATTAAAATTTTTTTTTTTCATTTTTTATATAAGAGGTTTATTACTAAATTTCCTATAAAAATATAGAAAAATATTAATCCATATTTCATAATTATTTATAATAAATACTTCAAATTAAGATTTTTTTTTCATTTTTTATATAAGAGGTTTATTACTAAATTTCCTATAAAAATATAGAAAAATATTAATCCATATTTCATAATTATTTATAATTTTCTCTTAATGAAATTTTTGAGCCATATGTAATACTTAGCGTTAGTGTACTATTATGTAATTTGAATAATAAAATCTTTTTTTTTTTTTTTTTTTTGCATTACTTAAAAGGGAAAGGAAAGTACGATTTGGCTGTTCAAACTTTAATAACACCAGGCATTCTCGTGAAATTCATGACAATATGTGAAAGAAAATGTGCCCCACTTCTTTTTGGTACAACCTAATGAAAAATTAAGTGCGACCATTGGAAATTAGTTAGTTCATATTATGAAAGGATTCTTAAAATAAAATTTGGATGAATCAACTTATGGAATTAAATTAAAAGGACTTGCAAGATCAATATTAGGATATCCATATCTAGAAGCCAGATTCTTATAATTATGTATGCCCGAGCCTTGCATAAATTACATTTAATTACATTACATTACGTCTATCAAGGGTACTCAGATGCATATTCCGAACACTGGAGTATTGTCTCACCCGCGAAGGGGATATAGCTGAGGATACCTTTAACTGTTACAAACCAACCAAAAGGGGAAAAAAAATCTTGATCTACAGCATAAATTAGCAACTCCAAATATAGTCCCTGCCCCTGGTAAAAACAAAATAGGCATCCTATAACGAATGTGGCAAATGTACTACTATATAGAACTAAGATGGTCAATACTGTATCAAATTACAAAACAATTTCCAAAGAATCACCTGTTTCACAATTCATAAGCTGCATGGCAATTGCAGCGGAGCCAAAATCATGCTAATATCAATGGCAAAGTATTTTAAATTTGTATATTATTAGGTGTACAAATGTTCCAGATTTATGAGAATCAGCTAACTGAACAAAATAACATCGACTAGAATCTATTGAGCGTTGACAGCATCTGTATCTTTAAGAAACATGTATAATGGTACTTCCATCTGTACAGTAGTGTTGCTATATTGTATTAATTGCAAGAGGAAATACAGAATGTGGGAGCAACAATGGTCTTACTCCCCCATGAGTAACTCGAATCCAGTAATGCTATTTGCTTATCGAAGAATGTACAAGATATCATTATTTGCAGTTGCAAATAATATGGAAAGGAGTCATAACCCCAAAAATCAATTAACAGAAACTGGGAAATGGTCACCTGTTTTCATGAAGCATCGTCTTTAACAGGAAGATCATAAGTAGGCAAGAGAATAAAGTTCTCTTCTTGCTCATTAGACTCGGTAAGCATCAATACAACTTCCCGCATTGATGGCCGGTCAAAAGGCGACATGCTCGTACACATTAAAGCGATTTTCAGTATGGTAATCATATGATCAATGATACTTTGATCTTTGAGGTCTAATCTACTATCAAGAATCCCAGATGTCAATGAATGGTCTCGAACATAATCCTTCACCCATGTGACAAGATCACCTCCTTGATCTACCGGCTGTACAGGAGTTTTCCCAGTTAGCAACTCCAAGAGAACAACTCCATAGCTATAGATATCACATTTTTCCGTTACTTTCATTGTGTAAGCATATTCTGCCATTAAGAAGAGAAATCAGAGGTTTATAGGAAAAGAATTACAACTCTAATTTATTAAAAAGCATGACTACAACAAGCAATGAGAGAAAGGAGAATTTTGAAGTCAACAGCAAGTAACATCTTATCATAATTGTGCAAAGGCAGTTGAAAGATATTTTGCCCCATATTGAAAGAGCAAAGTTGGCACAACCATCACATTTAAGCAAACAGATGATGCATGAAATGCCCAAGTCCCAAAAATAGACTCAAGATAATATTTATATATATAGGCAAGTGTGCGCACATGGTGACACATATTAATAAATTGATCGGGTCTTTTTTTTTTTTTTTTCTCGGGAAAAACTTACCAGGTGCAATATACCCATATGACCCTGCAACTGCTGACATTGATTTAGACTGAGGCATGTCAATTACTTTTGCCAAACCAAAATCACCAACATGGGCTTCAAAATTATCATCAAGTAAAATGTTGTTGGACTTTATATCACGGTGAATAATCCTTGGTTTGCAGTCATGATGTAAATAAGCAAGACCTTCAGCAGCTCCAAGAGCAATCATGAACCGAGTTGGCCAGTCCAAGCTACACGAGGATCCGTGAAGCAGTTCACCCAAGCTGCCCTTAGCCATGTACTCATAAAGAAGCAGATTAGAACCCTGATGATAGCAAAATCCATAAAGCTTCACAATGTTCCGGTGCCTAATCTTTCCAAGAGTAAGAATCTCAGCCTGAAAACTGTTCTCAATGTTGCTCCCCTCTCTGTTAGATGCTAGCTTTTTCACAGCTATGGTTTGTCCAGTATGCATGACGGCCTTATAAACCGTTCCACAAGCTCCTCGTCCAACAACATAGCTATCGTGAAAATTGTTTGTGGCCTCAACCAAATCTTGTAAAGTAAATCCCTCCTTTGGACGAAAGTAGATATCTGATTCTGGAGATGAACTCTCATTATCACGTACAGAAGGAATGGTCTCAGCTGGGCGTCTCATGAAATACAGTATTACTGCAATTAGAATTAGAGAAACTCCACCAACAGCAGCTGCAACAATTGTGATGATTCTACCCCTGGGTTCATCTATGCTTTTTGAAGGAGGGCCAAAAAATGGTTCTCCATTACAATAGCCAAGAAGTCCACCACAAAGCCCATTATTTCCAAGGAAACTGCTGACTGCCATGTTCTGAAATAGTGGTACAGGAGGTAATGGTCCAGTAAGGTTATTATATGAAAAGTTGCAGCCCAGTAAACTTGAAAGATTTTCAAACGTGCCAGGAATTTCACCAGTCAAATGATTATTATTGAGCAGGAGGAACTCCAACAAGTTGAGATTGCCCAGCTGTGGTGGTATGCTGCCAGTAAGATTATTGTAACTGAGATTCATTGCAATCTGCAAGCTTGAAAGAGAACCCAACTGTGGAGGAATTTCACCTGAAAATAAGTTTCCACCCATCTGCAATTCAGTCAAGCGGGAGAGGTTTCCCAATGCTGGAGGTATAAAACCAGAAAATTTATTTTCTGAAAGCTTGAGAAGCTCTAACTGCAGAAGGATTCCAAGCTCATCCGGTAAAGCATCTACGAATCTATTGTGACTGAGATCAAGTCGTTGAAGCATCTTGCAGTTAACAATTTCAGAAGGAATCTGTCCTTCGAGCAAATTAGATGACACATTAAAAGTCACAAGTTGAGATAGATTACCTATCTCCTTGGGCAACTCACTTGCAAAGTAATTGTTTGCAATATGAAGCCTCTGCAACTTTTGGCAGTTGCCGATGGCCGGAGGAATTGGACCACTAAATCTGTTTTGATCCAATTCAATAGCTGAAAGATTCACCAATTTGCACAACTCTGAAGGAAAGCTCCCAGTAAGCCTGTTTTTGACAAGACGAAGTTGTACCAATGATCTACAGTTCAAGATCCCATTTGGTATATTCCCATAAAATTTATTAGATTCCAGATTCAGCAACATCAAGTTAGAGTGACGACAAAAATGAGGAGGTATTCTTCCTGTCAATTCATTGTCTGAAAAATCCACCACCCAAAGTCGACTATAAAGTCCAAGCCCCTGAGGAACAACACCAGTCAGGAAGTTGTCAAAAAGCTGCAGTTGAAGCATTTCTGTCAAGTATTGAAAGCCAGAAGGAATAGGACCTCTGAGAGAATTAATAGAAAGATCAAGCTTTGTCAAGTTCCTCAAGCTACCAAGCTCATTTGGTATATAACCAGTAAGCTGATTCTGGAAAAGGTACAGAAGATGCAGACCCTTTATCTTACTGAACTCAGCAGGGATCTCCCCTGTCAAATAATTCTCCGAGAAATCAATTTCTGTTGCCATAGACAAATTCCCAAGTTCTCTTGGTATTGTTCCATTCAGCTCATTTCTGTACAGATAGAGCTTCTTCAGAAACTTCAGGTTCCCAATTTCCCTTGGTATCGATCCGACAAGATTGTTTGCATATAAAGCAAGTGTCTCAAGGTTCGTACAGTTTCCAATCTCCTTTGGTATAAATCCTGATAGTTGGTTACCCCATAGAATTAAATCAGTCAAGCTCCCAAGCATTCCAATTTCTTTCGGCAGTTCCCCTCCTATAGCATTTTGAGCAAGACCAAGCAGTTGTAAGCTCTGACAACCACTTATTTCTGATGGAATGCTACCAGAAATTCCATTCTGCCCTGCACGAAAAGTTTGCAAGTTCTTGAGATTCCCAATAGAATGAGGCAATGGGCCAGTCAGATTGTTGGTGTAAGCCACAACCTCAATCAATGATATCAAATTCCCAAACTCCTCTGGAAGACAACCAGATATTCTATTATTGCATATATTCAGACGTTGAAGAAAAGTCAAATTACCCAGCTCAGCAGGAACTTGCCCACTAAACTGATTATTGTTCAGATAAAGGTACTGCAGCTTTGAACAATTTCCAATTGAGTTAGGTATATATCCAGTGAGCATATTATAAGAAAGATCAAGATATCTTAGGTTGACCAAACCACCAATGCTGGGACTCAAAAACCCAGATAGATTCATTGAACTTAAATTGAGAGACTGGACCACGGGTTCATAATCTGAGGTACAATTCACACCAATCCACCCACATGGCGTCTGGTCAGTGGAATTCCAGTTCCACAGATGATCACGTTCGTCATTAAGACCATTCTTTAGATCTAGGAGGTATTTCCCCTCAGAATTCAATCCCTCAGAAGTAGAAAACAATAGCAGGGTAGCAAGCCAAAATCCTGTAAATCCCACTTCAAAATTTCTCCTTGATTTGATATGTGAAGACATTTTATTATCCCTCAGTTTGAGACACCTATACACATGTAACTACTTTAGATTACAATTATCAAACAACCAAATTCATTAAAACATGTTACTTTACTTCAGAAATATAAGATCAATTAAATACTAAGCTGGTGATAAGAACATATTCTATAATAAGACACTGTTTAACAAGCCATCGTGACTGAAAGGAATGCTCAGTGCAAATACGAGTAAAAGAAACAATCATCACAACAAATGCATATAAAATAAAAGGAATTCAAATGCATATAAAATAAACCAAGAAATTCAGGAATTACGAATTCAACAAACCAAATTGATATTTAAGTAATAAACCCAGAAATACAACCCCGAACGAGCTGAAGGAGATTTGGAGGAAGTCAAAGACGCGCTGGAGTAAAAAATGATACATTCAAAATAACTCAGATAGGCAATAACTATAAATTAAGAAAACCTAACAATCCGCAATGAACATTTATACTTGAACAAATTATTAGAACCATAAAAGAAACAACTTTAAGCACACATATAAGCCGGCAATACAGAAAAAAGAGATATACCTGTTTGAGCCAAATAATCAATCACTCGTCAAAGAAGAGATAGTAAAAGCAACAACTGCACCACTTCGCTGTAACTCCTTGAGACCACAAAGATAAAGAAACCGAGGAATTCATGAATCGACAGAGAAAACCAAAGCGAACCCAGTTCACCTTTTGCCACAAATGGCGGGGATCTTTGGATCTACAGGCCCAAGATTTTGGACAAAAAGAAAAAACTCTCTCTATCTCTATCTTGCCTTTTTTGCTTTTGAGAAACAAAACAAACAACCAAAAGTGCAACGAACCAAAAAAGGGAGATTTTTTTGGGTTTCTTATCGAGATACTGAAACAAACTTAAAGCAATTCAAAAGAGACGAGCTTTAGCTCTTCCTTTGAAGCTTCAATGGCCGACAAGGCATGTTCTCATTTCCTCTCTCCTTCTGTACATACACCTTTCTCTCCCTCACCCCTTTTTCTCTAGGTACCCAATGAATGGTATTTGCTAATTCTGCTATTGCTCTGTGTCATTGTTGTAGGAGAGTGGAGATGGTGGGCTTGGCTGGCCTGGCTGGCTAGCCAGTTTAGTTTCTTTCTCTTTTTTAGTGCCTTAGCAAAAAGGTTGTGTGTAGGTAACTATTTCTGCAACTTTTTATTGGGGCAAGAAAAGTTCAAATTTTTTTTTGTCTAAAGATAAATATTTGGATTTTGCTTGATTGTGACACCTTCCTGTGATCGCTGTGTGGTAGGTTTCTTCTTTCTTCTGGAATCTCCATACCCAAACAAAATTAACACTAATCACCTTGAATAATTCATAACACTGACAATTCACCCATATATATATTATTAAAAACCAGAACTGTCCAACCGACCACCTTGCGCTTTTCTTTCTTTTCTTTATGTCAATTGCGCTTAAACTACATCATGTGCAATTTCCATTTTCTCATAGACTTTGTATTACGTCTTCATATGAAATTCTGAATTAACTCAATTTAAAAATAAATTGCATTTAACATGTAAAAAATTTATGTATATAAATATAACTAAATTTCCCAGTAAGAATATTTTTGCCTTAAAAATTTAAATTTTTAAGAAAAAATTTTAATGTTAAGTTTGAATTTCATTAAATTGTGAGCTTATGGTTATATATCTTTTTATTTTGTAGGTAATTCAGTTACTGCACACCAAAAAAAATTTTCATTCATTTTATTTTTAAAGTCTAGCCATTGCAGATTGTCTGCTCTTTTATTTAGGCAGAAGATCGGTTAATAGAGTTGCTCATGTTTTAATAAAGGCAGTATGTTTTTATACCGGTCTTAGGATTGAGAGTAAAATTATTTTATTATTCACGTAATATCTTTTAAGTTAATAAATTATAATTTATTAATTATAACTTGTTCTATTTTAGAAAGAAAATGATTATTAGGATTGAATCAATGAAAATTGATTATATTTTCAAATGAATTATCACCATTGACAAAATTTTATATGAATATAAATTGACAATAAATGTGAAAAATTGCGAACTAAAAATAATAATTCTCATTAAAGAGCATAATGTATTGAATTTGGTGGTTTAATTAATTTTATACTCAGAATATAAAATAAATCTCATAAATACATTGTACGGATAGCAATTTCATTTTATTTTATTTAAGGATTTTAGAATGTGTTTAATTAATAACCCACACAATTATTATAATGTGAAAAGGAGGAGGATATTTTACTATTTTCCGGAGTCAGCAACGCGAGATGGGACTTAGAAGTGGGCCCTGTAGGCTCTAGGAATGGCCCACTAGGCGTAGATGTGGACCCACAAAAAATAGTCAAGACTTAAAACAGCTTTCTATGAGCCGTCCAACCACGACCTTTTATTTCCATATCGGAGGGTTGAGATTTGTTGGTTATTAATCGGGCAAGTAATGATAAAACCTTGAAAGGTGAAATGATAGGACCCAAAAGAAAAAAGTAATAAATAAAAATAAGAAATATTTAATTGCAGCACATGTAAGATAATCACTACCTCACTTTTATATATTTATTTATTTATTTATTAATTATTATTATTATTGACTCTATGATATGGGAATTGGGAATTGGGGTTGGGTCATTTCCACTAAAACCTCATCTATTTCTGTAGGGTATTGACCTGTTATGTGGCTGTGAGAGGGACACAGCAATTTCATCTTTTGGGTGCAACTATTCAATCTCAGTTGGGCAGATCGAGACCTTCTTTATTTATTTCATTCTTATATTTTCAAAGATGAACCAATTTATTTTGAAATAATTTGGTTATTTCATGATTCACTTAACCCTACAAGTCTAACAAGTTCAGTACTATAATTAGGCAATTTTTTGATTTTTTTCACTAAGTTATTATTGCCATAGGCCAAACTTTCAGCTTTCAAATTGTATCATTTTGAGATCATTCCATTTTTATTACTTATAAATTTTGAATTCAATGATTATAGGATTTTAATTATCTATAAACCCTAAACTATGAGTTGTATTATTTAGCATCATTAGTGGAAAGTCGAGCCCTAACTTAATTAATTAATTAATTAAGAACGAGGGGATTAAGATCTTCTCAAAGGGAGTGCAAAGAGAGTTGAATTATATAATATTGGCATAGGGTTGGGGTTTATTTGCAGTTGAAGGCTATATGGGTGGATCCATAATCCACATATAATAGTATAATCAATAATTAATTAAGAGGTTAATAAGGATTATAAGAGTGGTTTGGTCAAGAAATGTCAACTTAATTACAAATATGGTATAGCTCACGGTTTTAAATTTGAGTTTGGTTGGATTTAGATCTGCAAGCCATTAATTGAGTCGCACTATCATCCAATAAATAGTCAACACGTGTATTATACTATAATATATTATATTTATCTTTGTAAACTCGTTTGCATGACATGACGCGGTTTCTTGATTTGTCCCTTAATGAATCATTTTGAAAATTACTTAATTATGCATGGTATTGGATACGGGTAAAGATGCTATTAGCTCCTTCTTTTTCCATTTTTCAATTGATTCATGCGATTAATAGTTGATTCCTATTTAAGAGTTGACTTATAGGTATTTGATAAGAATTTTAATGAAAAATGATGTTTATTGAAATGATAACATTTTTTACCATACACCCAAAAAATGGATAGAACTCCATTTTTAGTGTTTAATCCATGATTGAAATTATAAATTCGATTTAAGTAAATCTAATCTTGTAGTTATTGAATTTTTTAAAATTATATTGAGATAAGTTCAATTATTGCTAATGTCGATTTAAAATCTTATTCCTATTAATTAGAAAAATAAAAACTCACATTCAAAAAATTAACATGAAATTGGTTTTATTTGAAAATAAATTTATTTATATTGTAAAATCCGAGATCTCAATTATGAGTGAGTTATCTCTTTAAAAATATTATTTTGATTTATCTTTTATTACCACTCCTAGTCTCACGTGGGGCATGCATTGCTTCTATTACTTGAAATGCTTTGTCCAATCGTGATCTCAAAAGAGTGTTCCTATACAACCACTCTAAATAGTTGATGGAGCTTTTGTTTACAAAAATAAATAATGGAACAAATACCCTTTTCAAATCTTCTTATACCAAGAACGGAACTAATCAATTATATATATAATTATTATATATATATATATATATTAGGTTTTATATTATGTTTTATTTGTTAATTAAAAACGTAATATAAACAAACAAATAAAAAAAATCCCTAAAAAATTTAATTATAATTAATCTTACATACAATAATAATAATAATAATAATAATAATAATATAGCTTAAAAGAATCAAATGATAGGACTTTCAATTGCTTTCCCGTGAACGTTAAAGTTTGACACTTATTTGCAATATATATATATTACAGGCCGGTGTAAACTAATTAATTTTTCCATATGTGAACAGTGAAAATTCTCATACTCAAGTGTTTATTAGTGGAAGCTTTAACGGAGATGACTATTCATATTGCTTGTTCACAGTGTTCTTGAACTTATTGAGCCTCCTAATAATATTATAATCTTTTATCGCCATATAATAATATATATAGGATTTAACTATTAATAAACTCAAGCTTATTAATAATTAAAATTTAAAATTATATTAAAATAAATCAAATGCTTCAATAATAATTGTAATTTATAAAATTTAAAATTTAATATCTTATAAGATTTTTATTTATATACTCATACAGAAACGAACTACCTTTTAAAGAGAGAGGCAACTGCCTCCTCCTATTTTGAAAAAGAATAATATTTTCCTTAACAATATTGAGTTTCGAATCTTGGTGTAAAGAAATTTTTAAGATACTTCAATCATTTTGTCCCTTCTATTTTTTCATAATATTCTCTGAATAAATATAAGATTGAGCTTATAACATATATGTATTCTGATACATTTGGCCATAAGTTATATAAATAGTTGCAAATCTTTGAAAGGGGGGAAAACAAAAAAGACAAGGACATACGAGTTTTGCTTGTTCTATTCAATAACGTCTAGTGTTATGTATTTTGTTTGATTATTATTACTTTATAAGCTTTTTGTTAGAAGAGATAATAAATAAGAGTATCCAAAACACAATCCTTAACCAGCAACTTGTATAGTATACATCGATGTCCAAATACAGAAATACTCAAAAAAGATATCGTGCGTGGCTGTGACCTGTGGGTCCATCGCAATGCACGTGAACTAAAAGAGGCCCATGTTGATGAGGCCTAACTGGTATCCTAAAGCCCATGATGACCTTATTAAGGTTATCTATGACCTATGCAATTGACCAAAATGGACGGGATTTGGGAAGCCATGTCCTTTGATAGATATCATGTTTAGGTGTGAAAGGTTGAAGAAATTAGGTATATATCCTCATTTCATTTATTGCTTAGTTTTTTTAAGCAATATCCCATTGACACTATCTTCAAATTAGGCAAATGCTCCTCCTATCTTCGATTCTTATAAACCACTCAGGATGTAAAAATTTTTTGGCTCTCCCACTGCCATACATTAAATATATTTCTCGAGGCTTTTATTAATTGGGTAGGAACTAAAAACCAGGACTAACTCCCATATCTTTTCTTTTCTATCAATCTCTAATTCTACTCTTCCCCCTAATCTAATATTATGGTGCCAATATAGATTGGAATTCCAATATTGAACCTTAGACACCCCAAGCATGCGCAATGGTGCTGTAGATAGTTAAGTGAAATTTAGTACACTAACTAACTTGATTTATGGACAACACTGTTGTGATAAATAACATAATGTCAGAGAAATTATTTTTTAACCAAGAAACAGTTCGCTGATTATTTCAACCAACATCTTATTAGTAATAAATTAAACCTTTCAAACTTTACTCTTTAGTGAAAATTGTCTTCAATAGATTAATATGTAGCCGGCATGACCTATTGCAAAATCTTCTAACTTAAAGCTTTGATATTGGCAGATTAGCCGGCTTTGCATTAAGGGCAATCCACATAATTTCATTTTCAGTAGCTTTCTAGCAAGAAATGTACCATTTGTCAAATTCCTCTTCACGCAAAGAAGGGTCATAATCTGAGGAAGCTCCCTTGCAAATAATACCAAAGACTTTTTAATTCGAATCGCGAGATTGATACCCTAAGATTATTAGATTTTTAGTTCGAACACTTTTTTTTTTTTTTTTTTTTTTTAAAAAAAAATTTTTTTTTTTTTTTTTTTTTTTAAAAAAAAAAAACAATCTTCCCAGTACTGAATAAATTTCTATATCATACTAGATTGTACTCAGAGGTAGAAAATCTTAAATTTTATCATTGTTAGTTAGGCAATTCCTAAATATTACCTGTTATGATGGCAACTTATACCAAAACTAGATAACATTTGAAATAGCAAACCATACACAAAATTCCCAAACAATACATTATGCTCTTTCCACTTAATTTGTCCAGTCATCAGAAATTCTCGTGGAAAATGGAAAAGATACAAAAATTGGTTTGGAAAAATTAATTATGGCAGCATTTACCTCAAAATGAAATTACTAACCTACAATAAAGAAAGTGGAACACATGACAAAACTACAATAATGACATTGTCACAGGCAACTTCTTTTCTTTCTAAAAAGGATATGACTTCTTTTCTTTTCTTTTCTTTTCTTTTATATAAATGTATCCATCCTAGTTGGAGTGAAAAGAACTGTGAGCCACCTCACAAGTTGGCCATGAAGATGCTATTTTCTCCATTTAAGGTAGAATGCCTTGAAAAAAAAAAAAAAAAAAAAAAAGATTCCTTTCGTTGCATGCCCTGGACACCATGTAAGGTGTCTCTGAGTCTACTCTATAAAGCCTGACCATAATCTGTTTACTTCTTTTCTTTCTTTTCATTGTATGCTCAGATTATCAGATTCAGAACACTTTTTACAATAAATATGTTAATTATCAAATTAAGAGCAAAAGCTGTCAACCCCACCCACCAATTATTTCTTTACTTCTTTTTTTTTTTTCCTCTTCTATATGATTTGTTGAATATGTAAAGACTAATAGAAGACACCATCAATAATTCCTCTACCAATTGAAAACCCAAGTCCACTTCTAGTTACTCATGGGGCTGGACTTTGGATTCAGAATTTGTAAACAGAAACCCTTTTTTAAACAGTCCTGGTGTAAGGAGAATGCAAAAACCGGTACAAACCACTCTATTAAAACTGTCTTTTACAACGGTTTTTTAAAAACAACTTACATATCGATTTAATTAAAAGCTGTTTTTTTTACGATGTTAGTAACATAATATTTAAATTAAATTTTAAAGATTAAAATAGCAGTTTATAAAAGATTAATCTCTAAAAATAATTAAATGCTACCGAAACCGTTAATTTTGTGAACAAATCTTTAAGCATCAAGAAAGAGAGATAGAGATAGATGGCCAAAATCTGTCATCTCTATCTATCAGTAATTGTGCAAAGAATGGGAAGTGTGTCTTCCATCCAATAATTGTGTAAACCCCCCATTCATTCATTAAAAACAGCTCATGAACATACAGAGTTGCTCCCATGTGGTATGTTTAATCGAAAACTGCTTTGGAAAATAAAAATAAAATCTAGTGTCTCTTGCGATAAAAATTATAGGTGTAGTCGCTCACCTGTCATGCAGGAACATAATGAGTTAGATGACAATACCAACAGCCACAGGGAAGATTAATACCTTGAACCTCTGATCTGATGATCTAACTGATAGAGATATACTATTAACCATGCATATGTAATAGTATAGCTATGAATGATTTTCTATTGACAATTATTTCTTTGTATTTAATTATTTAATTGAAATTAATGGAAACATAGCTTAAAAAAGAAATACACAACCAATTCTGATACCGGATTCCAATGAATCTGAGGTTTGGATGCAAATTGATTCAAAGAATGTATTTATCTATCTCCTCTCCTGTACCTGCTGGCATGCACATGGACTGTTTCCCAGCAAAGATTAATTGTTATATCCATAAAAACTAAGCTATGTACTGGCCTTGAAATCCGACTTCTTACCAACTATAGAAAGAAAAAGTTTTTGTCAACTTCCAAATCCGTAAATTAATGCCATTGAAAAAGAGCTGTCAGTTTTTTTTCCTTGAAAAGTGAAAATGGACAGTATATAGCTCATTGCTTCTTCGTAAAGTTAAGTTTTTTCTTGAATTTGCAGACATATTGAATTGAATTTTAAGTGATTAAGTGTTGCATCCTTCTCAGAAACATAAAGTTATATTGTGATTTAAATAAATTGTCAGTAAGTTATTTAAATGACAGCATCTGTAATCTTAACATGGGGAACATTATTTTATTATGTTGTGGAGTAAAATTAAATAGGAGTTTCAGTCATGAGTTTTTAGTGGAATAATTACGAGTGGAATAATTCATGATTAATTATAATAAGAATATGTTGGTCTACATAGGTTATTATTATAATTAGTAGCCTGATTTATTTTATTCCTGAGGTCCCTGTAGTGCCCTAATTATTTGGAAAGTTAAGGGTGTATTAAATAATAGATAAATTATTCAGTTTTAAAATAATTGATAATTTAATTAAATAATTTTTTATTTAATTTATTTTATATTAAAAAAATATCTTCCTATCGAAGAGAGGTTTTTTAATATAAGATTGCAAAACGCTAAGAATAAAGAGATACGCACGTTATTCTATTCTCTGCCACTCAGAGAGTTCCAAAACAGAGATAGTTAGGGATTACTGCAGAAGATCGTGGGTGACTCCAAGATATCTGGAAAGAAGACCGGTGAGCGATTTTGTGCTTCAAGAGGTCAGTTTATTGATTTGTTCGATAATGTTTTTAGTTTGCCTCATATGGTTTCGATAAGGGTTGTTTCCGCTTTATACCCGCTACCCGCTCCCATTCCACTAAATCCCATGTTGATGATGGTTTATATTTATTATATTATTATAATTTTATGTTTCCGCTTTATACCCGCTCCCATCACTAATCCCATGTTGATGATGGTTTTATATTATTATTATTATTATTATTATTATTATTATTATTATTATAAAGTCCCTTTGGCCACTTCCGGAAGCAATGAGTGTGAGTTGAGTTTGTTTTACATCTTCAATAATTTGACGTATTCAATGCCTTGACTACCGGGACCATATCAAACCGACCAAACCCATGTGCATAACCCTATTCCCCTTTTCATATCTAAAACCTTCTTACATTCTGTACGTAGCCATAGCCCTAACAACCTCTTCATGTAGCATTTTAACTTGGGTTAAAACGTCTCTCTTTATTATTTTATAGTGTTAGCAATTTAACATTTCTATATACTAATATTCGGAGTTTGAAAGGGCCTATCATGAAATGAAATCAGCTAATTTTACTGAGCAGGGCCAACAGGCCATCATCATGTTCTTTTACTGTATAGCTCAAAATTTCGTCAGCCAACATGTACTGTCTTTACAATGCAGATAAAAAAACCCAACCATTTTCAACTGAATTTGCAGATATCTGCATTGGCTATGAGCACAGGCAAGTAAGAATCAGAAAGGGAAAAAAACCCTTCAGACATTTATATAGGGACCATACCCAAGAAATTTTAACCGCATAGGGACCACAGTAATGTAGTAATGTCTTTTCCAGTCTGTAAAACACATTTTACGTTTGCTTTAAGTAGTGTAGAATTCCCATTTCTCCCCAGATACTAAAAAGTGCAGCAATCAAATAGTGAACTTCCATTAGACACCTGCATCTTCAGCAATAGAGTTATCAGGCCAGTAGCGCATGAAAAAACCAAATATTCTCTCATACCAGTTACATCATGAACTTCCTCAAAACCGAAAGTTGGCATGCTCCCCAGTCAAGAATTAAAACAAGGCAACAATTGAGCCATGAAAAAGATAAAACTAGTCATATTGAGCAGAGCATTAACACAAACATTTAGAATTAAAACTCACAAGACCCAATTTCTCTGTGTTTAGAAAATTTCATAGGGGACTTCCTCCAAACAACCACAAGTTTGAATTGTGTGTTACAACTCACCAACTTCCACTATGCCACTATCCAATATCAAATTAGTTAGTAAAAACCACTACTTTCAAGCCTCAGCCAAAAAGAATATCACCAAACCCTCAACCACAAATCTTTTCTTTTTCCCTATAATTTGATCATGCAAAATCCAATCCAACCAAATGCAGCAAAAGAATTAAGATTAGGACAAAACCCAATAACACTACCTTGCTTTTCTATTCTAAAACATATCCAACCAACCATACACACTAAGCAAGTCAAAATTCCCCTACTAAATTTCCATCAAAACCAAATAACATCACTAATTACCAATTCCATTGCACCAAACCCCTGCCTTCCTAACTATGCTAGTAAAAAAAATTTAAAAAAAAAAAAGAAAAAGAAAAAAGGAAAAAGAGAGGGCACCAATCACCACTGCCCTACCCTTTCTCCATTGGTTTCACAACAACCAATCCCATCATCTGCTTCTGTTTCCTCATCTCCAAAACTTTCCTATGCGAATTTGAATGCATTTTACTGCAAAATGACGGGCTACTAGCGGGCCTGTACTCGGGTACCAGCCGCCCGGACTTAAACCTTACACCACATGCATTACAAAGGGTTTTAGGCCCGAGCGGCCCAGCCCGCCACTGAGGGGTCTTTTCAGCACCGCAATGCTGGCATTTTCTTCCCATCGTCGATGATGTTACGGGTGGCCTTACTTTCTTCAAATTTTCTTGGTTCCACCAACACTGGTGGGCTTGGAGGTCGCGGCGCCGTCTACGGTGGTGCTTGCTTCTAGCCTTGACGGGCACTTGAAGGCTGCGGCAGTAATTCATGATAACGCTGCCATTTGTGCTGCTATTCCCGCTAATACTGGTGCTACTTGTTGTGCTGTTTTCAAGCACCGAAACTGGGCTTCGCTGCTTAGGGAGACTACCTGGGTTCTCCGATATAATGTCGACGAAAGTTTCCACCGCCGGGAAGGCATCTTTGTTTGATAACCATTCCAGCTCTTCCTCAGCAAATTCCTGAGCGAGAAATGGGAAATATCAGAATCAAGAACCATATAAAACCCCATTTTGGGATTAAGAAGCGAACCAGGTGACTCAATTAGTCGACTCAGTAACTCGAATGAGTGGTCTCGTCTATAATTAGGCGCCCAATTAGTGTCACGTGGGCCACCCATGTGAAATTGCCCTCACGTTTTGTTTTATTAAATCAGTGTTGGACATAGCAGGAGAATTTTTCGAAACTGTATGATAATGTTGTCTTTCCAAGTGGGAGTGCTCCTATCAATTTACAGCCATAAAAGAGGCAACTAATTGCTGGACATTTATTGGATACAACTCTAAACTCGTGAGCCACAGCTCACATCAATTAAGACCCATTTGACCTTAAAATACCAAAACCACCCTCCAATAAACCCACTTTACACTGACACGTGTCCGTACCGACAAATGTTTCAAATGGTCAGAACCGTCCATTCAAATCAACAGAGGGTGGCGTCTGGCCAACAACTCAGCGTTTTGAAAAATAAAAAATATGAGTAACGTGTACCTCCAACGCCGTCTACTTTGACTCGGCTGAGTCGCCATCATGGCGAGTCATTCAAACACGGACAGAACAGCCCGAGTTTACTCGGCTACATCCCTAAAAGTAACCGAGTCAGGCCGAGTCAACACCCACAACAGACACCCTTTAAAAGGAATAGAAAAACTATCCTCATCCTCATCATCATGGAGTCATAAACTTACAGGTAAAGGATGGGTAGAATCATCTGGGTGGTCCAAAACATCAAACGGAGCCGGGTGAAGACCATTCGGGTTAAGGGTAGGAAGGGCCTTTCTGGGTTTGTTGTGTTCTTCATCGTCGTCTTCTTCTCCTATGTCAGAAGCGAAGTCCAGTAAGTCGTCCATGAAGCAAGCAGCTGGGTCAAGAGACTCCATTTCTAAAAAGAGAAAGGAAAGAGGAAGAAGAGGTTTTTCAGAGAGAGAGAAAAAGAGGTTCTTGACAGACACAGAGAAAAGAAGAGAGAGATAGAGAGAGAGAGAGAGTCAGTCTCTCTTTTATTTTTGGCTATATTATTAGTTCACGATGGAGTCGAGGGTTTTTGGGTGGGAACGAGGGGATGGCAATTTTTTTGGGCGTTTTTAATTTTAATTTTAATTTCTTATTTTATAATTTATAGTATTTATTTTCCCTATTATGTAACGTCCACTGGGTAAGTATCCCATGCATTCATAACCTTCACGTCTTTTTCTTGCAACTTCATCAATAACCCTCCAGACTACTTCCAAATGTTAAATTATAACCTACCGCTCTTACCCCTTGTTGACCATATTTGGCTATTTAAACTATCCACATTAAAGTTTTTTTTTTTTTTTTTACATATTTGGCACTATATTAAAAACTATCCACATTAAAAAAAAAGGTTTTTTTTTTTTTTTTAAATATATATATATAATATATATATATATATATATTTTTTTGAATATGGTTATAAGAATGGACATATCAAATCACTACATACTAATTATGGATGCATTTGTAATTTGATTTGAAATTCTCAATTAATGCTTAGGTTATATGTAAGTTAGGTTTACCACTGCCATACCTACCATTTGACTCTATCTAATTATATGTTCCTTGCCTACATTTTTTATCCATGTTTAATTTTTTTTTTTTATAATAATTCAGGAAATAATTATATTATATAAATTTATAATAAAAAATTTTTTTATTTGACTCTCACCTAATTACACTGTTTGTAAATTTTCTTCCCAAAATAAAAAATTGAATAATTTGGCGTGGAAAATATAATTGAGAAGATATTCAAACATGATATAGTGAATTATTCAAATATTTTTACAACCACAATTAATTTATTGGGATACACATGATTTTTGTGGATTTGAGAGCGACATTATTATTTCACCATTCTCTTTATTATCACACCTAAAATTTCCAAGCTTTCAATGGATCTCCATATTTGGTTGCTACCGGCATAAATGAGAGAAATGAATAAATTCACCTTACTTTTTGCAAAAAAAAACTTTTTGCCAAAAAAAAAAAAAAGATTATATATATATAATATAATATGTTATTTAACTTAAATAAATATATATATAATATAATATTTTATTTTACTTAATTAAACATTTCTATTCATAAAATTATATTTTTTATGTTTTAAAATATAAATCATTTTTGAGTGATTATTTTATTATAAAATATAGTCGTTTTGAGGTTTTAAGGAGTAATAAATAATGTTTTTCTAATATTACTATTATTTACATCGGATTCATTAACTATCTTCACAAATTACTTTTGGTTTTGGAATAAAAGGGCAATTTGGTTAAATATCATTGATTTTGTTATAATTTATAAAAATGAATTGCTTTATTTAATCTATATACAAAACCTTAAACGACTTATATTTTAAGACAAATAAAATATATTATAATTGTGTCAAAGTGCAAATAATTTATCAAAAACTCCAATTTGTAAAATAAATCCATTCATATTTATTAGATAATTAAAAAATATGAAAACTATACTAATCACACATAAAATGTATGTTTTCATATAAAATCAAAACTGCTAAAATTTATTAATAGCCAATTGTTTCATTTTATTTGACAATTTTTAACTTTTCACGTGAATTAAGATAATGATTGAATTGTTTTATAAAAAATAAGAGTAATTAACTAAATTATTTTTCACTTAAGAAACAAAATTTGAAGCATATCTAGATAAAAGTAAAGTTGGAATAAAATTATTAATGCTACTTTTATTTATAAAAATATTTAAATAGAATAAAAAATAAAAAATTATCAAATTTAACGGAGGAAATATTAATATGAAACTATATATAATGTTATTAAAAGTTATAATTCTAAACACACAATAAATCTTGTTAAAAAGAAACACACCATAAATCACTGTTGATACTTTAGATGTCACAAAATTTTTATCAAAAGAATAATAGGGAAAATAATCAAAATATGTATTTCGAGGGCATAAATGCAAATACAACATAAAACGGGGGTATCATAGGAACAAAAAAGGTAAAAAGTCTTTGAAGAGATAAAAAAAAAAGGAGGGGGCGGGCCGCTTACGCAACGGCCACAGGCCTGCCCGTAATATTCGTCTCTACCAATAAGGTCCAACGCCCACGTCACCAGGTCCAATAAAAAACAGCCAAGTGGAAACTAGTACTATTTTCTCAATTATTATTAATATTTTGTTTTTTTATCTTTGACCTCCCCGACACCGCACGTGGCGGCGATGATCTTGTGATATTTGCATCTGTTTTTAGTTGTAAATAGCATAGTTATTGTTAATAACAATAATTAATAAAGATAATAATCTCACTTCTCCAAGTGGGCCCTTTAATTTATGTGTAGGACCCTTTTGCATGTGCTCTTGGAGGGGTCCACCGCAGCACGTTAGGGGATAGTAGGTGGTAGTGGAAAGATACATACAATGAAGGAAAAGTAGGGTATGTCCATACTCAATCATGGACGTGAGATTCACGTGCTCTTTGTGGATCACCCAAAGATTCAATGAATTTGTTTGATTAATATAGTATTATGTCTCCATGTCTACTTGTGTCGTAGGAAAAAAAAAAAAAAAAAAATGTCGTAGGAAAAATAAAAAAAAAAAAAAAAATTCAAAAACTTAAAAATACTTTTCTTTTATTAAAAATCTATTTATAAAAAAAAAAAAAAAAAAAAAAATTCAACTTAAAAAATACTTTCTTTTATTAAAAATTATTTATTTTTATTTTCTATATTTATCAACATTTGTGTTAAAAAAATATGAGATTTAGTGGTAAATGGTCGTAATTTAGTTTGCTGAGTTGTAATGAAATTATACTAAAAGTGTTTTTTTTCTTTTTGTGTTTGATTACATTGTATTATGAGATATTAATTTATTAAAATTTAATATTTTATGGAGAATTAATTTATTAGGAAATTAATAAAATATTTGAAAAAAATAAATAATTATATTTAAGTTAAATCAATAAAAATAAAATAAAAATAAAAAGTTAAGTTATTATACTTAATTTAAATATCTTTTGTTTAATTAATTTGCAAGGATATTATAAATGTAAAAACAATTATTAATGCAATAATTTTTTATAATAACCAATTTTCACTATTTCAAAACAAAACTACCAAAACAAAATATAAATATTGTTAAAAAATTACTTAATAAATATAACTTATTGAAAGATCAACGTATATGATCTCTTAACATAAAACTATAAAAATTCAGAAAATGAAAAAAAAAAGGATAAAAATCAACTACAATACTTCATATTTATCTAAATATTTTATAACTAAAGATATTATTTTTTATAATATCTCATTTTTTGTAGGAATTTAATTTTTTTCATATAAAATTGGAAACTTTCATGTATGGAAAGTAGGACTGAAACATATATGTTTAGAAATTGAATTTTCTTAAAAAAGGTAAAGATTATTATGCCAATCAAATTTCACGTCCTAAATTACTTTCTCGGGAGATTCTCTCGATTGTAACTCCCCTTGCATTCCGTTAACTAAAATAAAGCCCATATTTCTATGGATGCGGTACTTAAAATCCTAAGGGCCTTAGGCCCAGATGTTTGGGTTTTGTTTTCCAATCAAGGAATTCGCATTTGGCCCAACCTCCCCTAGATATGGATGTATCTATTATCCAAGTGATTTTTTTTTTTTATTTATTAACTATCTATATACTATAACAAAAGAAAATCAAATATATCTTAAATAAAAAATTTAATTAAGTTAATATTTTTCATATAATATTTTCCTTCACAATAAGTACAAAAGAATTCTAATTCATGTGAAATTGAGATACAATAATATCTAAAAGAAATTCAAGTACGAATTCTCACGTACTACTGGATATTTTTGAATTAATTTAATTAGTAAAATAAATATTTACTTTTTTATTAATTAGGATTCAATTTTCTTAAAAAGTATTTCATAATATCAAGTTCGAGAGCGCTAGAAAAAAAAAACTTAATTTTTTGTAATTTTTTAAAAAATAAATTTTGGTAATTGTAAATTTACGAAACCAATTGAAAAAAAAAAATGATGAGAAATTATATATCAAGTGAAATTACTAACCAATTCTTAGTGTAAGAATCACCCATATACTAATTTTTTTTTTTTAAATGTCTCATATACTAAGTTAATAGGTCATTACTATTATTCTTATTTAATTATCTTTTTAAGTAAATAATCAAAAATACCCTTATTCCTATCATATATCACTGTTTGGTTACTATTAAATTAGTTAAAATTAACTTGATATATAGGTAAATCTAATCCTCAACGGACAACGATGACGAGACATTCATGCAAAGGACATTTAGATTGAAGGAAACGTCGTCGTTTTAAGATGATCCTCCCATTTTATCTCCATTACACACGTGGCGTCCCGCAACTACTCCCTGCAAGGAAAATTTTTAGCATAAAAAAAATTCTCGCGTCTCTCTAAGCAACAACAACTTCACTTACAGTGATAACACCGGAATTTCACCATTCAATCCGAAGAACAAAATCCATTTGATTTCTGAGCTTAAAATGAATCGGGAACGCATTTTCTGTTTCTGAGAAACTAGAAAAGGAAAAGGGGAGGAAACAGAAGAAAACACTATGCAGGGGCTTAATCTTCAAAGTACACCATCCATTTCGAGAGAGAAGCCTCCCTTATTGGGTTTGGTTGACTCATTGCCATGTTTTGCTAGCATATCTAGAAAACCCGTTTCTCCTTCAAGTAAGTTCTCTGTTAATTTATCTTATATCATTTATATTTGTTCTTTTTCCAGTTTTTCTTTCATTTGAAGGTTTAGGAGCTGAATTTATTTTCAGAACTGAGAGAAGACTCTATTGAACTTTAATTGAATTACAGTCATGCATGATTCGATCTTTTAGAGTGTCTGACTTGGAATTTTAGTTCTGGTGCTTTTAAGTTCTTTTGTTTAATGAAGCTTTACGAATACATGGGGAATTCGACCATCTGGATTGGGGACTTATGTGCCTGCAAAACTTGCTGGCCCAGCTTGAATTAAATTACTGTTAGAGCTGGAAATATCAATTTATTTCATATGCTGGTGGGTTCGTTAAGAATGGTGGATTGTTGTTGCTGCTGAATTTCTGGTATTTGCTGGAATTAAAGGAGTGGATAGATGATGATTAAAGCTAAAGGCGTAGCAGCTAAACGAGTAGCATTTAAATAATAGAATATTTAGTTGTGGTTTTTAGGTTATTATTTGTTAAGTTTACGAGAAGATACTAAATGTCGAAGGGACATTTTTTTGTTATATTAGCGAAGTAGTTATCCAGCACAAGCAATGATCATTAATATGATTAGTGTCAAGCAAATTGAGTCTAATATTGCATTGTGCTGTATCTGAATTTAGTTTAGTTGATCACCTGTTCAGGCGCTAGGCCATTTCTCAAAAATATACCAAAAAATTTGCATTTTGTTTAATTAAGTTTAGATACATTATCATAATGCCTATTGCCGGCTGCAATGAGTAAGCGGGTAATGTGTTTTCTATCCCTTTTACAGTAAGGTACAGAGAGATCTCAAGGTTGAAGTCTTCTTTTGGTGAACTAAGGCTGCAAGCAACAAATGTTAGCATTGGATCTGGAGCCTATGAAAGTGGGGAAGAGCAAGACAACCAGAAAAGTTTTGTTAGCGGACCATCCAGTGACAGCTCATCAGAGATGTGAGTGATTTGAAATGATAATCTATTAATACTAGATGGGAGTAAATATTGGTGTGTTCAAAGCTTTTAGATGCATTGTTGCTGCTCCCACGTATGCTACCTTGAATATTATTTTTTAATGTACAACAAGTCATACTTGAATGGAAGAAGTAATGAATAAGCACATTTATTTTTATTCCAAATTTACATTTCAGCCTCCGCTATTTCTTCTCCTTGAAAATATGGCATTACTGTCAAAAGTTATTTTTCTTTTCTCAAAAAAACAAACCCTCACAAATTAAGATAGATTGTTCAATATGCAACAAAGTATTCCTTTGATTTCAAAAGCCAAACTTGTTTTTATGGTCAAACTATGCTTAAAAATGAACAGCCTCTATTGAATTTTCTTTTACATTGGATTATGTCACGCATTATCTAATCAGTGTATTTTCTAATTTGGCCTCATTAAAATTTCTTTCATGATTTTCAGTGTGAAACCTCCCAGCAAACTTCCTTATCCTTTGTCTATAGCTATTGTGCTATTTGGATGTGCTTTAGTATTTTCACTGATTGCCTTTGTGAAAGGTGGCCCATCATCAATTGTTGCAGCTTTTGCAAAGTCAGGATTAACTGCTGCATTCATGTTAATATTTGTTTCTGAAATTGGGGACAAGGTAATCGGCTTACAATTTACAAATTTGTGTTTTTTCCATCCAAGTAGCATGTGGTTTAACTTCTGTAAGACTTTGTTTGGCAATGCACTTCTTTCGTTTATTATCTCTTTTTGTTTATTGAGGTTTGAAAAGAGTAGCTGTGAGGTTTGAACATCTCGAGACTTATCTATTATATGATTATAGAATCTGATCTAATAGACTTTATCCATATCTGAAATTAATTTGACTTCCCTGGTATTCCAACATTTAAGGGACCATTTACAATTGTATTTGCTTTCATTAGAGAACATGAAGGCAATTTTGTGAAGCCTGCATATTATGTTTTGAAAAATAAGGAAAAATATTTTGGGTTGGAGGAAGTCAGCTGCAATGACTGGTGGAAGAGAACAAATGACAATGAAATGCATACTTTGAACAGCTTCTAGCAGTATTCTGAAACCTTGTGAATGAGCATAACATTAAAGCTGGTAAATTACAATAGTTTTTAGGTTGCCATGACAGAGATCTGGAACAAATCAACTGCTCAGAAGAAAGATGATCACTTGAATTCTTGGTGGAAGTAAATATTATTTTGTTTGCACACATTTTCATAATGATGGAAAGTTATTAAAACATTGTGTTAGAGCTGGTTATCATACTTGCTTTGAGTGCTTAACCTTTTTTTTTTACTTCATAATATGCTGAGCCTGAAAACCTTTTTCTTTCATATATTGACCAGACATTTTTTATTGCTGCACTATTGGCCATGCAATATAAGAAAGGATTGGTATGTTCCCTTCTGATCTATCTTCCTCATTTTCTCATTCCGTCTGCTTAATTGGTTGCTCATGATATTTATTTACTATATTGTTCTCTACCCCACATCTTTTTAATTAGATTTCTTCAATGAGGCCACACGTATGTAGTTTTCTATCATACTAGCAAAAAAAATGCTGAAATCTATGAAAGTCTATTAGCTTACTCCACAAGTAGAAACCAAAAAAATGATAGACCAGTAAGTGGGTAATCATTAGCCTTGCTTTCCGTTGCCAAATATTAGTGGTACCATTCCCTCAAATCTCATAAATTATGACTGGAGTGGAGAACTTGTTTGTTGCAAGGCTAGTGAGGACGTTCATGTAGAATCTGAATGCAAAACATTTAAAGTCCTTGAGAATAGATTTGAAGTTTACTTGGTGGTCTTATTCATAATCCTCCTTTTTTTATGGACTTAATTGTTATGTCGATACTCTGGGGACTAAATTGTTTTCACTATGCATTAAATCTTTGACAAGGTTCTTCTTGGATCAATGGGTGCACTTTCACTCATGACAATCTTGTCAGTCGTAATTGGGCGCATATTTCACTCAGTTCCTGCTCAGTTCCAAACAAGTAAGTTATAGTTCCTGCCTTCTCTCATCATGACCAAAGTTGCTCATATGCTTTATAGTGATTTCAATGGGATACACCGCAGACCCCTATATGCTTCATATAATATTCCTGGCAGGCTACTGTGTTGTTGATAGTGTGAATTGCTTGAAAGATGTGTGAAGATCATTGATCTCAACCGAGTCCATAAAATTTTATATTTTTATCATGCAAGTTCAGGCTCATGAATCCTTTTCTTCCCGTGTTTAGTGAAAAAAAATCTGCTGGCAACAAACTGTTCAAAATTCTATGATTGCCGTGATTTTTATAGCTGGAAAGCAGTAGCGGTAGTAAAATGAAACATGTCCCTCTGTCAATGAAACAATTTAGATGGTTCATGTTTATGATTTGATATTGATCTATAAAGTCAGATGATTTATAAGTCTGGATACATGTTTTTGAGGTCATGATGATCTTCCTGACCAGATGGGAAAATGGGCAATAGTCATATAGTTCATACTGAATTCTTGATTTTTCTCTAATATTCTTGTTTTGTGAACAGCCCTTCCAATTGGAGAATATGCAGCAGTAACTCTCTTGATGTTCTTTGGGATCAAGTCAATAAAAGATGCGTGGGATCTTCCATCAAACAAAGTTAAAAGTGGTGACCAGAGCAGCCCCGAACTTGATGAATATGCTGAAGCTGAAGAACTTGTGAAAGAGAAGGTAATTCTCTGACTTGCATGCTCTTTTTCAAGGATTTATATGGAAGTGAATTTTATTTTTCCGAGTTCTAATACTTTATGTATCAGTTACTGGATAATGACACATACAGGCATGGCATACTTGTGTGCAATGATTTTGTCAGATTTTACTTTGTGCCATCTTTACTTTTTGTATGCATATTTCTAAAATATCATAATGCCTTATAATTTCTTTATGCTCTCAGGTCTCAAAAAGGCTCACAAATCCATTTGAGATTGTCTGGAAGTCTTTTAGTCTCGTGTTCTTCGCTGTAAGTTGTCGTGTTTTTGAGAAAAAATTGTCTCAAATTTAAAGAACAATGTCTCTTTCTTCTTCTTCTTCTTCTTCTTTGAGACCAAGTTGATACTATTTACAACCAACAAGCAGTTTCACTGTTAAATAGTCAACATTAAAGTTATAATTGCTTGCAGGAATGGGGAGATCGCTCAATGCTTGCAACAATTGCTCTTGGTGCTGCACAGGTTCAACTTCATAAAATTTTGATTATACATACCACAATTTTATTCTCTTGCCGAAACATTCTTCAAAATCAAATTTCACGTTTTTACCTTTTTAACAGTCTCCATGGGGCGTCGCAACTGGAGCCATTGCTGGACACCTGGTTGCAACATCTATCGCTATTCTGGGAGGAGCTTTTCTTGCCAAATACATTTCAGAAAAAGCGGTAACAGCCATGTCTTTGTTGTCCTTTTTTTTAATATATTTTTTTTTTTGTCACTCCTATAGGCATCACAGCTTACTTGCCATTTCCCATCCAACTCACTCCACATTGTTCAATCAGGTTGGCTACTTGGGCGGCGTTCTGTTTCTTGTTTTTGCTGTTGCCACATTTTTTGGAGTCTTCTAATAAATCCATCGCAAGTTTAGAGAGAGAGAGATAGAGAGAGAGTATAGTGCCACCGAAGCACTGCACCTGAGACTATCGGATTTCATTGGTTAGTAGAGAACAAAGTAGACAGAAAGTAGCATGAGATACATCATGGATATAGCCGTTACAGATACTTCATAAAGTCCTCAAGTTAGCATCACTGTAAGCTATTTTGTATTGAACTATTTGTAGGATTATTATCTTAGATAAAATTTTGGTGGAGAGATGGCTATGTACATGCTAAAATTCTCAAATGCTGAAATAAACAAGGTCTTGGTGTTATTCTGTGACTTTTGAAACAATAACATATACTCTTGAAGATACTTAATAATTAACTCCTGAAAACACACACAATGGATGGACTGAGCTTCAATGCTCTATCTTTTTCATTAATAGCAATTGTCCGTTAATAGTACGCGAAGCCGTTTGTTTTCTGAACGACATCAAAGCTGTGAGTCGGAGCAAGGCTTTTTGCGTGTCGTCTCATAAAATCCATACGGACTTCAGACGACATCGTAACCTTGGTTAAATTGACGTGGAACGACAACGTTTCAAGTAGACGATGACTTGGATTAAAACGACCGTGTCTAATAAGTAAGAGACAATTGGCTTACCGCGTATAAAGGTCGACGACATATCAATATAGCACAAATGGGGTGTAACAATTGTACAAAAGGCATACCAGAGGAAGGAAATGTCGTCGTTTATTGTGATAAAACTTTCCAGCATTTTTTCTCGTAACTGGGTTGTAAACGACATACCCAAATTCGCACAATTCTCCTTATCCACTTGGGATGGCGTAGGAATATCCACGTTCCAGTTCCCTTAAAAATAACAATAAATTTTTAGCAAGTGAGCTAGGGATCAGAGAAGCTTGAGTTGAGACCAAGAAAAATGTCAAGAGAGCTATTGTTTCTCCATGGCCACCATTATCAAATATCAAGAAAACCAGCTCTGCTTCTCTGTACTCGCAATTTCAATGTCTTACCCTCCAAATTCCAATCCCAGCTACCAAAGGAGCATCCAGCTAGGTCGATGAAGAGGGCATCATTGGAACTTTTGAGACCAAATACAACCAGTAATGGAAAATCATCATCACTAACAATAGCAGCAATAGCTGGTAGAGAAGGAGGAGGACGAGTGCCTTCGCCACCACTAGATTTAACAGAAGACAATGTTAGACAGGTCTTAGCTGATGCTAGAGAAGAGGCAAGTAGTACTCTTTCTTTGATGCTTGTTTTTGCTTTAGTTACTGATTCAATTGTTTATTGATCAAAGATTTCTCAGTTTCGAAGTTTAAATTTGAAAAATGGTGTGTATTTCTGCAGTTTGGACAGCTTTTTGACACTGAAGTTGGCATAACAGGTGACTTTCCTTTAAGGTATATTTGCACCAGGAATTATTAAGTGCATCCAATGTATCTCAAATAATGAAATATAGGAGAAGCTGATCTTGCTGAATTGGATGGACCATTTGTGAAGATCAGTCTCAAAGGTAGGTTTTGGCACAAACGTTCCACAGTTCTTGCAAGACTTGCCAATTATTTGAAGCAAAGAATCCCTGTAAGTTTTTTCGTTGCTGTGGAAATGAAAATGGTAGGGTAAAGCTTTCATTTTTTTAAAAAAATTTATTAGTGATGCCATTTGATTCCTTTCATCTTTTGCCTATCAGGAAATTTTGGAGGTAGATATAGAAAATGAGAAACAATTAGACGATAGCCCTGAAAATTTTTGAGCCAATCGGTTTCTTCACCAGACATTACTAGTGTTCTTTGAGTTCTTCAATTGTATTTGACACTTCATTGATGAGAATGTAAGAAAAGCCAAGGTCAACCTCAGGAATGTTGTGTAAAATCATTTTTTCTTGAACAAAGTCTTTCTTATCATACTTCTATATGTATATGTAACATATTAGCAAATCTGAGACTTCCAATGCAAATATCATTTAATAACATTTTTTTTTCAGTGGAACATTAGAGTCACCTCTGGTTTTCAATTTCACTTTACAAATAATCTCGAGTTCCAACTGTCTATTTCAATGAGCTATGAATATTACTGTTGCCAAAATAATCAGATTGAATATAGCTTTATACAAAATTTTTGAACAGCAGGACCTCCTTTCAGTGTCCTCCGTTTATATATTTTTGAGTGAGAGACCAGATCATTCGACTATACATTGGTGAGACCGAAATGCACCTTTTGACAGCAATTCAACGATCCGTTTTTCAAGTCTTGCTGCTCCTTGACCAGGCCTTAGAACATAAGCATCACCCCAAACTGAACATGTCCCATTCTCGGGATCACCCAAGCACCAGCCACCAGGAACAACTTGTCCGGGATTTCGTCCCAAAATTTCCTGGTCAATGCGTTCCAGCACTGGATCATCATGTTGAAATTGACTGGCAAAGGCAGCTCCGCTCTGAATCATAGCATCAAACTCTCTAATATTGAGTGTATGATTTGCCTGCTTAGAAGTCTTCTCAAAGGCTACATATTCTAAGTTATTGTTTATGATAGTCCTGTTGAACTGATGAGAATTACATAGGACAGTAGGGAAGTAGTTGGTTAGGGATGAACGTGTATTTGAAAAATACATCAGTAGGGTCCTAGGAAGGTTGTCCGTACCCAGGATGCAGTGCTCCATAAAATTACGACTTAAAATGGACAAACGAGAACCTGAATTGAAAAGGAACAAAAAGAAATTCTCATATTAGCTTGGCAATTTTTCTTTTTTATTTTGTCTCATACGCAAAGACATTGAAATTAAAGAGAGTTCATATAGAGAAAGAATATATAAATAAACATATTTAATATGCACAATGTCTACCAAGGATGATCAAATGTATTGTGAGCCTGAATTAGTCGAGAATGCCAACATGACAACAATCAGTGCTTAGCAGCAGAATTATGGTCCTCAAGTCAACAACATTTAGTTGCAAGTACAAGACAACGAACATTGTGTTTTATTTGGAACAGAAAAGGTATGGGTGCTAGCAGAGGTTATTCAACTTCAGAAGTGTTCTCCAGCTCACAAAGTAATGGATCCCATATGGTGGGTTCCTCTATTCATGTGGAGAAGGTTTAAGGGCAGGGGTAATGAGACTCCATTAAATAGTTAAAACCAATGCAGTGTCATTGCATGAACTGCAGTAAAAGCAGGTTTTATGATGTGGCACTCCCTCAAATGAAGTGTGAGTACCAAAATATTGAATACCCTGATGCGTTTCTTATTAAGTGGCAGGCTAAACGTGAATGTGATCATATTGAGAAAAATTCAGAAGCTTTCTAAACTGTCATGGTAATCAGAGATTCCGGGATATTCATATCTTCTTTCAGTATTCAGCTTGCTGCTCCAGGTTCAAGGTCTCTAGGCTCTCTCCATCCACACCACTCTCACTAACTTTTTCTATTCTCTCTGTCTTCTTTGATTTATTTGTGTTCCATCCACAAGAATCACAAAAGCCTTTATATTTTATAGGAGGTCAGACAGCACCTTTCAAAAATGTCTAAGTTTTATCTCCAGGAAATCATCAATCTAAAACAACCAGTTAAAACAGCCACTGCAGTTAAAAAGTCCAGAAACTGGATTATGTTCCCAACAATACTCAATTTCAGAAGGTCTATTAAATCAATTCTTAATTGATAGCAACAGTACAACCGACAATGTTTTGCAGAAAAATCAGCCTCCTTTGGTTTTTTGTCCATCTCCAAGTACTGCTAGTTCAACCTAAAGTAACTAGACTTTGGTCGCATAAATCTCAGCATACCAACAGGTTTTAAGAAAATTTCTAGCTCTTCTAAGCATCACTGCTCTTGCTGCTGCTACATATGTGAATAAGCAAAGGACTTGGTCTTCTCAAATTCAATTATACTCTACCAATCTTTGTATTGGCATTCCACTAGCTCTGCTGCCATAGATCATCGCTCCCAGTTGAATTTTAGAGCACTGATGATAATAAGGATGCATTGACAAAATTGCTCACTTTTTGCTTTGTTTAGCTCCACAAAAAGCAACATAGGATGAATTGCAACTGTAATGTTAATTTCTGATGATCCAAATTCAATTATTCTGCTGCCACACACTAGTTAAAAGTGATTCCTTCCTAACTCAACCTAAAACTAGCATATAACTGCTTGATGAATTAATCCTATCAACCCTTACCCCTACACAAATTGATGAACCACATTCTCAATCACTTACTTTCTGGTTTATTTCACACATTGAACAATAGTTATATTGATCAGGAAATGTATGTTAACCAATATTTGCACTTTGGTCTGTAATTCAGTACTACAACCATGGCTATTTCCCACCAGTTTAAAATGTACTAGACCCACTTGAATTTAAACTCATCAATATCAAATTGCATCAGTCTAAGAAACCACAGTATGGAAGAATCAACTGGAAATAATTTTTGAAACAATATAAAAAGAAAACACACCTGTAAATATCCTGAAAGCATTTGGTAACTCTCGCTTTTGAGAAGCATAAAACATGTCAGTTCTATCTGAAAGATAAAGCCCAGGATCAACAATTATAGGCTTCATTTTCCTAGACCTGTAGCACCAAAACAATTATATAACTAGCAATCCTAAAACAAAATAAACCAAATTTCCAAAAGAAAATTAAAAATTCAGTTGTCTTACTCTCTCCAGCCAAGGTAACTCGTGTGATTCAAAAAATTGAAATCCTTTGGTAAATAGGAGAAAATGTGAAGCAGATCTGCAAAACCCACCCAACAAAAAACAAAAAATTAGAAATTTAATGAAAAAACCAATAAAAGAAATGCAGAACGCATGACACCAGAATAATTAAAAATTCAAAATCCACGAAAACAAATCTAGAACTGACAATCACAATGTAATTATAAAACAAAGCAGTGAAAAAGCTTACCATCTTGTGTAATAAGTGGGTAATCGCCAGCACTAAGATTAACAAACCAATCCCAATTCTTTGACAATCTCAACAATATAGCAGCGCCATGTAAAGTAGCTGAAATCGTAGATGACCCTTTTGGGTAGGCGAAATCAGCTTTCCCTATCACATTCACATTCTTTGCAGCTCTAAAAATAGGCACCGACTGGACTGTGATAGCTAATCGCTCACGATCAGCCTGCGAGGCAAAGCGGTCTAGGTGGAGAAGATACTGGTTTTTCGGGTGGTAAGCCGCATACAAGAGTCTGAGGATTCGATTCGAGTCGCCCTTGGATCCAGAAATCAGGTAAGCGATGGAAGGGGAAGGATCAGAAGGGATTTTGTTAAAAGTGGGTTGGCGGGTTGGGAAGAGATATGGGTCGGGCCGAGTGTGCACATTGGAATGTAAAGAGGAGGTGGAGGAGGAAGAAAGAGAGAGGATGAAGAGGAGTGAGAAAAGAGCGGTGGCGAGAATGATTGAAAGTGTCGTTTTGGTGCTGTCTTTTGTGTTGGTTATGAAGGAGGTAATGGTGGTTATGGTGGGAAGTGGCTGTGATAGCAATTGTTGTGGCATTTGCATTTCTTTTTTTGGGATTAATCGCTTCGTTCAAGGGGTTGATGTTCTGCTAGGATGCTTTTCATCGATGTTTTCGGTTTTTGTTGTTATTGTCTTCTCCTCACAGTGTCTTTCTCTGTCTCTTTGCTTTGTTCTCTCGGGTTTCTTGCCCATTACAGATCCCTGTCCTTGAGTGGATAAATGTAATGGGCCTTCTATATGGGCTTTGGGCTTTATAGCTTTACCTTTTCTATGTGGCCTTTTCTTGTTGCCATTCAAACGAGGTAAACGACAACTCTTTGGTTGAGCAATAATCAAAACATATCTTGTCGTTTACTGCCCAGTGATCCACACTCGCTACACTATCTGTAAAACTCAACCACCAAGGAGGCAAGGCCAGAAAAGGTATACGCGGGAACTTTACGAGCTAGAGAGAAGGAGAGGGAGCGTCAACGATGGAACTGGAAGCGAAACGCAACCACGATCCAGACTTAAACGACTGGGCTTCAATAGCATGGACCATACTCTGCAATCTCCGTGACCAATCGCCGCTTGTACAGTGCATCACCAACTATGTTTCCATGGATTTGATGGCCAACACTCTTCTGTCCGCCGGTGCATCGCCGGCTATGATCCATTCCATTGAAGAAATCCCTGACTTCACTCCTCACGTTCGCGCTCTCTGCATCAACGTTGGCACTCTCTCCCCTAACTGGCTACCGGCCATGAAAGCTGCCGCGGAGTTGATCACTAAGTCGGGGAAGCCTTGGGTTCTTGACCCTGTTGCTGCCGGAGCTTCCGGTTTCCGGTTGAAGGCTTGTTTGGAGCTTGTGGGTTTGAAGCCTAATGTTATTAGAGGAAATGCGTCAGAGATTATTGCTCTATCTAAGGCTTCTCTTGGCGTCACTAAGGTATTACTGTTAGATGTTTGATATTTGTCCTGAGTAAAGGTAGCAACTTTTTAATCGGTAATCATAAAGGTAGCAGCTTTTTTGCTAATTTTCTCACAGTTTGAACTGGGATTCTAATATTCTTTTCAATCTCATGATTGTGTTCTACTTTCAAGGGTGTAGACAGTTCCCACGAGTCAATTGATGCGATAGATGCGGCAAAGTCTTTGGCTCAAGCAAGTGGTGCCATAGTTGCAGTTTCAGGTGCTGTTGATATAGTCACAGATGGAAATAGAGTTGTTGGCGCTCATAATGGGGTACCTATGATGCAGAAAATTACAGCAACCGGATGTGCAGTGACTGCCCTGATTGCAGCTTTTGTTGCCGTTGAACCATCAAATGCTTTGGAAGCAACTGCTTCAGCGTTGTCAATTTTTGGTATTGCTGGTGAACTGGGAATGGACATAGCCAAAGGTCCAGCTTCTTTGCGGACGCATTTGATCGACTCCCTTCATGGGCTTGATCAAGCTGCTGTGTTTTCGCGCATAAAGATTACCCTCCTGTAATTTTGACCTGGTAATGCAATAGAAGCTAGTGATAAGATACTAAATGTCGTAAATATTTTTGGTTGGGGCATCCTAATGCTATGTCAACAATTAAATCATGCATTTGACCAGTGTATAGTGATCAGCAATTGTCGTGGTATATTGCTTATCTATCCTAATAACCAAATGATCTATTTGGTAAAATTGTGCTCATTCACTGAGTTGGACTGTGATTTGAGCAATCCATACCATTTTGACATGCATTTTAACACACGCTTTCTGCTTTAATATTTAGGATTTAGCAGCACTACGCAGTTTATATGCGTAGTGTCTGCTTTATTTCTTTTGACTTCTCTAACGTAGCTACCTAAACGAGGACTGTAGTTGCACTGCTATAGGCAGTGGGATTGGCTGCTGTCTTTCTCCTGCTTCAGTGCCTTTCCACTAATGTAGCTGTTTAGCTAAATATAAAAGTTTCCTTCATTACAATTAAATCTCGTAAGCTTGTCTCTCCTGTGAATGAATTATATCTTAGATCTGCTTACTTGGAGATACCAGAGGCAAGTTTTATTTCTTTGAGGTTTGCAAATTTTTTTTTTTTTTTTTTTTTTTTATTTTTTTTTTTTTTTTTTTTTTTTTTGTCATAAATCTCATGATATCAATCAATGATTGCAACTCTGAATTGCAATTAATTATGATAAATTTTTTTTTTTTTTTTTTTTTTGTCATAAATCTCATGATATCAATCAATGATTGCACTCTGAGATTGCAATTAATTATGATTTCAGATCCAGACTTGCCAACATATTTGCTATTTTTTCTTGTTTCTTGAAATCCTTTTGTTTTCTGGCTACACAGAAGTGTCCATTTATGATATGATATTCTTTTAGAGAAATCAAAAAGTCGAGGGATCGATTGATATATTGCATCACAGTTCTAATACATCTGGCAGCACAAACAGATACATTAATAAAAAGAAATTGCAAACCTTGACCACATTAAAACTTTCACACAAACAATTCCACATTCAATCAAGTAACATTCCTAGTATTTTAGATGGACAATTATCCTCAATAATATTTCTATACCATCGATGGTATGCTGGCCAGATGGAATGAGTCCTCGCAGTTCGGCAACTCCGACAGCATTCTTAAACTTGCCTGTTCCTCCAGTTACAGATAAATGTGACATTGCACTTCCAATCTTGTATATACCATAGAAGTTGAGGCTGTCCCCGAATTCTCCTCCTTCAAAGATGGCTGTAAATGCCATCATCTGTGTGCTTCCATCTGCAGAACTAGCCACGTAAACTCCTTGAGCTTTTCCCAGTTGCTGTGAACCAAGCTCGGGGCTAGTGGTCAAAATGTCATCAATGACAGTGATTGTTCCAAAACCTAGACCCAAACCATCCGGTCCCAGTTGGGTTTGAACTTGACCGTTGTTCTGACCATTAGGATTCCCTGCAAAAGTTGTACCAGCCAGACCAGTTCCTAGTGGAATACCATTGTTACCGTTAACAGTTGGAAGAGCACCATTAGCATTGGGGATTGCTACTGAATCATCTGGGATTTTAAATCCTACCGGCTTCGCAAAGGGTACTTGGCCACTATATATGTTTCCTAGCAGGCCAGTTACCGGTCTCACCGTGGGGTTACCGCCTCCAAGAATGTCATGCATGTACAGCTCAAGAACATGCTCTCCACCAACCGGGGCAGGGTCAATAGCTGCCACATATATTGCTATGTGTACAGAAGCTATCAACACTGCAATGAAAAAAGACGGCGACGGCAGCTTGAACATCCTGTGATTTTCGTATTTGGGTGTTCTTGGGAGATTTGTAACAGTTGGGATATGAATTATTAGGTATTGGGATGAGCATGCAAGTGGCTGTGCACCTTTCTCTTTAAATAGAAAGCCATATGAAAGAATAAACATGGAGTGGGTGTGAGGCTTCGAAGGTGGTGAAGTTGTTGGAGTTGCATTAGTTATGGAAAGTTCAAATCATTCTGTTTTAGGTTTATCACCCCCCTTGATTCTTCATTCTTCTAACTTGTTATATATAATATACAGAAGTGGAGTCTGATGTAGGATTCATTTTCCCAAAATTGTTAAATTGGACCAATCATCTTAACTGTAATAATTTCAAATTCTCATTAATTAATTTAGTTTTGGGTTGAAGGACTTTGGGGCCACAAGGAACCTCTTTAGAGTTTTTCTCTCCAATTCTATTTTCTTGGGGTTGGTAATAAAGATAATCCATTGTTAAACAAGTATTAATTGTTAATGCTCCTAAGCATAGACTTGCATTAGATAATTGTTCATAGATTCAATCAAAATTGCTGAAAAATACTTTAACGTTAGCCCTTAGTCATACCAACATACGACAAGGTATAATATATTCAATTTACTAAAGAATAATATATTCAATTTACTTTAGTTTCGCAATTCTTGCTCATATACAATGTTGGACAAATATAAATGTTTTTGAATTCCATTAGTTCTCCCTTACCCGATAAAGAGAAAAGAAAAGGTAAAAGAAAATAGCGTAATTCTGAAAATTTCAAATGAGAATTCTGAAAAAAATTGTCAAAAACAAAATTACCAAGAATATATTTCTATATTACCATTACCAAATTCCATAAGAAAATGGTTCAAGCTTTGTGGTCATCAGTTAAAAGTGGTGAAGAAAGACTAATAATATAAAAAAGGAAAATGAGATATTCATGTATTTGCTGCATTGGATTCCTCCAGATCCATGACTTTGGGCTGTCTCACTACTGGGGAAATCAATTTCCATACTGCATATGTTTAGATTTGACAAGTGAAAAAGTTATTCAAAGAAAATGAAGAATAAAAAACAAAAAAAAAATAATTATTTTTAGCCACTAATTCTCTGAAAAATCTGGATTATCTTCGCTCTTTCAATCCATGGAAAAACTTCATATAGAGAGATCCACTTACAATATATAGAGGCTGCAAACCACTCATTCACAATTTTCACCCATGTACTTGTCCAGCCAACATCAATTCTCCACCTTACACATCACAAGATAAGTGCAGTAATTCAATGTTTAAAAAGACAACTACTTTAAGTAACTGGAGAAAAACAGGAATCTGGGTCCTTACTTTCTTGCTGAGTTGTTTAGATTCCAACTGATAAATAACATTGCAAAGTACATGGCTCCCAAGGCAAATACCAGATGGAAAAACCCGTAGTCATAAGGGATGTCATCCTCCTGTTTAACTTTATCTTTCCGGAACTGAAAAATAAAAAGTAGAAGTCAAATTTTTCTCTGCTACTGTTTGGCGCTGAGAATGAAAGGAAAAGATAAAATTTTGACTTGTTATTGTGTCAAATGCACATTAAAATGCAATATATTGATGGCTTATAATTTAATAGGGGATGTTAATTTTACCTGAAATGATTTTGAATCAATTCCTGTGGAGAAGGTAGCCATGACTATGGCACATATTGCTATCAGGAAGCCCTGGAAGCAAGCAACGAGAAATGATTAATGATTTTCTACAAACTAAGGGAAAAATGAAGGGAAATTAGAAAAGATCAAGTCTTACAAGTATACTGGTCCAATCACTGTTTTCATCAGTTAGATTTTGCTTGTTGCATTTATCATTTGCAGGTTCACTGAAAACCATAAGGTAAAACCAGAAAAAGCTAATGAGAAAGTTCCAGGGCTTCAAAAATGAGTTGATATATATGACTACAGATTTCCTAACCTTCTTATAGCAGACCAACAAAGGAAGACAATATATGAAGCCATAATCCCTGAAGATAAAAGACCTCTATTAACCTGGATCAAGTGCCAACACCATGTTAGTTACATTTACAAATTACTGATAAAAAGAACATCCTAACTAAGGCATTTGATGCCAGAACATGAAAGAATGAAGCATTTACACAGTAAACTTTAGATTTTGTTGAAAATTAATTTAAAACATATGATAAAACTCCAACAAAATACAAGGAATAGCGTACCTTTGAATGTAAAGATATAGCCATCATCACTGTAAGCAGAATAGCAGTCCATGTAATAAAGAATATGTTGAGAGAACATTTGAGATTATGTCCATATAACAAATACATTGCGATGATTCCACATAGAGAAGCAATGTAAAAAATTGTTGATGTGAACAATCCAAAGGAGCAACTGGAAAAAAAAAAAAAAAAAAAAAAAAAAAAAAAAAAAAAAAAAAAAAAAAAAAAATGTAAAAAATTGTTGATGTGAACAAATCCAAAGGAGCAACTGGAAAAAAAAAAAAAAAAAAAAAAAAAAAAAAAAAAAAAAAAAAAAAAAAAAAAAAAAAAAAAAAAAGAAGTGAAGCAATGTATATGGTAAATGCTTTACATGTATGATTATAGATTTCTGCTTGCAATGTTACAAAGGTTTTGTTATGAATAAGAACTAATACCTTTCTTTCACCAGCTTATCAGGCATCCAGTAGTTATTCCACCATCTGATGAACTCAATTACACTTACAAGTTGGAGGACAAGAAAGATCCTATTATGGAGAAACACAAAAGTTATATTACTTGTAGTGCAATGAAATTTTGAATTCCAAAATTCAAATTTGAGATTCAAGATTTTTAGCAATGTCATTCCCATTTTAAAGCAAGAATCACATAACAAAACAAGTAAATCACTGTGTATGTTAGACAGAAGCCATAAATAAAAGATTCAAAAATTACCCAGCACCAATACGAGCAATTTCGCCTGCAAAAAAAAAAAAAAAAAAAACGAGGCAATTTTCGCCTGCAAAAAAAAAAAAAAAAAAAAAGCGAAAGAAAAAAAAAAAAAAAAAAGCGAAGGACTTGTTCAAGATAATGTCTTATGTAATGTACCGGTAGCACTTGAATTTGAAGATACACATGTAAAGTTTAATATTAGCAGTCCCACCATTTTAATTTCATGGTTTTCTGATAAAGTTCCAAATATAAATGCTCTATAAAGACAATTTAAAATTTCGAGCATTCCTCTATTTTCTCAAATAAGAAATTATGTCCATATACCTATCAGAACAAGAAGAAGCCATACCGTATATTTGAATGTACTTTGAAGGGAAGAAAAATGGAATTGCCATTGACAGAATCAATAGGAAAAACTTTAATGTCCACCATTCTGAATGCCAACTGCTGCGAGCTTCATATAATTTTTTTGATTTTATTGTTGTGACAAACATAAGAAAGAAAAATATCTGAATGCATTGTTAAGGGTACGTAGTAAGATAACAGATTCTGAAAGAGATTAAAATATATCAATGTAGAGGACAAACTGATTTTTCCATTAGAATTCCCTCTAACTCTAGACTTCATACACGAGTTTTGTATTTAGACCCATATTTTAAACACTAAGACCCACAAAAAGGGCTAAATTTCAGTAAAAAAAAAGTTAAGCATTGATGCATTAAAAAAGATACAAAGCATCCTAAACTCACACGGAGAACTCCCAAAGTATGACAACAATCTTGTCCCTCAACTCCACAAGCTTTTATATCTGCAAAAGAAATTTAAACTGATTTATTTTGCACATACATAGATATACATCAAAAATACAATCTTCATTTGTAAATATATATTTATTTTTGCAACATACCAATATGATAGTAGCATCAAAAAATACAGAGTCTTCATTTGGTAAATATATACTATATACTTATATTAATAAGTATATATATATATATATATAATAAGAGAATACAACAAAGAACAATTAGGTGTGCTATCGGAAACTTGGGACTCACAATTGAAATAAGCTATAACGCTTGTTGCCCATAATCACGAAAAAAACCAGAGCTTTAAGGTTCATGATTTGCAAGAGAGGAAATAGAAGCCATTTAATAAGCCGAGCTCGCAGCGATTTCCTCCTTCTCTGTCGTGAAGTAATGAGTGCTCGTTGTCTTATAATCGTAGGTGCTCTTGCTTCAAATTTTGAAATTTGGACTTGCCACTCGCTGAGTCCATTCTGCAACTTCAACAGATATCCTGTGTACCTGTTAACTAATGTGCTGTGTTTCAGTAAATTTCAAGACTGCCTTTCATGCCAAACTTGATAAGTGCTTAATGCTGCTTAGAAAAATAAAAAAAAAAAAAAAAAGTCAGAGAAGAAGCGGAGAGGAGAGAGAGAGGAACATTCAAATTTTCTGTTAAATTAGCACTAAAAGCCAGATTTCCGCCTTTTTAATTTGACAAAAAATTTGCTGCATTGTAAAAACGCTAGCTATTGAGTAATACGTCAGGGCCCTTCGCAGACTAGCAACTGGAAATCTTGCACTAAAAAATATTTGTAAGTGAACTATTTTTTAGTAGCTTTTAATTAAATTCTTTATTTTGTTTTTGTGTTCCCCAGAATAGTCAGGGACATATAAAGAAACAACAAGAACAATTAGGTGTGCTTATGGAACTTGGGACTCACAATTGAAATAAGCTATAACCTTTTGCCCATAATCACGAATAAACCAAGCTTTAAGGTTCATGATCAAGAAGATGAAGCCATTTATAAAGCGAGCTCGCAGCGATTTCCTCTTCTCTTGTGAGTAATGAGTGCTGCTTGTCCTTATATCTAGTGCTCTTGCTTCAATTGATTGGACTTGCACTCGCTGATCCATTCTGCAACTTCAACAGATACTGTGTACCTGTTAACTAATTGCTTGTTCAGTAAATTTCAAGACTCCTTTATGCCAAATTGATAGTGCTGCTTAAAAAATAAAAAAAAAAAAAAAAAAATCAGAGAGAGGGAGAGAGAGAGAGAAGGAACATTCAAATTTCTGTTAAATTACACTAAAAGCAGATTTCCCTTTTAATTTGACAAAATTGCTGCATTTAAAAACCTACTATTAGTATACCTTCGCAGACTAGCAACTGAAATCTTCACTAAAAATATTTGGTAAAAGTGAAATTTTATAGCTTTTATTAAATTCTTTATTTTTGTTTCCCAGAAGTCAGGAACATGTTCCAAATTAGACATGCACTTCCATTTTCAAAACAGACTTTAAAATTTTGATAAATATGTAGAAATCATGCAGATTTTCTGTAAAGTGAGAATTGAACTTCTACTGGGCTCAAGCTATATTTCTAAACAGAAACAATGCATGTTAAAAGAACAAACAGATTCAGCCCCCAAAAGAAGGCATTTGTCTAATTATACGGGAAATGATTAATATAACAGTTTGTTCGAGCAGATTACCAATTTTCTTGAACATTAATGTCCTAAACGGCTAAAATACTACCACTGAACAAAAAAGACAGCTAACCATGACGATTCTGTAACAATGGCAATAAAAAAATATGCAAAAAAGAAAGAAAGCATGACAAGTAAATCAAAAGCTAGAAGAGTAACATTATTGCAAAGGAATTCTAACCTTTTCTTGGTTTCTGAAGGACTTAAGCAAGTGAAGTTCCTTCATCGATCTTTATACAGTTACAAGAGAAAGAACCCATAAAACGAATGAAAACCAAAGAAGAACAAGAAATGGAAAAGTAGAACAGCTTTTACAAATGGTTGTATTATAGTTAATTAATTGCGTCTTGGGCTTATAGCCGTTGGATCTTTGAGTACTTAGTTTGCTTATGTCCATTTTCAAACATCACAGAGAAAAGAAGAGATTTTGTTTGTTATAATAATATTAGTTCCCTTATTAATTACTAACATTTCCAATGGTTAGATACCTTGTAAAGAAAAAAAGTATGATATTTGGATTATATATGTGACTTGGGAGATATCCAATTTCTGTAATCAAGAAAGCTTCAATTCTCATTAATAACAGATTTTTATCTATGAGTTGTTTATATCCATCTAATTATATTGTCATTTTCGTTTTAAAGTTTGTGACTGTCTCTATGCTCTATTTTCAGAATTTTCGACTTTGTAAAGATGATTCGCTAATCTCGAAAACACCTTATCATTTGAGCTACTTTTCGATATTTAATTGTATTTTGTTATCAAGAATTGATGAGTTGCATCAAGGCATCAAACTTAGAAGGCATATTTCATGTTACTTGAGTAAATTAATCAGTAATAAATTTCTTCATCTCCAAACCTTTTCTCCTTGTACTTTTTGACTTTTTGTATATGCGGAGGAGCGCCTTGAATGTCACTCAATGTCATTAGGTTTCTTTTAACAGTGGCATTGCCCTTCATAAGAAAACACTAGGAAGATGGTAATCTTGTATTAATACTTTAGACAAAAAATTAAAAATTATGTTCACAAACTTTTCGAAATTAAAACTTCCTCCTATATATTTCATGCATATTTTTAAAAATATAATTATTCCGTCTTCAAAATTTAAAATGGATATTTTTACGCAATTTAGAGAGAATTACATTCACGTTGATAACGTATAAGCTCCAAAATAGAAATAAATAAATGGGCATAGAAAAAAGCATTGAAGAGAAAGCGATTGAACAAGAAATATATGATTATTTGATGATCCAAACAACAGTAGTTGGTATAATTTATAAGCAAAAATGAAAGAGAAGGAGCATTTTGATTAGTTGATTAAGAATTGGACAAACAAGGCAAAGACAAAGATATTAGGCCCATCTGTTTGACAATTAGGCATTTTAATTTCCATTTCCGTTCTAGTTTCTAGAGCCTAGCTGGAGGGCGTGTGGGGCCCAAATCTTAATACACTCTTGCAAGGTATTTTAGCGACCGTTGGGTGGCGCAAGGCGGTGCTCCAGACGAAACTATTTAAATAACATTTTTGTGTGAAGTTTGAATTTTTACAGTTTACTCCCTTTATTTACATAGTAGTACAAATGAGTCTAGCCCAACTAGATGTTGTCAATAAAGCCCATTTCATCATAGCCCTATCCAATTCTAATAAAGTTGATTTTTTTTTTCTTTTTTCTTTTTTTTTTTAAATTTGCAAAATGTATGTCCCCGTGACCATGAAGAATAGAAAGAACTGCCTTCAAGCTCAACTTATTCAATGCTAAAAAACAAAGGAAAACAAAAAGAATAACTAATACATTGAAAATAACTTCCATATGCTTTACTCATTCCAAATATATCGAAGATAACTTCAATCCAAACATATTGATAAGTTTATTTTCACATGAAATTCATTCATTTTCAGATGATATAATCACAATAATAGTATTATTTGCAATTATTGAAATATTAAATAATATATTTTATGCTATTAAAAAAATATTTTTATACATGTATAATATGATTATAGTCCTCCAAACAGTATGGATCTTATGCTTTTTTTTAATTTTTAATTTATGTGATAGAATTATTTTTTGCACTATAATAAAAATTACTTGTATTTTATTTAAAATAGAATTAATTACTTTAAACAATGCATGTATTTAAACTTCCATTTTATAAGTATTGACAATAAGAATATAATTTATTCAAGTTTAAGTATTTACAATAAAAATATAATTTACTCAATTCTAACACGATACTTCACTCTAAAATAAAATGTGTATATATATTCAAATATCCAATTGGCGCATAAATAATTCTCAGTTTTTTCCAAAAAAATAAAACTTTTGTTGTGTATACAACTAATATAAACAATTCATTTTAAGTTAATATTAAAAACACACCACTAATATATATTTTAAACACACCCAATATTAAATCCATTAGCCAAATTTCTAGTTTAATGTAATTGGATAACCTTTAATCTGATTTATATCAAGCAAATTTGTGCTATATTTATTTATTTAATTTTTTTTGCCTTGCCCAGTATAGGAATTTTTTTCACATTTCTTACATAGAGATTTGGAATTTGAGATTTTATACAAAAATGAAAACTTTTCTTGAAATCAAGAGAAAAAATAAAAATAATAGCTTTCTAGTTATTTTCTAACTGTTTATCTTTGTCAAAAAGACAGATATCACCCTATCATTACTCTTTGTAAAATTTCCTCACAGCTGAAAATTGGAAATAAAAAACTTACACATATTGTTTTGGGTGATCTCCTATTAAGTTAAACCCACTTTTTTCATTATTCTTTATATATTCATACTAATTTTTTTGTAATTATTAATTTTACTCCAATATCTCAATATAGATACATATGGTAAACCATTTTCAATTTATAATCAATATGGGTAAATATAACATGAAACAGAAATTATTTGCATTACAATATTTACATTTTGATAATATATATTCATATCATGCTAATATTGATATATAATTAGTTTCTCATGTGATTTATGGGAGAAAATTATATCATGCAAATGTTAATAAAAGGTAATAAAAATTTGTCATAAGTTTTTTATGAAAAGAAAATCTAATAAAAGAATACTCTGGTGATTTGATAAGGAGAATAAACACGATTAGAGAAACTTTTTAATTTATTTTGTATGAAGACCTATGAATATGATTATTAACCAAGTTTTTTTTAGATAGAACATACAATCTTACAAATAAAAAATATTTAAAAATGCCCCCACGCAGGATCGAACTACGGACCTTCAGTTTACAAGACTGACGCTCTACCACTGAGCTATAGGGGCGTTGATGAAATCTTTTCCTACATTTATATTATTCTATATTTTATTTACTGAAAGAATTTATAGGTTATGTGAGAATTAATAATTAATTCAATTTATTTGATTTTTTATCTTTATTTTAATGCAATCAATCGTAGATCAAGATATAAGTTATGATGATATTTGTGTAATCAATTAAAATTTCTGCCTAATTTGTACAATATTAAAGTGAAAAGGACATGACTTTTATTATTTTAAAATCATTTATTTTCTTAAAATTTTATAAATTTTTCAATCAAATCAAAAAACTTTCAATTTAACTAAATTACTCATCATTTCATTTAATTAATTACTCCAATTTGACACGAAAATTAGGAAAGAGAAAAGTTTATTTTTTCATTAATCTAAGACTAAAATTAAAAGAAAAGAAAGAGGAAAGTTATGAAATGGATTTTAGGAAATCTTAAACAATATGTATTCACTCGGATGATGAAAAATTTAATTAATATCCTTTATTATTTCAAAGAGTGAGACTATTTTGGGTAAAAGAATTTTTTTAAAAAACAAGTGACCAATGAAAATTAAAAAATAAAAAATTAATAGAAAATCAATATATATATATAAAGCAAGCATTTTTTTTCCCTAGAAAGTTGACATATAGCATATTCATTTGTCATTTTAATTTGACATATGTCATATTTCTCCAATTAAGCTCCACTTGGCATGGTTTGATTTGATTATTTAATGTATTAATGAATTAGTTTAGTTTGATTTAGCTTGAATTTATTTAGAATTAGTGTTTTTGATTTGGTTTGGTTTGATTTTTCAATGTTTTAATGTATTGGTTCGGTTTGAATTTATTTTGAGTTAGTATTTTTGATTTGGTTTGATTTTATTATTTAATGTATTAATATATTATTTTGGTTTGATTTTATTTTGAATTAGTATTTTTGATTTGGTGTTATTTAATGTATTAATGGCTTTAAGTAATTATTATTAATAATTATTAATTTTTAAAAAATGATAAAGTTTAATATCAATTTAAAGAACTAAAATAAATTAAAAAAACTAAATCAATCACCCACAATTCGTAATATTTTCTTTTCTTTTTTTTTTAACTTTTTTTGTTACTTGCTAATATTAACAATAAATGTTTAAAATATAAAATTTCTATATTCTAAATGCTTCTATAGTGCCATAAATTAAAAATTTTAATATTCTAGTAAAATAATAGAAAATGGATTGTTTTATAAAATAAATACAAATTATTTTTTCAAATATAATTTATTTTCTAAATATTTGTATCTTTGTCAAATTCACCTGAAAAACTAGACAGCAGCACAAATTATTGGTAACATGGTTTCTTTCTTTATCGTAAAAAGCAAGGACTTATCCGGTGGCGCACTTTGATGACGTTTTATCTGTTTAGCTCCTAGATTTAACTTCGCCTTCCTTTTTGTTTTTAAAGCTCCTAGATTTGACCTCCAACCGAACAGCTATCAGCATATTCCACACTTCCATAAGCGTTAACCATGTATCCTGATCAAATCAAAACATGGTCAATATAATCTCCCAATAATTTCAACATCACCAAGAAATTAACAGGTGCCAGATAGCACAATCCCAGATGAATCACTTCACATTATGGATACATATATTCATTTTCTTCACAATAGCACAGGTAGAGCTTGGTATGAGTCAGGTACCAACAACTCTTGAAGGCCCATTTAAGCCAGTTACACACATATTTGATTCTTCATTGCGTAGAGGCAGTGATGACTTGCCAATGGACCATCCACGTCTTAAGAAGAATGTCACTGGAAATTTTCCAGAGCAGATAGCTCTGGCTATCTCTTCACCAACTTCAATGTGGGTTTCTTGGGTCACCGGTACTTACCTTTACTGTTTCTTACCATATTTTGATCTTTTGTTGCAGAGATAGCTTGGCTTTGTTGAATTCTTGATTCTTTAAGAAGTCTTTTATTGTGTTTTCTTTACTATTTCTTGATTCTTGGTTTTCTTAATTTGTGGAATCTTGAATTGGATTAATTTTATTGATTTTCTTTACTATTTCTTAATTCTTGATTGTGTTATTACATTTGATGAGGAGTGTTTTGTCTGGATTCCTTAATTGGATTTTGTTTTGGTTGGTTCAGGAGATGCCCAGATTGGTTCTAATGTAATTCCTCTTGATCCTGCTTCCGTGGCTAGTGAAGTTTGGTATGGGAAGGAAAGTGGAAATTATACAGGGAAACAAGAGGGGAATTCAACTATTTATAGTCAATTATACCCATTTGAGGGACTAATGAATTACACTTCAGGCATCATTCATCATGTCAGAATTGATGGTAAAGAAATCTCTTTCCTTGGTAGTTTTTGTTGATGACCAAATTAAGTAATTACATAATCACTAGTTAATTTCTCGCAGGTCTTGAACCTGGGACAAAATATTATTACAAATGTGGAGATAGCTCTATTCCAGCTATGAGTGAAGAGCTTGTCTTCCAAACTTTACCAGCATCTAGCCCATATTCGTATCCTCCTCGAATAGCTGTAATTGGAGATTTGGGTCTCACAAGTAATTCATCAACAACTATAGATCATCTAGTTATGAATGATCCTTCATTGATTTTAATGGTTGGAGACTTAACTTACGCAAATCAATATCGTACTACTGGTGGCAAAGGAGCTCCATGTTTTTCATGTGCATTCCCTGATGCTCCTATCAGAGAGACATACCAGCCGCGTTGGGATGGCTGGGGAAGGTAATCTTTTTTGAATTCTGATAAGAATTATAACATATGTGTTGTGGAAAAAGTGGCGAATGAAGATCTTGATATCTATACATTAATTAATTGTATTATATGATGAATGTTTTAATCCATATGTGAGTACCTGATGATGGCATAGTTAATATAATTGGAATCATCAGATTCATGGAGCCACTGATATCAAGAGTTCCTATGATGGTCATAGAAGGGAACCATGAGATCGAACCTCAAGTCGCTGGGATAACTTTCGAATCATATTTGACCAGGTTTGCAGTTCCATCAGAAGAATCTGACTCCAATAGTAACTTCTACTACTCTTTCGATGCTGGTGGTATACATTTTATCTTGTTGGGAGCATACGTTGATTATAACACTACTGGTAATAAGAATTTCCTTTTCTTCATAACTAATTAATAAAATTTCTCAGTACCAATATAATTCTATCATCTATATATACGTATATATATATGATTTTCTGACACTTGAAGTGCCTTTTCAACTAGTAAGTTCCATTGATCTCATTTCTAGGTTCTCAGTACGCTTGGTTACAGAAAGACTTAAATCAAGTAGACCGCACGAAGACCCCTTGGTTGGTAGCTGCTTGGCATCCACCTTGGTATAATAGTTATGCTTCTCACTATCAGGAATTTGAATGTATGAGGCAGGAAATGGAAGCACTCCTCTATCAATATCGTGTTGACATTGTTTTTTCTGGTCATGTAAGTTGCTACATCCACTCAATCTAAACATGAATCATATGGAAGAGCACAGGCTATATAAATAAAAAGAAACCATACCTTATGCCTAATTTTTCTGTATGTATCATGTGAAACAAGAATCATATGCTTTTCAGGTTCACGCTTATGAGCGAATGAATAGAGTCTATAATTATACATTGGATCCATGTGGTCCAGTTTACGTAATTGTTGGAGATGGTGGAAATATCGAGCAAGTCGATGTTGATCACGCAGATGACCATGGAAAATGTCCTTCAGCTGGAGATAACATACCTGAATTTGGAGGGGTATGCCATATTAATTTTTCTTCTGGTCCTGCTAAGGGCAAGTTTTGTTGGGACAAGCAACCTGAATGGAGTGCATTTAGAGAAAGCAGCTTTGGGCATGGCATTCTCGAGGTATATCATTTAGACATACATTCTTAACCTAAAATGTTATCATTCCTTACAGCAATTAAAATCTAGAAGTTCAATCAATCAACTTTAACTCAATGGTAGTTTCTATAGCTATCTGGTTATGAGTTTGAACTCTATTCGAAGCTAAATTAACCAAAAGAAGCTATCTGGTTATGAGTTTGAACTCTATTCAAAGCTAAATTAACCAAAAGAAATCCACAAGTGTTCAGTTTTCTCCTCTATCTGCAAGTTTTGGTTCATGGAAATAGCCTCTCTACAAAGTAAAGGGAACGCTGCGTACATCAACCTTTTCAGAGCCCACATACGTGGAATGTTTTGTACACTGAGTCACCCTGTCTGCTGAGTTTTTGTTAGAGTGAATTCTTTCTTTGTTAATCATAAGTCCATTTTCTTACGTATGTCTAGAGATGGTTTAAAAAAAAAAAAAATTATCCTGATGCAGGTCGTGAATTCTACATATGCATTGTGGACTTGGCATAGAAATCAGGATATATACAATAACGATAGTCATGGCGATCAAATCTATATTGTGCGGCAACCTGAACTGTGCCTTCAGCAGTGGAGGCGGAGCCGTTTGGAGACAAATAATAGTGGTCATGGCCCTACTTCCATAAGCTCCCCACTAAAATTTCAAAATGGTCTCTCAAAATAAATCTTATTCCTGAGTTTTTTTTTTTTTTTTTTAGCTAGAAATTAACAAAGAAATCCACAAGTGTTCAGTTTTTCTCCTCGTATCTGCGTTTTGGTTCATGAAATAGGCCGCTCTCTGATCAAAGTAAGGGAACGCTATCTGGTTATGAGTTTGAACTCTATTCGAAGCTAAATTAACCAAAAGAAGCTATCTGGTTATGAGTTTGAACTCTATTCAAAGCTAAATTAACCAAAAGAAATCCACAAGTGTTCAGTTTTCTCCTCTATCTGCAAGTTTTGGTTCATGGAAATAGCCTCTCTACAAAGTAAAGGGAACGCTGCGTACATCAACCTTTTCAGAGCCCACATACGTGGAATGTTTTGTACACTGAGTCACCCTGTCTGCTGAGTTTTTGTTAGAGTGAATTCTTTCTTTGTTAATCATAAGTCCATTTTCTTACGTATGTCTAGAGATGGTTTAAAAAAAAAAAAAATTATCCTGATGCAGGTCGTGAATTCTACATATGCATTGTGGACTTGGCATAGAAATCAGGATATATACAATAACGATAGTCATGGCGATCAAATCTATATTGTGCGGCAACCTGAACTGTGCCTTCAGCAGTGGAGGCGGAGCCGTTTGGAGACAAATAATAGTGGTCATGGCCCTACTTCCATAAGCTCCCCACTAAAATTTCAAAATGGTCTCTCAAAATAAATCTTATTCCTGAGTTTTTTTTTTTTTTTTTTGACATTAATCTTATTCCTAAGTTTGGTATATGAAATTTTATATAATGTATGTGAAAAATTATATAATTAATTTATTTAAAAGTTGTAAGAAATTAATTATCAATAACATTGAAATTTATATGTTGATTTTAGTTGCTTTTTATTATATTGTTTTTGTTAATTAACTCAATTATTTTCTTATCAATTTAACATCTTAATAAAAAAATGGATTCTAAGGTATTTACTATTTTTTCAAGGAATGAGATATTTCTTATTGAAATTATTAAGTCGTAGTTTTTCTAATTAAATTTGAAAATTTCTTAATAAAGGAATTAGGAGATGTATATACATAGTAAGCTATATTTAGATTTATAGAAATTTATTAAACGCAAACATATATTCTGAAAACATATGAGATTATAGACACGGTCCAGACAAATATTTTTCTATTGGCTCCACCCCTTCTCCAATGGATCTGTTCCCAGGAGTACCCTAAATAATGAACCTATATTATTTCTAACTTTTTTTTTTCATAATTAGATTTTTGTTACATTTAAAATTTTACTTTCCTCGATCATATAATAAACACATATATTTTAAGCTAATAGCTATACAGTTAATTCAATTTGACTTATTTCTTTCTATCATGCCAATTGTCATAATAGAATTGTGAAAAATAAAATTGATATTAGGTTTTTTTTTATCACCAATTCATATTTTATTTTATTAAATTATAAAATCAGGAAAAAACTTATCAAATCCAATATAATAAACCCGAGCTAGTAGGCTTCATCCCCTGTACACTCAAATCTACAATTTAAGTTTGATAAATGAGAAAAAAATCTAATAAATTAATAGTTTTGATTCAAGAAAATTAAAAAATTATCGATCTTTCAGTGTTCTTTTTATTTTTTATTTTTAGAACTACAGGCTAATCCTAACCACATCTTTTTTTATTTTCAGTCGATTTCGATTTTTGAAGTAGAAAATTCAAAATTGAACTCATCTATTTTGATTTCAATCCCAAAATAGAAATTTGGAATTGAATTAGGCACCTCTAATTTTAGACCGATCATAACTAGTGGCCAGCCACCGCTATGTGTGCATTTCTTACCTACCACGTTGCAACTGCCATGTTGGCAAATTAATGGATTGGTAATTTATGCACCAGAAAAAATTTCTTAGAATTTATCCATCTCTTTCCTATATTCCCTCGTTTCATATTCTGTATCATCAAATAGATTAAGAAAATTTAATTAATATAATTAAAATATGATTTTTATTTCATTTTTTCTAATATTATCTTTGATATTAATATTCATAAAAATTAAATGATCAAATAGTAAACTATTATTGAAATTAATCAAACATTTAATTAGATAAAGTTTTTATTGGAAGATTTAAGTACGATATGTGAATTTTATTTATATCAAGATATAACTAATGACAATACAGTAGTTTGACTATTGTATTTATTGACAAAAAACATTAAATAAGGTAATATAGTAAATTTCAAATATTATTTACTTTCAAAACAAGAAATAAAAGACAGTTGAAAAGGAAAAGTAAAATAAAACTTACAGGAATAAGATATAACATTGAAATATACATTATTAAAATTATTAAGGATTTTAGGATTACAATTGACAGCGCTTTATGTTTAGTAAACTCCTAGATAATTAATCCATTTGACTAATACAACCAATACTTAAATCTTACTTACCAAATTCTAAGAGTCAGAGCTACCCATTTATAACTTATACCTAAACTTAGAAAGAACACATTTTTGGAGATATCATATTAAAATCCTAAATTACAATTGGTGGAAAATATTTATATATTTATTAGTATTATTAATTAAAATTTGACTTTTACAATTCTTTGATTTTAAATTGTTTGTGAACATAAATTAATAGTTATTCAAACTGAGAAAGAAGAATTCTTAACAAAAGAAGAAGAAAAGGACGAATCATTTTGGTGGAGAAAACAAGAAATTGAGAAGTAGAATTAGTAGATTGCAGTTACTTGTTAATAATGGTTATGAAGAAGAGAAACTAACCAACCATTCAGATTTCAGAGTCACTGCTAGTTTACTACTACCCACTACCGAGTACCAACTAACAATTTTTGTCACAGTATGTATTTTGATAGCCCACACCAAAGGTAAAGTCATTATCTATCGCACCTACCATCCACCAAAGCTAATTGAATGACCACGCTGCTCGCTGTCTCATTAAATTGCTTTCTTTCTTCTGTCTCGTCAGTTGCCACACGCCAACTCTCTTCGATCTTTCTTTATTGCCCAGCGTCCTAATTTCGGTTACCCTTTACAGCTCTCTTTTCTTTCCTTTGATATCTAGTAGATCCAGAGTCAAAGATCTCTGCTTTTTATAAAAGCAGACCCAGTTTTCCTACAAATAGGAATAAGAAAGCAAATGGGTGGTGAAGAGAAAGTTTTCACCTTGGCTGAAGTGTCCGAGCATAACACTCCAAAGGACTGTTGGCTGATTATCGACGGCAAGGTGATCTTTTTCTGTTCTTTTTTTTATTTTTCATTTTTTCTTCTTGACATTTTTTTTTTGGCTCTTTGCATGTTTTCTTGTGAATTTTATGATTTGATCTTTTTGACCCTTGTGGGATCTTTAATTGTGATTGAGTTGATTTGGGATGTGTGCGTGTGTTTTTTCTTTCTTGATGCTCTATTGGACTCTTGTCCTTGTCCTTCATTTTACATAGTAGCATTATCATTGGATCTATGTAGTTATTTTTAATATGTAATGCCTCAAAGGTCAAAGAGTTTAGAAGGCTAATTTGGTAGCTGATTGCTTTCATTTTGACTATTGCAGCATGCATGGAAGGGGATTGCATGAGTTCAATTATTTCTTTTTTAAATTCTGCATATTGTGTGACATTTTGTATAGATTGAAATTTGGAAGTGATTGCTTTTTCATGAAATTGATCATTTATTGGTTCTTCTACATTCCGGTTCATGCTTATTTCATTCATGGTACGTCATATGTAGTTTTGATTTGTAATTTCTTGGTTAACTGGAGGCCTTTTTTTCATTATCTAGTACCAAGCCTTCTTCACTTGATCAATTTGGTCAAGTTTTGACATCAATATACTTTAAGGAATGAACTCTCCCAAAGTTCTAACAATATTAAGTCCAGTTGAATTCTGGTTTAAGTATCAAGGCCTTAGATTATGGTGATGTGGTATTGTGATTTTATCCTTCCATGTGATTAAATAGGTTTCTGAAGAGGTGGAAAAGGGAATTAAAATAGTAATTTTCCAGTTCTTGATCTTTTTTTGCTATTCTTTTGGATTGTGCAAATACACGGAGGAATTCTGTGTTCTAAGCCAACTAATGGAGAGGAGATACTCTGTTCTAAGCCAACTAATGTAGCTGTCTATAAAGAGTCGTAAATTGTATAGCTTTTTTACTGGTTGTCATAAATCATATGAGTTACTGACATTGTTTTCCATGAGGAAAACTTCAAAATGCAAACATTAAATTGGATCTTGGTTTTCTTTTAATATATTGTCGGAATTGAGAACTATAATGCTTAATCTCTGCAAGATGTGTTCTATAAAAAGATTTCTTCATTTTAGCAATTATGCTATTTGAATATTTTAGTTAGACTACTTTATTATGAGCCAACAGAAAGATTTTTCTGGTATCAGGTCTTATATTTGGGTCTAGTTTATTGTTCTGATGACGATTATCGTCAAATGTCAAAACTTAAGTACGTGAGCTCTGAACTATCTCAGTTGAAGATGACTTCCCCCAGTATATATATATTTATATTTTGGGTCTACGTTTTATTGTTCTGATGACGATATCGTCACCAAATGTTCAAAAACACTTTAAGTACGTGAAGCTCTGAACTATTTCTCAGTTGAAGGATGGACTTCCCCCAGTATATATATATATATATTTTATATAATATATATAATATCGGAAATTTTGCTGCTCTCTGGCACCGATTCTGAGTAATTTCTGGGGGGAATCCTAGGCAGCTTAGTTGTAATATAAAGCTAAAACTCGTAGCCAAAAGCAGGGGTGGAAGGTAGATTTAAGTATCTGTCTGGCGTAGGCCGAAAAATAAAACAATAGAGGAAAAATAAAATTGATAGTAAAATTTGGGGTGAATAAGGATTTATTCAGGGAAGGAAAAAAAATTTTAGGGGAGGGGCAACATTAAAATCAGTTTTTGAAACAAGTATATTAAATTCGTAAGAGGGGAAATTATAGATTTGAAAAAGTTTTGCGGGGCCCCAAACAGGCAGATGTGGATCCGCTGACCCAAAAGTTATATGTTTGAGAGGAAAATGTGGTTACACGCAAAGCCAATCAATAAAAAAAGAAAGTTGAAAAAGAATGGTCCACAGGTGGTTGAAGGTTTCAATATATATATCGGAAATTTTGCTGCTCTCTGGCACATCTGAGTAATTCTGAATCCTAGCAGCTTAGTTGTAATTAAGCTAAATCTACCAAAAGCAGGGGTGGAAGTAGATTTTAAGTATTGTGGGGCCGAAAAATAAAAATAGAGAAAAAAAAATTGATAGTAAAATTTGGGGTGAATGGATTTTTTCAGGGGAGAAAAATTTAGGGGAGGGGGGCAACATAAATATTTTTGAAACAATATATAAAATTTAGAGGGGAAAATTATAATTTGAAAAGTTTGGGGGCCCCAAACAGCAATGTGGATCCGCTGACCAAAAGTATGATGTTTGGAGAAATTTGGGTACACGCAAGCCAATATAAAAAAGAAAGTTGAAAAAAGATGGTCACAGGTGGTTGAATGGTTTCAAACTTTACCCATATTGTGTTCTTGTTCATCCATTATTCATTCCTAACACCATTTGACTTAAGCTCCAGTATCCTTAAAAAATTTAATAAAAACAAGAACAAATGTTAGCTGTTATATGCATTTTTTCTTTTGTCCACTGTCCCATTGTCAACTTACCTATTGTATAGGACCCTAAGCACATATCTGTACATATATAGATTCAAAGTCAATATAAATTAAACTTAAAATTTTTCCTAACACCCCAATCCTTCAGCTGTACCCATGAGGTATTTATGCTTCCTTACAAAAAGGCTGCAAAGAAGACTTTAGTTAGAATGCTGAGCTTCTTTGTAGTATTCTAATTGCTGAAGTATGAAGTGTTTTGTAGGATAACTTGTTTTTACTTTCATGTTTAATTAGGACTATCTTTTAATTTTTCCATATTTCTGCAATAATACATTCTTCGATGTCCAATATTTTGAAGAAATAGGTGTTTCCATGACACGACTATCCACATTTGTTTTCTGTTTCTTGTAGTCTCTATTTCACAATTGTGCATCTTCAGGACACAAGCAATAGGAAACCTTTCTCTTTTTACATGGATCGAAATTTCTTCTATGACTGGCTATTTAATCTCATATAAATAGTTTTGAGTTTGAAACATAGCGTAAATCCATTAATTTTTCAACTTTCTATCCTTCTGTGTTACATTAAGGGGCTCCAGAAAATTGGTTTTACATCTCTGAGCTATTCCGAATTTGTTAAAACAGGTTTACGATGTGACAAAGTTTTTGGATGACCATCCTGGCGGTGATGAGGTTTTGTTGTCGGCCACAGGTACAGTATCAGTTGTAGCCCTTTGAAGCAAAAATGAATAGATAGGATTAAGTTTGACAATGTTACTTGTAATTCAGGGAAGGATGCAACTGATGATTTTGAGGATGTGGGTCATAGCACGAGCGCCAAAGAAATGATGGATCAATACTATGTTGGAAAGATTGATCCCTCAACAATCCCCCAGAAGACTACATATAAACCTCCAAAGCAACCTCATTACAATCAGGATAAGACTTCTGAATTCATTATCAAGCTCCTGCAATTTCTAGTTCCCCTTGCTATATTGGGTTTGGCTTTCGGCGTCCGCATCTACACAAAATCAGCTTAAAGATCCTGATCACCTTACTATGGAAAACAAAACATTTCAAAATCTATTTCTTTTATTAGAGCATTTTCTGTCCTTGTTTAAACCTAGCATTTAAGCTTGTTTCATTGTTGTCTCTTTATATCACTGCATGATCCATGATAGTGTAGGCAAAACTATGGTGTTGCTGATGGCTACCCCAGTTATCTATTTCCAGCTCTTGGTTATTTGAAATGGAAAATACACTAAACTGAACCAAATTTAGTAGTACAATTAAATCCAACCGGGTTTAGCTGTTTTTGAGCAAATTTTGGGTTTGATAAAAATAGAACTGAACCGAAAACAGGTCCTTGTCCGGAAATAGCTTTTCTCGTAGCGTTAGCGGCAATGCAGCGTTTATAATTATACATACACTTATTTCAGTTTCGTGGTCTGGCTACGTGGAAAGCTTTGTCTTTGTATTTTAACTTTAGTGGTTGAGTTAGTGCCGTTGTGCTCACGCAAGTGTCCTAATCTTCAACCTTTCTTGCTAATTAAATAACTATTTAAACTACATTCGTGGATCTGTTGAAAATGACTGGCTGGCATAATTTGAAAGAGGATTTGTTTGTTGACAAAAAAAATTAGTGTTCCAACTTCCAATAATATTATGGATAAATTATTAGAGTCAAATTCTAAGGACTAAATAGTAATTTACTTATCTTACTTGCTATTATTTTCTTTTTGGTTTTTTCCACGCTGTCGCTTTTGTGCTTATTGTGGCATGTGCGACTTTTAGTCCAAATGAAGATCAATTTGATTGCGTGGCATCCCACTAAACTATTAGTTTAAGTCAAAATTCATTTTATTGGACTAAAACTGAAATTTCAATTTGTACGACTTGATTGGGTTATTTTTAAAAATATATTATTATCATAATTTTGAAAGTGGAAATTTAAGAGCAATAATTAGGTAAAGACAAAAAAATTATTTTTATTATTTATTAGAAAGTAAAAATAATATCTAACAGTTCTATCTAATTTACGAGAATTGCTAGATTTTTTTAAAAAAAATTATGCAGATAAATTCCCTATAATTTATTTACGATATTTAGAATTTTATATTATTCTAATAAAATGTGAGGAAATTTATCACAGATATTATTAAAAGAAATAAAGCCTCGTTTTTTTTATAATTGAAAAAAAAAATTCGGAGGTTTTGTTCACATGCCATTGATTCTCTGACACAGGCGTGGAGCTTCACGCAACAGCTGATGCTTCTCTGCGATCAAGCACACAACATGTCTCTTGCAACTCGTATAATTATAAATATATTGATTTTTAAATTAAAATTCCAAGATATGCTAGAAGATCTTTTGGAGGGCCAGGTTATTTGCAATGATTCTATTAGTAAAATTATTAATATCAGGTACCTGTTGAACAGTTGACAATTGTGTAAATTTATTTCTAATAAATGTAATTTTGTGATTTGTGAAATGGATCGAATGATTAAGCGATGAATATATAATTTATGTTTCATTTGATGTAAATGAATTTAAAAATTATTTATAAGTGATTCAATTGAATTTTTATTTTTTTATATATATTTAACTTAAAGTATGTAATTCAATTGAATTTCAATCTTACACATTTTTTAGAATATTTTATGACATTTTAAACTTTTTAAGAGACTCCTTATATCACTAAAATTAAAGATTTTGAAAAATACTGTGTACTTTTCTTCATTAATAATAATAACTTTTAAGATATACATATAAAATATCGATTTGATATGTAGTTAGTATAATTTTTTTAAAATAATTTTGACATTTTTTAAGTATTAAATAAATAACTAATTAATGCAATTTTAGAAGTTGAAGTATTTAATGTGTTGAATTTGAAATATTTAATAGGTTCATTTTTATAAGTGTCTACTAGGTTGAATTAAAAATTAATAGTGCCATTTTTTTAAAAGTATACAGGTGAATTAATATATTTTGCCTTTAAATTTTATATGAGCATGTTTGGAATAAATTGAGATTGCAAATTTATTTATTTTTATTTTCCATCAAAAATCTTTGAAATAATAATTTTATAAAAGACTAAAAAGATGGATAATTTTATATTTTTTATTATTTAATTTTGTGGAATATATTTAGAAACTTCATCAATAAAATTTAATTTACTTATATATATCGAATTATATATGATTGAGTTTGTAAAATTAATTTTCAAATACAAAAATTTATATTTATAAATAAATGAATTTTGGTAATTTTTATATGGAATTTATTTATTTTAAACAGGGAGTTAATAAATCTTTAGGTAGATAAATGTATTTTTATTAATTCTAATTTTATTGATTAAAATATAAATAAATTTTTCTTAATTGAATATGTTAATAATTGAAATTGAAATACATTTCTCGTTCAAATAGATCAGCAATGCAAATTTAAAAATAAATAATTCATTGATTGAATAGAGTAATAATCGAAATTGAAATACGTTAATAATAAAATTAAATTGATAAAAAATATTTTATTAATTAATAATTTTGAAATTAAAACTAATAATTAAATAGAAATCTATAAAAAAATTATTTATTAATTGAATAGACTAATAATTAAATTGAAATACTATCAATACTTAAGTATATTAATAACTAATGATTTTTAAATTATATATTTTTTAATCTTCTAATATTTAACATAGCATTTTTAAATGTATTAAAAAATCATAATATTTAACAAAAAATTAAACACACCTAAGATAATTTGATAGACATATATATGCATATTATAAAGGCAAAAATTAAATTTTAGGAATAATTCCTTTTAAATTAATCTCAATGATAACCTTTTTCAATAAAAAGGAGAAAACATCATAAATAATTTTTTTATAAAATACGTTTTATTTTAAGTAATTTTTATTTTATTGACATCATCATTGTTGATAAATTTAATAAGAGAAAATTTTTCTTATTCAAAAATAATTATTGTTTTCTTAATTTGCTAACACTAATTTAAATTCGTAACAAAAGAATCTGGTGTAGTTTTAAATAAATAAACAGACAGATATCAGAAAAGATCAGCGCCAAAAATCCAGAGATCACAGAGGGATCATTCGCCGACAGATCCGGGCGCTAATCACATTAAACTCTACACACGCGTAGGACCAACCACACACAATTATTTCCTCTCGGCTCTCGAACAGTGAGTAGTGCGTATTTGCACCAGTGTACCTACTTTGTCTGTTCCACCTCCGTTCTACGCTTATTTTCAAGTCTCTCTAAACTCTCCTGCGGGTCGATCTCCATTTCCGTATCTCCCTATTCAAAAAAATGCAGTACAAGAACCTAGGTCGGTCTGGGCTCAAGGTCAGCCAGCTCTCCTATGGCGCTTGGGTAAGCTTTGGTAACCAGCTCGATGTCAAGGAGGCAAAGTCCCTCTTACAGTGTTGCAGAGACCATGGTGTTAATTTCTTTGATAACGCAGAGGTTTATGCCAATGGAAGAGCTGAGGAGATCATGGGCCAGGCGATCCGCGAGCTCGGATGGAAGCGGTCGGATGTCGTCGTGTCTACTAAGATCTTTTGGGGAGGTTCTGGCCCTAATGATAAGGGGTTGTCCCGGAAACATATTGTGGAGGGCACGAAAGCTTCGCTTAAGAGGCTTGATATGGATTATGTTGATGTGATTTATTGCCACCGGTTAGTTTCTGTCGTTGCCTTTATTTTTCTTCCTCGTTCTTTTAATTTTCCGCTTTCGTTTGGTTTTCTTTTTCAATTGATATGTTTGACAGTCACTTTTCTCTGGGTTCTGGAGTATTAGTTGGTTTTGGTGGAAGTCGTGATTTCGTGATTGATTTGTGTTATTATGATTTGGCTTGTTGATTTTTTCTGATTTAACTAGTAAGAAGCTAGATAAGAAAAAAGTCGTTTGGTTTATGCGCTGTTTGCTATTGATTTCTGTTTGATGCTGTATGGGTCTTTTTTTGGATTTTTTTTTTGTCATCCGGAGTAATTTGTTAATTAGTAGGTCTTTTAACAGTATTTGGGTACTATTACTCTATCAGGACATGGTTGATGTGCCGACCACTGAGATGGTTTGCTTCTGATTTTAGTATTTTGTGGTATCTCATATATTTAATTCTTTTTATGTATGCTTTTCTAATGTGGTTTTCTAGGCTCGTATAAAGTTCTTCCAGCAGAGATGCTATTTGGATTTTGCAGATATGAATTATAATTTACAGCGAATTGAATAGCAATTGTTGTAGTTTTGCTGTTTGTTTTTTTAATTGGTTGATTATGGTTGAAGAATTCTTGTTTGGAAGGTTCATTGACAGGGGTTCATTTGGTGCTGTTATTGCCCCGACACCATTTAAAATTTCTTTTTTTAACTTGTTTTTTACCATAATTGTTAGTTATTCTATTTAATTTTTTAAAGGTTCATTGAGGAGGGTTAATTCATTTGAATTTAATCTGCTGTAACAGGCCTGACTCATCAACACCAATTGAAGAAACGGTGAGGGCAATGAATTATGTGATTGATAAGGGGTGGGCATTTTATTGGGGCACTAGTGAGTGGTCTGCCCAGCAGATCACTGAAGCGTGGGGCATTGCAGAAAGATTGGACTTGGTGGGACCAATTGTTGAGCAACCAGAGTATAATCTACTATCAAGGCACAAGGTGAGGGGTTAATCAAAATTTCAGGTCTGAAATATTTGACTTTTGGTTGTGGCAGCGAGAGGATCTATCACACTTTGTGCATATTAATAATTATTTACGTTTGATGGAAATGGGCTTACTTTGTTTTTTCTTTTTTGGGTTCACAAACTTGAGATGAATAAGTTTTTTTGGCTGTTTTTATTGTTCTATTTTGAACCAATTTAGCCAAACTGTTTCCTCCTGAAGAATGTTTCAATTTCAATGAATAACCTTAATTAGCAAGAATCAATAATCAAGACATTCTGGAATTGAATTGTGTTTGAGAGCCCTAAGGTTGAACACTGAAACCGTATGATGAGTAAGCAAGATCTTTTGTGGGGTGTTAGCCTGCAAGTGTGGATGCTTTTGCATGAGCACTTGCAACAACAACAGAGCCAAATAGATTATGTGACAACAACAACAGAGCCAAATAAATTTGTAAGCTGAAGGAGGTGCCTTTTCTTTGAAAAAGGCTTTTTGTGGCTTTGGGTCTTGGAGCTGATGAACTGTATAATCCCCCGTTAATACACATCTTTTAACTTTTGAAGGTGTGTTTCACACCTTCAAAGTTCCGTGGTTTGCCTCTTAAATTGGGGTTTCTTTTCATTTCCTGCATGTGTTTGTTTATGAATCCTTATAATGTTTATGGAAAAGTTTTTGAGTTTTGGCTTATACTATTCATTTATGACCTGCTCAAATCTTACATGGATACAGGTCGAGTCAGAGTATCTCCCTCTATATACCAACTATGGCCTTGGTCTCACCACATGGAGTCCACTTGCATCTGGGGTGCTCACAGGAAAATACAGCAAGGGAGCTATACCTCCTGATAGTCGGTTTGCTTTAGAAAATTACAAAGTAAGGCTTGTTTGGATTTATGATATTGATGGCAGAATCTTCCACTTTTTTTAAGGTCTTTTCAACAATTGTCAATGGTTTTGACCAACATTTCCACCTCTAGCAGTTCCTTAATGTTCTAGTCTCCTCCTTAATGATTATTGACTTCAGTCTTCACTTATTTTTTTCTTTTTTTTTGTTTTTTGAGTCATCGAATATAATCTGAACTTCCAATTATACTACATTGCTATATTTATTAAGGTCAATTTCCTTATCTAAAGCTGCATACTTAGTCATCTTTTTAATATTGGTGGAGCTTCCCTGTCATTTTTTTTTCTTTCCAATGACTCTTGTGTACTGAGTGCTTAATACTGTTATGAACTGATCTCTGCATCTTTATGTTGCAACTGATATAATTTGTGTACAGAAAAGTGATGAAGCCTGTGAGTCTTGTTTGATAATAATGCCAAATTAATAGCTCATGGTTCAAATATTTCTTTTGTATTAATAATGATGTTTGTATATCTATTGTCCAGCTTAGACTTTAATAGTTTCTTCATGCATATATTCTAGTGTTTAGTTTGTGGAATTCAGCTGCAATTATGTTCTGTTTATCCCAAAATTTTGTTTCTGCGTACAACACTTAAACTAATTTTATGCTTTGTAGAACCTTGCTAGCCGATCACTGGTTGACGATGTTTTGAAAAAGGTTAATGGACTGAAGCCAATTGCTGATGAACTGGGTGTGCCTTTATCTCAACTTGCAATTGCATGGTGTGCTGCTAATCCCAATGTCTCATCAGTTATTACTGGTGCTACAAGGGAGTCTCAGGTCAGTTTTAAAAAGCCCAAAACATCACATCTTTTGTTTTCAAGGGTACTTCTCTTGGGGTGATGCTATACTTGTCTTGGATCCTAATTTTGTTATTAAACTACTGGTTTTGAATAAAATATTTAAGTTTGAAGGTTTTGCTGTGAACTTAAACTGAAGAACAAATTTATTTGTATCACACTTAAAAAATAGGCTCCTATTCAGAAAAGACTTCACAAACCAACCAAGATGGTCCTGCTGACTAGGATGTATGAGTGTTTTTTGTAATTGACCTATTTTGTTTGTGACTCTTCAACTTCACGAATCTCTTCCCCCTTCTAATGCTACCTTCAATGGAAAATCTTGACAATAAAACTTCCGGAAATTGCATTTGTCAGGTGAAATACTTCCCTAAATAATAGATGCTTGTGCAATCACTAGCCTGTATGAAAATTAAAACTCAATTCCTAATGGCGCAGCTGCTTTCTATCATCGTTTGTACTTTGTTGCGTGTCTTGTTTGCGTCAACAAGTTGATGCAGATATCTATAGGATTCTTTTCTTTGTCAAAACTTTCTTCTCTCTCTCTATTTGAAGTGAGATTTCCATTTCATATAAAAACTTCTTGGTGCTATGGATGAATGTGATTTTCTGCTATGCAGATTCATGAGAACATGAAAGCTATCGACGTGATCCCCTTGTTAACTCCTGCCGTGATGGAGAAGATTGAGGCTGTTGTTCAAACCAAGCCAAAACGTCCAGATTCTTATAGGTAATCAGGTGGCATTATTGCTTTCACAGTTTCTGCGTGTATTGGAAAAGCAGAGCTCGCAGCTTAGTCTTGTCAACGACCAACTGGGTCTGCTCTATTGTTTCGAACTAGTTCTGTTGTCAAGTAGTTACTGAAATCTGCCATTGGTTTTCATTTATTGGAGGTTATCCTTTTATGTTGATGATTGTTGGTGGTGGGCCGTTGGATGTCCATTGATGAGGTTCATGATGCTGAATTGGTAGTCATGATATTTGGTGTACATGAAATAACAATGTTTCTTTCTTCTCTTATGCAAGAATTTCCCTCTTTATATTATATATGGCTGAATTTGTTGTGGAAAATTCTAAAATAAAGGGATAAAACAGTAAATAAATTTTGTGACAGTTTTTTTTAAAGTAATCATTACAACAAAAGATTATTTTTGTTGAATCATTAGTAGGTTTTCTAGTGGGTGCTAACGTGTCATATATAGGACCCACACTAATTAGCTTTGATGGTTTAGTTTCTTTTGTGCGGTAGCCTTCATTTCAAAACTCTTACCCTTTCGGTTATTCTAGTTCGAAAAGAGTGGAGGAGTGGAATCATTGGTATATGTAATGGAAAAAAAAAAAAAAAAATTAATCAAAAGAAAAATTACTATATAAAAATTGAGCTGATTAACTATGTAAATATAAAATTATCAATAATATCAAAACGAATTATTATATTTTTATTAGTGAATAATTTTTTCTACTTTGCAATAATGGATAATTTTATATATTTGATGGCAAAAATAGAATAATCCTCTAAAAAAGAAAAAGGGGAAAGGGTAAAAACCATAAATTTCCTTTTCAAGAGATTAGTTTGCAGTTAGGGGCTTAGGGCCCTCTCCATATTTGTCTAAGTGTAGCCGCGTTATTTTAAGCGCCTTGTCTCCGACCCTCATGCAACGGCTTCTCTTTCTCTCCTCTTTCTCCATCAAAGCCCACATTTCTTTAACAAAACCAAAATTCAAACTCTAAATTTTCTTTTTTGGGTTTCATCCAGCTCGAGACAATATTGTTCTTCTTCATGGCTAAAATCTCTACGTGAAACATCAAGTTTCAACAAATAACCAGGTACCCTTTTCGCTATTCCTGTCTTTCTTTAACGTACTTCAATTTTCATTATCTCTCTTGTTACGTTCATGTATCTGTTAAAGAACAGCATCTTAATTTTGATTTTATTTCATATCCATTTTTGTTTTTGAATTTTGTGACCATAAATTTAATCATTCTTGGAGTTTCCTGCTTACGCAAGACGTGAACAATTCACCTCCCATAGATTCTTGGTTGCGATGTGAAGCTTACTTTTGAAATATGATTTGACATATTGTTTTTATATTTGCGATGTGAAGCTTAATTATCGATTGAAAGTCTCTATTTTTAACAGTCTCTATTTTCACAGGGGGAAAAAAAAAAAGTTTCCATATGAGACTCCGGCAATATGTCGATTGATGGATGATCGTGCAAGGAAAATTAGATTAATGAGGTGGTCATAAATTTTATTATTATGATTTTGGGTGAATATTTGTACATGTGGCCTGGAGTTGGATAAATATACATATCTTCAAGGATATAATTCATGGTATAAGGATTTTATTGATTTTATTTTGTTGGGAAGATCGGGGAATTTATGGATATTAGATAATAACTAAATAATATAGTAATGAAACTTTCGCCATTCTTGGTGACAACCAAGTTGACATCATGAACGTAAATATTGGATAGTGTCATAAAAGAAGAATAATTCAAATATTGTCTGGTCTGATTGGAGAAGCATAAGGAAGTTCAAGATTATTAAGGAAACAAGAGTTGGTAATGTATTGATTAATTGTATGCCTCTATTTATAGATATATTGAGTAAGACTTGTTTGATACCATGATAAGAGAGTCCCCTGGTGGTTTAGGCCAGCAGTTTTATGTAGATACGGCCAAGGTTTTGTCTAATGATAGATACCCAGAAGATAGGCATCATCATGATGATGATGATGGTGTTTGTGCACAGACAGGTGAAGAATTTTCTACTGAATTTTTGCGTGATCGCATTGCTCTAAGAAGGGTGGCAGATCATAGCCAGCTAATACACATGACATCTAACTATAATCAGCACCATCAGATGGTTTATGAGGATCTTTCCAATTTTCATGGGATTTGGAGAAAAAACTCGGGACTTGATGCCTTAGATTTTGTTTCCAGGGCAGGACATCCAGTTGAACTAGATCATAGGGCTTATCCAGATCATATGAGCAGGTGCCAATGGGAATATAGTGGCAGTGGACAAAACCCTGTCAAATACACTGGTGAAATGAATACTGATCGACTTAATCCTCCCCTTAAATATGCGGCGGAGTCCCATCCATCGTATCACCCTTATGGAACTGATGTTATGGAAAGTTCTTTCTTGGGAAAAATGAAATTTTTATGCAGCTTTGGGGGGAAGATATTACCTAGGCCAAGTGACGGAAAGCTTAGGTATGTTGGTGGAGAGACAAGGATTATATCCATCAAGAAAACTGTTAAATGGGATGAACTTGCAAGGAAAACTTTGGCAATTTGCAACCAACCACACACGATCAAGTACCAGCTCCCTGGTGAGGATCTTGATGCCCTTATTTCTGTATGTTCCAATGAAGATCTACATCATATGATGGAAGAATATCGAGAACTAGAACGAAATGGAGGCTCACAAAGACTGCGGATATTTCTCATTCCCTCTGGTGAACCTGATAGCCCAAATTCATTCGAGGGAAAGATTCTACAACAGAATGACCAATATGTTGTTGCTGTTAATGGCAGGCCAGATCTAAGTCCCATGAAGACTAGACAACCAATGCAGTTGGGAACCAATTCAGATATTTATGCATTTGACAGTAAGGATTCTAGTCAAACTTCCGCATTTGCAAGTCCTGCTCTTCGGGTTCTCACTAAAGTTCAGAACCCGGGCACGCCTTTCAATCAATCTCCTCCCCTATCTCCAGTTACAATTCGGCATGGAGATCACAAGAATTCAAACATGCATTTTTATGTTGATCGATCGTATCCCGAGGGTAATGAAACCACTAGTCCTTTGACCATGGACAAAAGTCCATTTGACAATTCATTTCACCCTCATCCCTCTATAAATTATAATAAAATTCCTCAAGGACTAGTACCATTAATGAGCTACCATCATCATCACCAATATTTTGTAGAAACTGACCACAGTAACAAACCATCGTTACATCATTTTCACAATCGTAGTCCAAGTGAAGATTTTCTTCCACATCATCTATATGTTCAAAGTGACATGAATTCAGATAGACCTAGGCTTAAGGAAAGGGCACTTTCTGACTCACGGTTGCAGGAACATGATGAAACACCAAAATATTACATGGAAGAAGCAATTAGCCCATTATCAACATGGATTGATTCAAATTGCCCACACGAGCCAGTGATGTGGCAAGGTTTAATGAATGAGAAATGCGAAGCAGATAAGCATGATAATCAATGCACCTTCAACACACCAGAGAAAATTGACTTGAATAAAGAGTTGTTGAAGCGAGTAGACAGTAGAGTTACTTGCTCCGATGGAGGCAGAAAACAATGTGAAGGGAACATATTGAACAATGATTCCATAGAGTGTATCGACTTACTGAAAACAGATCACCTTCCAAGTGTTCAACGCCACCAAAAAGATTCACTAGCATCTAAAAGAATGGTTTGCACAAATCAAGTTAATGTTTTGGAAAATTCTGTAGATAACATGAGGGAGCATCTCCAGGATTGCCAATTAGGAACTGCCACACCTACACCTCTCTTGCATTTTGGGAACCAAAATGCGACTGAGGATCAGCAGTGTTCTATGACACAGAGAAAAAATGGTCAAAAGCCTTCTGGTTGGCTACGTGGATATCAAAATCCTCCACCATGTGACCAAAAACCAAAAGCTCAGGACTCTGTAAGTACAGCTCTCTTTTATAGGAAATTTTTGCTTATCTGGACTTAATCTTGCATGAAGAATACCATCCAATTTTTAATTATGTCTTTCAGAAATCAGCTAAGAATGCTGCTACAAGTAGAATGTTTTATCTGTACGATGAAGACCCTGTGGATTGTCGTGATGACAAGGTTGAAATTGAAAATAACGGCTTCAGGAGACAAGCATATGATGAACCAATGATTAAGAATGCTCCACAACGCCTAGACTATCCCCATGGGAATGAGGAATCAGTTGTAATTGTTGAAGATGTAACTGGTACCACACCTCCAGATATTCCATTGGCTTTGAGAGTTGTCCCACATGTAGAACAAGAGGCCGCAGATGAATTCCCAGATCATAGAGATTCTGAGACAGAAAGCACAATTCAAGGATCTGAATATGAGGTACCATATCTTTTTCCTTTCGAGTGAATACTATTAATACATAGTAAAACGTTTGGTGGTAAATTTGACCTTTTTACGATGCATTTCTTAGCATTCAAATGTTGACGGCAGAAATACTGAGGAGTCTATTAGTGATGCTGCAATGGCTGAAATGGAAGCAGGCATCTATGGGTTGCAGGTATGGAACTATCATATTGTTCAATTATCCACAATTAATATTAACTTCCCTGTTAGACATTAACAGCATTCTTGTGATTGGACTGCGAGAGAAATATGTATACATCCAGTTTTTTCAATTTTCAATTCCCCAGCGTCATGTGTAGTTGTGACCATGAAGTTCTTTCTTCTTATGATAAATTTGCATTTAATTTTCAGTGGAGATTCTTGGAGCATTGATTAGCATTATCAACATAAAGATTTTAAAAGTTCCTTTTAATGGGAACTTGTGCTTTAGAATGTGAAATATCCCATTTATTTTTCATTAAACAATTTCTCGTCTGTCTCTGTCTAAAAGAAAAGTTTCGAAGTATTATTTTTAACTAAATGCTTTAGGTGCTAATGTGCAGATTATAAAGAATGTTGATATTGAAGAACTAAAAGAGTTAGGATCTGGTACTTTTGGAACTGTTTATTATGGGAAGTGGAGGGGTACTGATGTTGCTATTAAGAGGATCAAAAAGAGTTGTTTTTCAGGAAGATCATCAGAGCAAGAGCGGCTGGTGCGTCTCCTAAAATTCCTTCATCAGTATTAAAGCTTATAATTCTTTTCCATTTCATTTTAACTATGGATATACACCCTAAGAATTCATAGATAAATAAAATATGTATTGGAGTTCAAAATTTAAAGATGATCAAAAATAAAAAGTTCACTCAATCAAGTGAATTGAACATTTGGATGACCTAGAGAATAGATTAGTAGTATACATTCCAGCCTTTCTTTTAAAGATAGGTTTTCAGAATCTTGCGGGACTCAAAATCCAAACCCTCTCTTTCTGTGCAGATCAAAGACTTCTGGAGAGAGGCGCAGATCCTATCAAATCTTCACCATCCTAATGTGGTAGCATTTTATGGTGTAGTCCCTGATGGACCTGGGGGAACAATGGCGACTGTTACTGAATATATGGTTAATGGATCATTGAGGCATGTCTTACAAAAGAAGGACAAGTAAGTTAATCCATATACGTTTCTTTTATCTTGTACCCTGGTTATCATGTAGGCTTATGGAGCCTTGGTCTTGCAGAGCACTTGATCGTCGTAAAAAGCTTATGATTGCACTGGATGCAGCTTTTGGCATGGAATATCTACATCTGAAAGATATTGTTCATTTTGATTTGAAGTGTGATAATTTGCTTGTGAATTTGAGAGATTCACAACGACCCATTTGCAAGGTAAATGATCACAGTTTCTTCTACAGTCTTAATTAGAATATTAAAGTCACATCCTCTTTTTTCTTTTTATTCACCAATCAATGGTATGCAAATGCAGTAGTTAAGGAAATTGTCTGCTTTTTCAGGTTGGAGATTTTGGTTTGTCAAGAATTAAACGCAATACACTCGTATCCGGTGGGGTGCGTGGAACCCTTCCATGGATGGCACCAGAATTACTCGATGGCAGCAGCAATCGAGTCTCTGAGAAGGTTAAGACCTTATGCAAACACCTAGAATTTTATATAATGGAGTTTTGAGTATATGAAAAATGAACCAATTACTCGTTCAAAAATATATGACTTCATTTTGAAGTACTGTTCTTTTGCAGGTTGATGTTTACTCATTTGGTATTGCAATGTGGGAGATTTTGACTGGTGAAGAGCCATATGCCAACATGCATTGCGGTGCTATCATAGGTATGCTTTTGGTCGATTGCTGACAATGGTTTTACGTTACTGTTTTCTAAATTTTGTGTCTAAATACTATTCTTAATTCACTTTGGGATAACATCAACACATGAAAATAAACTGCTATATGAATTACATTTGCATGTGCTTTCTTCACGTCTTTGTCATCTTCGATCTAAACTATGTGAAAGTGCTTATTGTCGTCTTTGACTTAAAGTGGTATGAAAAATGCTCTTATTCCTTCCTGAGGTAACCATAATTTTTAGCGGTGCGTGCCATAATTGTTTTTTTTAGCATTCTACTAGTATTCCCTCTTCATATGATTCTTGTTAAATTTGGCTTAAAACCTTACCTTACCTTTGCTTGAAGGCGGAATCGTAAGTAACACGCTTAGGCCTCAGATACCAGAAGACTGTGATTCTGAGTGGAAAAAGTTGATGGAAGAATGCTGGTCTTTCAACCCAGCAGCAAGGCCATCATTTACAGAAATAACAAACAGGCTGCGGTTTATGTCAATGGCACTCCAACCGAAGCGGCGGAATCTTGCAAATAAATGAAAACTGCGTTTCCATGTAAGCCACAAGGATAAAACTCTCGTGTACATGTAAAAGGTTAAGTAGGCAAATGTGTTTAAAGATTTAGCTGACTTTCTTAAGGAGCTATATTACAAGCCATATCCATGGAGATAAGCATCTTCTAGACCGAAAATATGAATATATTTTCATATTCAAGTATTTATTTATTTATCTATTTTCAATTTACATATGGGTTTTCGCACTTAGTATCAGATAAAGGTTTTCCAACAGCGTTCGCGATCTAAGTTTGGAATTTCAATTATCTATTTTTTAAGATTTATATAAAAATTAATATTTAATACTTCAATATTGATTTAAGTTGCAAGTCAAATCAATTAAAATCCCACCAGCACCCAATTGCCATTGAGATGCTAAATTAGGAATTTTAAGGTACTAAGAAAATGTTTATGACTTTGCAACTTGCAACTTTTTTTGCTGGCATAATCAAATTTGCACTGAAATAGAGGTCCATCTACCTTTGTCTCCCATTTTTTTTTCCTCCACCAATTTTCTTCTTTCCTGCAAATTGAAACACAAAATATTTGCAAGCTCTTTCTTCTTTTCCCCTATCATTTTGTCTACCCACTATACAATCTCACAGATGCTTTTTCCTAAATCATGTCCCCCATTATTTAATAAAATATTTTTAATAAATTAATATCATTGCTCAACTTTTATATAGTTTATGAACTTTTCACAATAAATATGCAATAAATTATTTAAAATTATACTTCTTTCTGATAATTTTCATAGACATTATTATTTTCTAGCAATCAAAGCAAAATCTTTCATGTTCCTACTACGCATAAAACTTTGAGATAAATATACATCAATTACAATGCATATTCATCCTACGTGTCAAAATATATAAATAAAATTTTTCATGAAAATAAAATTCATTATTACCTAACAATAAATTCAAGTTCGAATCTTTTCTAATATTAAAAAAATTCATTATTAATAATAATCAATCCATCGTATTTATTACTCGTCTAATATTAACAATGAACTAGCCAATAAGCATTTATGGAGAAAGCAACTATAAATTTATAAAATAAGATTATGTCATAGCTAAAGACTACAAAGGGTGTTAAAATACTAGTTAGAAATAATAATAATAATAATAATAATAATAATAATAATAATCGATAATAAAGTGGCTATTTTCAATATATTATAAAATTGAAAGGGTTAGTATCTAAATTGCACTTTTTATTCTTTCGTTTCAGAAAAGACTCAAAAAACAATAAAAAAAGAAAAATTGGTTCTCCTTTGAGAATTTAATGGAGCAATTATTTTGTTGCATGCAACTTTAGGACAAGCAAGCATTTCCCTTGTTGTGGAATGATTAGTTGTCGTTTCTATAGTTGTGGAATGATTAGTTGTCGTTTCTATAGTAAGTCAATGATTAATGTTCACCTTTTCTTTTTTCCTTTCTTCTTTCGGCTTGTCAACATGAAAAGATTTCGAAAAATAATAAAAGAAAAGAAACGTTTTTTTTTTCTTTTTTCCTTTCTTCTTTCGGCTTGTCAACATGAAAAGATTTCGAAAAATAATAAAAGAAAAGAAACGTTTTTTTTTTGTTTTTTTAATTTAGTCAACGTGTTGGACAGATTAGAAAGCAAAGAGACACCACTACCTCCATGGAATCACTACGTGCATGATTATTACGAAGCAACTTGAACTGATATAAGGGCACCACGTCTGATTCTACTCCAATCTTTATCTCCAACTCAAAAAAAAAAAAAAAAAAAAAAAAAAAAAAAAATATAAATAAAAAAAAAAAAAAAAAAAAAAAAAATATAAATAAATCAACCCTTCATAAAAATACATATAATGTATATAGTGTGGTTAGATAAAACCCAATGAATTAGTAAAAACTACAAAAAAACTATCGAAGTTGAAAATTTTTTTACTATCATTCAGCCTGAAATGAAATATAATATATAATTAAATATAATAAGATTTGAATATTGACGTAACGATTGAGTATCGGTGACGGGTGGGCAATCGTCGATCTGACGTGGAACGGCATTAACCAATAAAATGGTTGGGTTTGATGTACGTGAGTTGGAGAAGCATTAAACTGATATTAACAGGTAATGATTTGTGGGTTTTGCACCCAGTTGAGCCGATAACATGTGAGATAATATTCAAGGAAACAAAAGCATCCTTCGAATGTCTTTAATTGCTGTCGGAGCTTCCAATGTTCTCCACATGATATGTTAGAGATAATCCAACAATCCACTAACAATGCAGGAAAAATATTTTAAAAAGAAAAAGAAAAAGAAAAAACTCAACCGTTTTGATTGATTGAGCTGACCACGTCACATTCAGTTTTAAAATGTGATTAAAGAAAACCTATTTTTATTATTTATATTATTTAATGACATATGGTTTATATTTTATAACCGTGTTTGAAATTTGAGAGAGTAATTTTTTTTAACATTTGATGAAACGATAGTTATACTGTTAACGGATAACTAATTTTGTTCATCATGCTGTTAGATTGGTTTGGTGTAATAGATAAACGTTTCCGCTAATAGAATCGCGGCACACGAGGTGACGGGTCCTAAATTGTCAATCCGAGGTGGAACAGCATTAACCGAAAAATGGGTGGGTTGGAGTGCCTGAGTTGGACAAGCATTAAGCTGATATTAACAAATAGTACGAATTTGTGGGTTTTGCACCCAATTGACCCAAAATCGTGTGTCCTTCGAATGTTATGAATTGCTGTCGGAGCATTTAGGCCCAATCACGACAATGTAGACAAATGCACACCTCATTATTATGAGTATTAAGAATAATCTCGTTTTAAAATTTTGTAATAATCTCGTAATTTTTAATGCTAAATTTAAATATATTTTATCTCTAAAATCATGGATATATGTATCTAATTCATTTTAATTTTTCTGTTTCCTTGCCTTATTTCATATACATGTATTGGAACACAACCAAGAAAAAAAAAAAAAAAAACGCATGATAGAAAAAAATTGTTGACATTCCCGTTTTTCTTTCTTTCCTTTTTTTTTTTTTTTTTTTTTTCTTTCCTTTCTTCCTTTTTTTTTTTTTTTTTTTGGGTAAAATTTCTCCTGAAAATGTTCTAAGTTTTGGGCTTCGGATATAATATGACTCGTGTTAAGCAACATAACTAAAAAGTATGCAACGAACTAAAACTTTTTTTTTTTTTTTTTTGGGTAAATTCTCCTGAAAATTTCTAAGTTTTGGCTTCGGATATAATATGACTCGTGTTACAAACTAAAAGTTATGACAACGAACTAAAAGAGTTGACCCAGAAAAAGAAAAATACACCTAAATCGATTTAAAATCGTCGGTTCAAACCAATGATCAAATCCAATTTGAATTATGTCCCTAAACATTTGAAAAATAATTGAGAGATTTTTTTATTAATTGTTTTCTTAATTTTTCATCAAATATATATCAATTTTGTAATTATTAAAAATAAAAAAGATATAAAAGTATGATTTTATTCGATTCAAATAATGAATCAAACATGAAAATTGAAAGGTGACTAATTATTTAATTTTAATTTTTAATCAAATATAAAAAATCAATTTTGATATTTAATCGAATGTGGAAATCAATTTCGTTTTTTTACACGGAAATTAAAACCAAAACCGAATTATTTCTTTGAGAAAGAAATGTTCATAAAACACTGAAATCAAATCAAAACCATGATGTGCTAGAATCGTACCGGAACTAGAATTGGCTCAAAACAACGGTTCAAAACCGATTGAAATTGACTAAAATTTTTTTGAAATCGTCGGTTAACTGAACTGGTATGCCTGGATCCTATGTAGCAAAAAATGTAAGAAGGTCACACTTGGAAAACGGTATAATCAATGAACTCCATAAAAGCATATCCATAAATTATAAAAATTACATCAAAATATAATAAAAACAAGTATACATACATCTATACATATTCTGTACATACATCATACATGAAGATTTTTCTTTTAGTTAATTTGATTATTTATAAAGTCATGCTTTGCTTATATACAAAAATACAATTAAAAATTAATCCAAGCTCATTAGTTTTAATTAATTAATTAATATGGTTCTTGTACCTTTAACTCATCTTCAGTTACGAAAGTACCATGAAACCCATAAGGCACTCTACTGGGCAACCTTACCGAAGCTACTTGCTCCATGTCCAATGCATTTACTATTACCAACTCAGACTTCTCTTTTATCTCATCTCTCACATACCCTATTATATATCCTTCACCTTCATTGACTTCACCTCCTTCTGCCACAAAAAATGGCTCGCCACCGAATTTTCCTTTACCGTATTCAAACTTTGTCACTTCTCCGGTTTCCAAATCAACCCTAGCAATACCGCAACACTTCGGCCATGGTTCTGCTATTGCCAAGTAAACGAACTGGGTTTTCTCACCCAAAAGTTTCCGGTTTACTACACCCACTTCCAAATTCATACCTGATACTAGAGTCTTCATAGTCGACTCTCCGGCCCTCAAGTTAAACCGGATTTCGGTTAATTCAATTTGAACTGGAATTTCCGATTCACTGAACATGGAATCTGGCGGGTTCATGCATGACCCGATAACAACGATAATGTCATCACCGTTGTCGGAAATTTCTTCCCATGCGTTATATAAATGGAAGCAAAAGCAATTTGGCACATCAACCCATTGGATTCTTGATTCGCTCATGTCATTTTTGGACAAAATCCCAAATCTTGAAGTCTTTTCTTTGTCGTATATTACGGGTGACCCACCCCGAATCATCTCGGTTAACTTGAATACAACTTGATGATCCGGGATTATTACAAAATTACGTGAAACTGCGAAGTCGTGGATCATGGTTGGCTGGTCCAAGGTAATGCTGAGGTCACGTGACTTTTTACCGTGCTTGTCGAACTTGATGTATTTCAAGTACGGTTTTTTTATTACGTTGCAACTCAGTGCATGCAAATCGCCGGTGATAGGGTCCACTTTAGGGTGTGCAATCATGGGACCATCGAGTTGATTGTGAAAACTGAACCGTCCAACCGTTTCAAGATCACCATCATCAATGATCTTTACCTGATAAGGAAGATCTTCTTCCGACATGGCCAATAATCGTCCGTTAAAATAAATTAACCCAGCATTTGCCACGCCACTGCCACGTGATCCGTCAACCAAGCCAACACCAGCTCGAGCCATGAACAACATGAGCCGAGCCAAGCCCAAGGGTCCATGCAACTCACCTATCGGCTTGGGAAAAAGCGGCCTACCCAATGCAGCTTCTTGCTCCAGCCGGCTCGTACGTGTATACCTGCAGCTATAACTGGCTTGGTTCCCAGATCCCAAGGTTACAGCATGAATCATACCATCGCCATCAAACAAGTGGTGTCCACCTTTGGGTTCATACACAGGATTAGCGCCGTTGCGTAAATAAACGCCACGTAGGCATTCCGGAATCTGGCCCACAACCTCCAGACCGTGACGAACGGGAAACTCCTGAACCGGCGCGAAATTACCCGATATTTGAACCACCGGGTCAACCGATTTAGGTAAAACTTGGTTTCTCTCCAACATTAAAATTATTGACGACTCTATTGTGTCCAGAGCTGAGGCTGCAAGCATTTGTAAAGGATTTAAACCAATTGGAAAGTTAGTTTTTTGTCGTGGGGTGAATATAAATTCAGGTTCTGACGATGGTGGCGCCACTTCTGGTAATGGTGGCGTTAATGGAGTTGGTGGTGAGAGCGGCAACCTTGTGCGATGAATTATTTTTTCAGAAGGGTTAACGAGGGTTCTACAAGTGATGAAAGGTGTGTTATTGTCGTTTTGTTTTGTGGGTTTTCGAAATTGAGTTCGAGTCTTAGGGTTTGAGGTGGTGGTGGTGAAGGTGAAGTGATTAAACGAAGCATGCATGGTTAGAATAAGAGGGAGGGAGGATTTGGGAAAATAATTAAGATTAAAAAAGAATTGAGGAGGTGCTTTGAATCAGTTATGTTGGATGATTTATATAAAGGAAAATGTTTCAGCCTTTCAAGTGGTAGGTGGTTTCTGGTAATCCCTAGTACAAAAGAGCTATCAAGTGGCGTTTGACGGTTTAGACACGTGGAGATGAAATAGAAGAATCGAGGGAGGTGCTTCCATCTAACTATGATAACTTAGAAAAATAACAGCAACATAAAAATAATTTTCTTATAAAAAATTTGTTAAAATAATTTGAATAATTAATTACTTCCCTTTTTTATTCTTTTGCAATAAGGAGAAAAACACCATAATTACGAACAAGAACGTAAATAAGCTACATTATTAGATTATGATCAAGTCAAGAAGAATATCAATTAGAGGTGTCTTATAAAATTAAAATTGTACACCCATAGAGAGGCGCTTAAAAAGCAAATTTAAATATCAACTGAATACATATAAGAGTGACATTTCGGTCGATTCGGTTGAAATCGAACTGAATCAATTAAAATTGATAAAACTGAATTATATAGTATAATGAATCTATCTATACGATTTGTGGATAGAAACTGAGTCAAATTAAATTAAATCAGTTTGGTTCGATTCGGTTCATTGTATTCGGTCTACAACAATAATTTAGATTTTTTAAAATAAAGGGGAAAACACAGTGAAAGTAATTGCATTCATAATTCGGTATAAATAATTCATTAAAACACATTAGAAGTTTCATCAATAATAATCATACGAGTTTAATTTCTCTCTTATAACATTTTGATCAACTTTCCAACTATCCACACTCTCATTTCCAACAGTCAGTTGCAAAGATAATAATGTTTGACTTGTGTCTACTTTATTTTCATTATATTTGCATGCAAACATGTGATTTTCTAAGTGAAGTTGTGCCAATTTTTTTTTTTTTTTTAATCACAATAGAATTTTCTTTCCAATAATTATACTTGCCTTTTTGCTTTCCCTCAGCATCCACAAATTTAGAGAAATGATCCCAAATTTCAGATCTTAGCTTTATTGCTTTTCTCTTCATTTTGGTGGGTGCTTCAATTTCGATTGGTTGGCTTGGTGTAGTTCCTATTGATTCTGTATCTACCATCTAAAAGTAAAAATAGAAAATCAAACAACTATATAATCAATACACTTACATGCTTCATGTTGTAGTAGGAAAACTAAAAAGTTGCATTTGTAACACGAAGAACCGGTAATATAATCAATAACGGTATATTAAATTTGAATATTTAGTAATTTTTTTATATTTATTGGATAATTACATTTAATTATTTATTTAGCCATATATAAAGTAATAAACGAAACATATATAATCCGTATATATCTGATTCACATTCACCTCTTGAAATTTAATCGATATTGTTATCAAGAATATTATTTGTCATTACTTCTCTTTTGGCCACTAGCTCTTCAATTGTTGACATACTTAAATGTTGGGAGTGTTGAAATCTGAGGACAAAATTCCAATTACCAAATCCCTTTCACTATATTTTTAATTATTTTTTGATTTGTCTTCATCGATTTATACTAGAATACATCACTTGAGAAATTAAAAAAACTTGTTGAAATATCATTGTTAAAGGTGTAAACTTTAAACAAAAAGGAGATATAAATTTTTTTAAAAACAAATTTCTTTTTTTTTTATACCACAAATACTATAGCCTATTTGGATTAGTCTAATCCTACTCGCATTGCATCAGGTTAATAAGAGGAAAATACCCTTACTTAGTAGAGATTTTTTCCGTTCACAAGAATTGAACACTATACTTCTTATTTAAAAGAATTTGTGTTATTTTCATTCAAATTAATCATCGATCGTGAAACGAATAATACATTTTATTGAAAGGTAAACTCCAGGAATACCAATAAGATATTGATTGTGGCGGTAAGCGAGCGACTTCAATTCCGTAAGATTGAGAACACAAATTCGATATACGAAAAACAAACTTTATTAGAAGGCCAACTCCTGATTATCAAAAAAATAAAAAAATAAATAAATAATAAGCACGCTTTCTATATAGTTTGATTAAAAAAATATGCTACCATGTTAGCTTGCCTACCCACCTACAAGACAATACAACAAAGGAAAATTACTAGAGAGAATTAATATATTGCCAAACAATTAATATTAATTATTATTTAATATAATTTTCTAAAATATAAATTTATCATTTTTTTTTCTTTTTCTTAATTTCAATATCGGAGTAATAAAGTATTAAAACTTTAAAATTAAGATAATAAGGTGAGATAAAGAGTAATTTAATTAAATTAAAAAATATCTTATTATAATTTGCGTAATGTAATTTTTATTAAAAAAAATGCTGATAAAGTCAGCACATTAATTATTCAATAAAAATCATATATATATGTGTCAAAGTGCATTACCCTACACAAGAAATGATAGCACTTTATTTCCCAGCCATTAAGTTTCATACTCGTATATATAAAGTGCAAACACAATCAAGGGCTTGCTGAAAATAATAAAGAACCAGCACACTTCTATACCCCTAGTGCACACGTGTGGGTTTCCATCAAAGAGCTCCTTTGGAAAGTGAAGGAAAGAAAAGACTAAAGAAAAATAAACTTCTAGTTTATTTTTACATAACAGCATATATAATCATCTATGCAAAACATCCCCCACCACCTCTTCCAAAAAAAAATTTGTTTAAGTATGAAACTTATACTTAATTAAGAAATTAGTGTATATTATACGTATTCAATAAATTATTTACTTATTAATTAAAAAGATAAAATTACTTTTTATAATTTTATTACTTTTTATAATTTTATCACTTTTTAATTATTTAATTACAAACTTTTATGCATCAATTATTAATTATTTAGTTTAATAAACTATCAAATTGAATACTCAAATAAATGATTTTCCATCAAATTATTTAGCCTAATAAATTATTAATTCAGATTGACTATATTTTTTTTTGAATCCATTGATCAAAAGCTTGAATAAAATATTCCAAAATCAACATTGCCACGTGTCATGCTAATAGTATGGCCCACTTAATATATAAGTAATTTAATAAAGACATAAGAAACAAATGAGAATATTTAATGCCTTTTATCAAAAATAAAAACACTAATATTTAGAATAATGATAAAATAAATTGTGCTAATGAAATACTTGGCGTCAAGAATGATTAAGTCTTTGTCGCAAATTAATACTAACAATAATGGGGCGCATGGTGCAATGTCCAAAACTCACTGGAACCGATTCATTTCGATTCATATTCAATCAGTTATTTAAAAGACGTTCAATTGGTCAAATTTATTCGGCGTGAATCAAATTTTTTATTTAATTCGAGTTGATTTCTTAGTAATTCATTGGTTGGTCATAAAACTGAACTAACATGACAAAACGATCAATACAAGGTGAAATGATTGGTTCGATTCAAATTGATTCAATTTAAACATCAAATTTGGTTAGATTCGATATGTTGACTTCGATTTGTATTTTTATCATGCTTCGGTTAGATTTCTACCGAATGACCATTTGCTCACCTGGCAAACACATAGGCCTTTTATTCATTTTTATATATATATTTTTTTTGTTAAATTCTCTATGAAAAATAAAAATATTTTTTACTGAAAAGCTCATCTATACGTAGTGTATGAGTTCATCTGTACATGAAACCCGTACGATAATATTTTTTTAAAAAATATTTTTTAATTGCTTTTTGTGCATTTGACCATCCGTACATCAGCACAAGAAATTTCTGTCTCTCTAAACCGAAAATATCTCTCTAAATATTATGAAAAATAAAAATATACGTCTTCTGAGAAGGCACTTAACGAGAAAAAGGCTTCAAAATTAATTTTTGTCACTTTTTTTTTATAGAAAAGATACGACTAAAAAATTAACTAGAGCACCATGGTGCATAAATCACCCCTGTTACACATTGCAAAACCCTTGATCTGTTTTTTTATTTGAAGATAATAAATAATAGTAAAAATAAATTTTAATGATGAAACTTTTAAAAATATTTAAAAACTAAAAAAAGACCATTCCCGTGCAAACGGGTAGTACTAGTATCTGTTGACTTCCTATTTGCTACACGTGCCAATAATGGTAGTACCAAACACGTGTCCAAATGGAGTATCGGAACCCACGTGCAGAGCAACACGCCAAAAATTGCAGTTTCTTGATTTCTTCGTCCACTTCGTTGGTTTCTTCGTTTTTGTCTTCACCTGGACAGTGCGATTGCACCGTATCGAACCTTAGGTTTGGTCGTAGGTTTCCTGCTCACAGCGACACATCTCATTTTTGCACAAATTTCATAGAATCAGTCATGAGTTGTTGAAACTTTAATAATTAATTTTTTGTTTTTATATACATTTCCATTAGTTGATCAATATTTTCTCTTAGAATATCAGGATGTGAAAAATGAGTTTTATTTAATCTCCATTTTATTATAGTTCAGGGGATAGATTGAAATCAATTTGAAAAATAATTAATCTTTTTATTATTTATTAAATTATTTTTTTGATAAAAATGACGAATTATTATATCTACTAAGTGTGATAAATAAATATTCATCGATCAAAACTTGAGTATAAAAAAAAGAAAAATAAAACTAGATGATTTAAATTATTAACACACTATTGAACTCATAATAGAAAGCTTTTTACTTGTAATTTAGCAGGGATGGATTTTAATCAAGTACTTTTCTCGTTCGAAAATTATCTATGAAACAGGACAATTAAATTTATATTAGATATTTTATGTGATATTCTAGATGATTTTTGAGAATAGACCGAGATTTTTATAACTCTATGCACTCCTTTAATTAATATAATTACATATTAAATTATGTTTAGATGGAGCGGAATATTAAAATAATGTAAGATAAGCGATGGTATACGATAGTTTTTTTTTTAGAAAAAAAATGCTTGGGAGAAAGGTAATAAGTAATAATATAAATGAAGATTTAGTAACTTTGAGTGGGATAAAAATTTTGTTACTTGTTTATTTATTTTATAGTATTATTTTTCAT